CTCTGCTGCTCACAGTGTTTGTACCTGATCTAGAAATGGGGACAAAAGTAGTGGCTGAGGAAGAGCAGATGAGGGAAGAAATCCTTAGCACTGCAATTCAGGAATGAGTTAAGGGTAACAGATGGTTCTGGAAAGTATTCGCACTCTATGTGTGCTCAATGCTTGGCAGTGCTGCAGGATGGAAGAGGGGGCTGAGAACTGCAAAGAGGAAAGCAAAGGACAGAATAGCACAGCATGGTGATCTGCTGCCATGTTGGATATTGAATGTCAGGTCATCCCATCTTGGAAGACGCCCTGCTTTAAGTGCCTCTTCATTTATTTGCTCTTTTTTTTTTTTTTATCGGTAGCAAAATCTATGTATTGGGTACATAGTGTTTGGCAGATGAAGACTGTCTAGATGGATATCAAACAATAAAAAGTGAAGTTGAATATGGTCCAGTTTCTGCCCCAATCCATCAACCATGCCATTGCAGAAGCACAGAGAGTGATGCCTGCTTTAATGTCTTTCTGAATTTGTCTCTTTTTTGCTATCTTCCTTGCCACTGCTGAAAGTGAAAATCTCAGTTTTGGACTGAACACAATCTAATAAATGTGTGGGTTTTGATGGGAGAAAACATAAGGAACTTGTTTTGGGCACCAAATCAAGAAGTGTATTGTTCTCATCCCACTGTTCACTGTTACCATGTATAGCAATTTCTGCCATGGCAACACATATTTTCATGAACCAGCCAAGATCTTCCAGGGCTGCAACATAACTTCTGATACTTGCTCATTGTGATGCTATTAATAACTTTGTTTCCCCCTATCGTAGCCCGGAAGCTGCTTCTTCCTCATAGACTAAGTGCAAGCAATAAGCTCATTTTAAATCAATTGTGGGGAGAATTGACACTGCGGATTTCCTGGGGTTTTTTTTGTTCTGGAGATCCTGTCTAGTACTGCTAGCTCTGCGGCCACCCACTGCACTGTCTCTTTTTTATAAGAAAGTCATGTCTCAATTTTCTTTTAAATTGTTTCTTTTTTTCTCTTATTCCTTTCTCCCCCTTCCTTTAAACCAGGACAAACAGATGATACATATTTACTTCTCTGGCTATGCAAAGTAGCTTAAGTGTTTATCTCAGACTGACTTGGTGAAGCGGAGAACCTGGCGCAAATCAAACATGGTCTGGGCCAGGCTCTGGTCTACATGATTTCTTTACTTATCTCTTGCTTATTCAAACAAGATAAACTCTGAGTATTTAAAATTGCAGCTCAACTGTTCTTGGCACTAGTTGAATTTAGTGGTGTTTAAAATCCCAGAGTGCATTAGCATGTCTGCATGAATCTACTTGGAGTTGGAACTGTGTCAAAAATACCATCACCAGCGTGGTTTTTTGGAACCTTTTAAAGAGCTGTGGAAAAGGTGAAACCTGGGCTTTTGCTTAAGAGGGTGGTTCCACTTGAGCCTGGGCATCTGTGAAGAGCTGCAGTGGGTTCGAACCAGGGTCATGAGTCTGTCCCGAGCTCTGGTTCTGGGTGTACGCAAGTCACAGTTCACCAGTTTCATCCCTCCAGAGGAAGGAGTTGTTTTGCCAGATCACTCTCCTCTCATTCAGGGAATTCACTTTTCTTCTGCTGAAGTGTAGGTGTTAACTGTACAACCCTCCCTCCCTTTCTTCACCAACTTGAAAATTTTTTTGGCAGACTTGAAACTTGCAGCTTCAATGTCGCTGTCTTAGATATTGCACTTTCCCTGATCTCCCTGACCTGCTGGATTGACAGCCTACTGTCATTAACTGAGGGAAAAAGATATAGTGAAAACAGGGAATTCTTTATCCTACCGACCTCCTTGGAGAGGCTAAAGAAATGAGCATATGCCCTGCAAAAGGTTTGTCCATAGCAAGGAGTAATTGTGATGTCCATAGTGAGTGACTGTATCATTCTTTTATTGCTGCTCTCCCCATTTCTTGGGAGGGTCTGTTCAAGGTAGTACCTCCAGAGGTGCTGCCAAGGGTTGAGTCTTCCTGGGGAGGCATCATATGCCATGCAGGACTGCCTTCTTCTGCAGCCCAGCTGGTTTTTCCTGAGCATCTCCAAGAAACAACTGAGAGCCTTCGGTGACTGATGCAGTCATTTGCCACGAGCTGCCTTCTTGTGGACTCTTGGGAATCATAGAATATGCTGAATTGGATGGGACCCATCGGGTCACTGAGTCTGCAACCTCCTGGCCCTGCATAGGACACTCCAGTTATCCCACCCTGTGCCTGAGGGCGTTGTCCAAATGCTTCTCGAGCTCAGACAGGCTTGGTGCTGTGACCAGTACCCTGGGGAGCCTGTTCAAATACTCAGCCACCTATTGGGTGAAAAACTCTTCCCTGATATCCAACCTAAACCTCCTCCAACTTCATGCTGTTCCCTCAAGTCCTGTCACTGGTCACAGGAGAGAAGAGATTAGTACCTGCCCCTCCACTTCCTCTCATAAGAGTGTTGAAGACCACAATGAGGTCTTCCCTGGTTAATCTCCGCTTTGTTTCTATGACATGGTGAGAGCAAAGGCTAATTTGGGGCTTTAACTAATGGTGCTTTATTTTGTGAAGTCTTAAATCTGTGAGATCGAAAAGATGTTCAGTTTTTAAAAAGCTGTGACTGTATTTTAAGGCAAGGTCAAACACCTCAGTCTTTGTTTCTCATTGAATCAAGCCAGAGCTTGTTAATGACAAAGCACTGGAACTATAGGTAACTAGTATTTTGGTTTACTTAGAGTTCAAGGTGTTACTGTAGTCCCTGCTGGTCTTGCAGATGCAAGTGTGTAGCAGACAAAACAGAGGCTGAAACACAGCTCATGGGATGTGACTCCTAATCACGCTGCAAAGTTGTAGAGACAATCAGGAAAAGAATGTCAGTTTGGGGCAACAGTTAAGCATGCTTTTCCTTTTGGAGGAAGCTTTTTTTCATGGTTTATTACATCAGAATAAAAAACAAGATGAAAGAGTCAAACGTAGGCTGTGATTTTCATCCCAAACTAAGAATTCACTTAGGGATAGGTGAGCTTTCCAGAGCTGGAGCTGTGCATAGAGCAGAGACCCACGTGCTTCCCTGTGGGGCAGGCATGCAGGAGGGGAGGCTCTGGGGCTGCAGGAGGGACCGATGCTGTGGGTCCAGTGCATTGGCTTTGCAACATCCTGACTCTGTTGTGTCTGATGTGCTTGTCATTCAACAATTCCTGTAGGCAAAACAAATGGAAGGACCTCTTTTCCATTATATATTTATTTTTCTTGCTTGTTGGTTTAGAAAGAGCTTATGAACTTTGTGACTGAGGTTTTCAGCCATTTACTTACTATCTCTTCTTCCTCGCCAGAGGAAATTGGTGTGCTTTGGGCTGGAGAAAATGATGACACTGCTGTGGCTCCTCTGCACAGAGTCCTGTTGGGATAAGCTTCCTGATGGCATCTCACAGGGCAGGAGAGATTTGTTTGTTTGCAGGCGGTTATTCCTTTGACTTGCTGCCAACACTCTCCTGTTCTTTCCTTTGATTTGAAACCAAATTCCTCTGCTAGCCTGGTATTTTAATGGTTAACTTGAGTCACACATAACAGGCTCGGACAGCTAATACTTTCAAGAGCTTCACTGCATCTGTTCTCTCGTGATTTTTTTCAACGGAATTGGCAGAGACAGCTGCAGCTGGAGAGATTTGCTGAAGAATGAATAACCCTAAAGAAGTTATGATGAAACACTTATATTTGTTTTGTACTTTTAGCCCCCAGTGTTTTGTGGACTCTGCTGTCTGAGGAATGACTTGGTCCCTTGCTGTCCATGACTATGTTGTGCATAAGTTTTCAAGGGACCCTGTTTTTCAGCTCATAAATGACTGTTAGCCTTTTAAATGAACAGAGACAGAGGGCCATTATTTTGCTAATGTCCCACTTCTAGGAACTTAGCTGCCTCAGATATGTAGCTTTGCTGAGTGGTGCTTGAAAGCATTATGCTCTGTGATCTGGCTGTTTGTAGGGCATCCTCTGTTGGCACCTTGGGTGACACTCTCCAGTTGGCCATGGCCTGGCAGTGCAGGTTCTCCACCCTATAATTACAGTCTCAGTCTGCTGTTCCTGACCACTGCCAACTCATGTTCTGCCTTTAGAAAAGCTACGGTTGTCATGTTTTTTTGATGGTCTGGTGGAATTGTTTTAGATCAGAGGTGGGTGTCTTGAGAGGTCCTTAAGTCTCCAGCCCTGCATGCTCTCACTATGGTGGCCACTTGATCCTGAGGACCTGGCTAATGGGTTTCCCTTTGCTGGTTCTGGAAGTATCTTTTCTGTTCCTGTCTTCCTCCTCTTCACCCTCTGACACTGTTCAGAAATCTGTGTAAATGTTTTATTGTCCTTACTCAGTGTTCCTGTCTGCAGCAAAAAGCTATCCCTGTGCGTCATGCAAATGAGCCTTGGGAGCTGGCTATTTACTTTGGTCTGTTCTGGCTGCTATGGGCTCTCTCTTCCCTTCAGTGAAGATGACACAAGAATGGTTGTTCTTTTGCCCTCCTGTATGGGGAAACTATGCTGCACTGCAGTGTGTTTATGTCTGTGCAGTGCCTGGTGTCACTGAGCCCAGGATGATTCGTGTACAGAAGTGAGGAAGATCAGTCGCTGTTGAGTCCTGCTCCTTCCGCAGTGTACAGGTTGTGGGTTGCTCCCAAGGTACTGGAGCAATTGCTGGGTTTATGTGGTAATGGGGCTTTACTAAAGCAACTTCTGATTGGAGAGCCTCCTATTCCCAGACTGCTTTCTTTGGCATCAACTCTCTGAGGCAGCAGCTGCTGTGCTGGGCCCCTGGATGCACGGGCTTCGTGGCAATGCTGGGAGGAATCCCTGATATCAGTAGTGGTGACATAGGAGGCGGTGAAGAGTAAATCTCAGTCCTGAAGCAGCTGGACAGCAAGCTAGATAAATCAAGACCTTTGTCAGTAATTATAGGATGACAGGGCAATGACTGCTGCTGTGTCCTTGAAATAGCAGGGATATATCATTGACATGACGTTGCTTGCTTTGGCCCAGGGAGAGCACTTGGTGTATGCTGCTTCTCCAGGGCCCTGGGCTCTTGCCCTACCTCATTTTGGCAGGTACAACTTCTTCACCTCGTTCCTGCAGTTTAAGAAGAGCATGATGCTCTTCAGCCAGGGTGCAGCTTTATTGGCACTGGGAAATGTCATCCTGCTTCAAGTCCAGTTTACTTCTGTTCAACAGCTGCCAAGAGGTATTGGGGTCTTACAGATCTGTGGAGCTGTGTTCAGCTTTCTAGTCACTGACCAGGGTTTCAATCAGCAGGTAGTGCTAAGAGGTGCTGGGGCCCATTGAGAAGGTGGGAGATTAAGGGGTTCCATCTCCATCCTTTCCTTTTGTTTGTATGGATCCTCCTTAAAAAAACACAAACAGCCCAGACCTGATTTTAGAGTTTCTTTCATGCTAGGAGGCTCTTAGCTGCTTTGAGTACCATTGTGGGCAGATCCTGTATGATTTTGGTGGTGTCTGCATATGCTCTCAGAAGAGAGTGAAGCTCAAGTCTGCTTCAGTTGGTATCATGTGTCTTAGATTGTGTGTCCCAAGAAGATGTGGAGAAAGTAGATCTATTACCTTGGGTACCTGCCTGCAGAGATTTACACTCCTGGAAGGATGTGGCTAGTGCATCTGGTGGTGACCTTGCATGAGTCCTGCTGCCCCCTTTGGTGGGATCCTGTACAGGTGGGATGACCATGGCAATACTCATCGAGCCATGCTTGCAGTGTGCCTGCATGAATCCTCCCTGAAACTAGGGGCAACACCAGGGGAGCAATGGGAAGTCATCAGGCTGCCTCCTTGGGACTGAGCCCCACATGCTGCCATGGGGGAGCACCAGGGGTGGAAGGTAAGCAGTACACATCTCAGCTGTGGTCATCATTTTTGCTGTACTGGCAGGTTGTCCTGTAATGCCTTTACCTAAGCAAATATTTCCTCTCTAGGATATTGATAAAATCAAAGTTTTCTCATTTAAATCCTGTCTGTTGGGGACAAAGTCTAGTTATGAGCATGTTGAGATGGGATGCAGTCACTGTCAGGTGCTGTGGTGCTAATATTGGTCCCAGTCTAGTGACAGACCTGGCCATGTGTCCTGGGATTGATGCAGCCTAAGGCTGTGCAGGTTGGAGGCCAGCACCAAGCTGTGCCATGTCTCAGCTCCCTGCCAGGGTGCCTTGTTTCCCTTGGGGAGGGACCGTCCTGCTTCCCCCCACAGCCACCTGCCTTCCAGCAGCTGTGGTTTGGATGCAGCTGTGGATGCACACAGTACATTTTGGAAGGAGAAGAGATGAAGACTGCCGGGTTCTTTTTATCTTCTGCAATTTGTTCTTAAATATTTAGCCCCTTAAAAGGAATAATAACTCTGCTGAAGTTTTCATTGAGCTTAGAAGGTGCTACTTCATCTGGAGGAAACCAGAGCTTTGCGGAGGCTGTTTAAGTACTGGAGTTTTGGGCTTGTGCTGTGACCTGCAGAATGAAAACTCTAGCCATAAGGCAGAAGAGACCCAAGGTATGCTATCACAGCAGCTTGAGAGCTGGACAGGGTGTCAAGGCTGGTCCCATAGCCCAAGGAACTAGCTCACTTCTCTGCAGTGGCCTGGGGCTCAAGCTCCACAAATGATTTTGCTCCTCACCATGTGGAACCCAGGGGCTGGGTGTGACACATAGGCAGGAGAGGCTGCCTGCCAGATATGTGTCCCTGGCCAGCCTGTGGATGATTGCAAAGAGTAGAGAGAAGCACCTGGAAACTTCTTTATGCTGAATGTTTTTTGACATGTCTTTTGCCTTCTGCTGAGACTTCAGTGGCCACAGCTCATCTCTAGCCATAACACAGGCCAAGGTGTTCACCCTCAATGACAATTTGGGGACAGAGAGAAGTGAGAGACCCTTGGCCTCCAGGGAAGCAGCAGATAGCTTTCTGGTGAAGACCTGTGCCTGGTCTGCATCACCAGGATTTTTTTAACAGGAGTGGATTTTACTGCTCCTCCTGCCCTCAGGTGCAGTTTCCTTTAGTGTTGGTCTGCTGGTCACCAGGCAGTGCCCTGGTGCCTGTGTCTCCAGTATGGAGACACTATGGACACTATGACCACCTCCTGCTCAGAGTGTCCGTCCAGCAAGTGCTTTGTGTTTTGTCTCAAGGCCATGAAAACAGGGATGTTTTCTGTCCCTTGGTCTTCCCTCTGTTGCAGAATTGCCCATCCTGTGATGGAGGCACTGAAGGTGGGGATGAGCAGCAGTTCAAGCCCTTCTGTCTTCCCCTCCCCTTGGGGTGCTCTCTGTGTGGCCCCAGGGAGTGATTTCAGGACCCAAATCATTCCAAACCTAGTGGACAACACTTGGCACAGAGTGGATGATGGAGAAACATGAAGTTTGGTGTGGGAGTGCCTGTGCTGCCCTCCCTCCTCCCTGGTGACATACAGAGCTCTAAGATGCCTGTGCATCCTTTTCACGCAAGGTTCAGGTACTGGTCTTGGGCTGTTGGGCCTTATGCCTTTGAGACTGTTCTGGACTTTATTTTAAGCTGATTATCATTGGGGCATGGCTTGTCATGGTGTCTGTCCTTCCTTATGCCCATCCTCTCTCCTTTTGCAGAGACCCCCAAGAAATCTCACTTGTGTCCCTAAAGTCCTTTTTACTTACTTCTTTCTCTCTGAGACAGGATCTTGAGGGAATTTGCTGATAATTTTGGTGTTGCCCCAACCTTCTTCCTTGGACTGAGCTACCCCTTTGCTGTCTGTTCTGTTCTGGATTTGGGATGAATCAAGAGGCTATAATTTTTGTTAGAAGGAGGCATGGGTATTCAAAAGAAGTTATAGAGTGTGTGTGAATAAAGCCTGAATTGTCTCATTCAGCTGAAGGAGGATTACCATAAGGAGCTGACGCTGGAGACCTTCTGGAGGCTCTCTGCAGCTCGAGGATAGAGATTAGTTTTACAGCTTGTCCTGGCTTTGATATGCAAATCTGAGTGAATCGGAGCCACCTGGAGGTTGCACTTGGTTTCTCAGCGTCTGTACTAAGTGAACTTTTCTGAGGCCTGTTGTGCTGAAGGTGAAGGGGCGAGCGCGATTGTCTTAAAAAAAAAATTCTGTGGTGATATTTGAGTTCTTGAACACAGCCTGTGCTGTTTTTCAGTCAGCCAGGAGCCTAGACCCACAGAGAAGCAGCAAATTCAGCAGCAGTGGAGCCTCTGGGCTGGTACCCTCTCCCCATTCCTGAACTGGCTTGCCATGGTCTGCTTCAGGGGCCTCCTTTTAGAGGACTCAAGATGGTGAACATGGCATCATTCTCTGTATGACTGGATCTGCTCCTTTTCATGAGTTGTTTGTCCTGTGTGCCATTAGCAGCAAATGAAAGATGATTTGAACTCGTCTCTGTGGGGCTGATAATTTCAGATGCCCATCACCCCAGTTGATTGCCACAGCAGGTTGCGCTGCACGCACTTCCCTGCCTTTGGCTAGTTTCACACCGTGGCCAGTCTCTGGGAATTATACTTCACTCTGTGTGTGATGGCCTAACTGTATTCCACCTCCTCAAGGAGGACCTGTTAACAAGGTTTAGTTTTAGTTAGCACTTAGTTTTGGCATAGGCATATCCTCAGCTAGATGGTCTCTGATGATGGCAACAACATCTTGTCTTGGGACTGGCTTTGAGTATGCTGCAGGCCTCCATTGAGGACATTAGTCTTGAAAAATCCCACTTGGTATGGAGCCATGTTTGGCCAGGAAGGACTTAGTATTGCCCCAACTCTCTGCAGGGCTCATCCCAAAGAAGGGAGGTGGGGGAAGGAGGTGGAATCTTGGCTTGAAGCGCAGAAATCCAAAAATTACAGAGCATGGAAGTGAAATGGGAGGGAGACCAAATCATAAGAGGTGTCCTTGTAGCCATGCAGAAGCGTTTGTTGGCAGCCTGGTGGGAAGCTCCCTGAGGCAGTCCTTGGTGTTTTTGGGGACACTGAGTTACAGGAGCTGAGATGAAGTGAAACCATTGCCGTGATCCTGCTGGTGCGAGCAGGCGCTGCAGTGCTCATGAGCGTGGGCACCCACTCTGTGTTTGCTGCATCCCCCAGCACTTGGAGCTGAAAGGACAGAGAAAATAATTATTTAAACCATCCCCAGGAAACTTCTTTAACCTTGTAAAGTGGAATATGAATTAATTTTGGTTTTTGTGTGTTTGAGTTACAGCCCTATCTCTGCAATCCTGGGTTTATCGCATCTTTCCAGAATTCTTGATGTTATGTTTGAGGCTTGTGTGGCAGCCTGGGGCTGGCCCTGCTTCAGGAATGTACTCTTTGCCTTTCCTCAATTTTGAGGACTGGCCTGCTTTTTCTGGGTGCATGCCAGACTGCTCAGCATTGATTGTTGTCAATCAAACCCACAGTTTTCCTAGCAGAGAGGTGCAGTGGGCAACTAAACCCTCACCTCGACTTGCCTGGTGATAGGAGACATGCTGACCTTCCTCAGAAAGCCAGGGCTGGGCACAGGAACCTGGGCTGCCATTTCAGGCACGGCAGTGCTGCCACCATCACTCCTGACCCTTCTGAGGATGTGCAGGCTGGCAGCTGAGGGTGTGAGAGGGATGCAGTGGGATCTCCCATCTCCCGCTTCTGCTATGGGAATGGCTTCTGCTATCATACCCTTGCTGAAGAGTGATGGTTGTGTCAGAGTGAACCCCTGGCAGAAACAGGTTTCAAGAGGGGTCTTGGACCTGTCCTTTTCATATGGCTTTTATTAATGGCAAAAGTAGCTTCAGTTAAGGCCCTCCTTCCTGCAGCCTCCACCAGCATTGGGATGGAGGCCAGGCTTTGGGGTGTGGGAGCAGGAGGGGCTCATGTTGTTTTTCAGCATGCTGAGCATACAACTTGGTTCAGGATCACTTTAGGTAGCATCTCTCCTTTGCTGAGGGAAACCTTGCTGGGTTTGCACTCCCTCCATTTACCTGGGCTACCCAAAATGGTTTGGGCTACTGCACTGGGGAGGCATTGGCTTTGCTGAACTCCTCAGGCTGGCTCTTTAGGGTTGGTGTGTCAGTGGTATGGTTGATATGCCATGTATGATGGCTGTGCAGCCCAACCCCTCTGCGTGAAAACCACTGTGCTGATCTGCCTGAAAAGCAGTGGTTCAGCACTACCTGCTTTGCTCTCACTGTCTGGGCCAGTATGGGTGCTGATAAAGGGCCCTGCAGCTCAAGGGGTTCTTTAGGGCTGCAAAGAGTTATGCATCAGCAGCAGGGCCTGTCCTTTGGGTCACCTTACACCCTGCTGAAGGCTCTGTCCCATCAGCCAAGGGGTAGGGGGAAGAGCCTGCAATGGAGATGGTCTCATCCACCAGTCATTCCCCACATAGATCTTTTGGACATATAAGTGTGGGCTTCGAGCCAGGTCCATGGGACCCAGAGGTCCCTTCCAGCCCCACAGCATGTGGAGCCTGCAGGCAGGCACTTGCATGGAGCAGGTTGCCCACATTGCAGGGAGCCAGGGCTTTGGTCTCCCCAGGTGGAATGTGCAGCTCTCAAAAGGAGCAGATCCTGTTCTGCAGATACACCCTGCTCCTGAAAGTCAAGTCCCCTACCCTTCTGCATCTTGCACCCTGCATCTCCCAGGCACTGGCACTCCTGTGACTGGGCCAGCCCTTGATGTGAGTCATCCCAGCATCAACAGACTGTGCCTGCCAGCCCTGTGGGTTAGTCCTGGGCTAGTGAGTGGGAAGTGAGTGGGCCACGTTGACGGGACTGACCTCCCCTTCTCTTTTGTAGCAGCCTCATCTCAAATCCTTGTCCTGGCCTCTCCTAAGATCGTTAGATTGCTGAATAGCCCCAAGCAATGCTTTGATCTGCAAGCAGGCTGCCTGGCCCAGTGGCAGTAGGTTTGTAGGACTCTTCAGACAACCTGTTTGCTTTGGGCCTCTGGTCCGGACTAATATGGCTCTTGTGTCCCTGCAGCTCGGACTGGGTGGAGATCATCGAGCCCCGTTCCCAGGAGCGGATGTACGTGAACTTGACCACCGGGGAGTGCAGCTGGGAGCCCCCTCCCAACCTGAAGGTGCGCCAGTCAGACCAGAAGCAGTGGTGGGAGCTCTTTGACCAGAACAACAACCGCTTCTACTACTACAATGCCATCACGCGGCAGACAGTGTGGCACCGGCCCCAGGGCTGTGACATTGTGCCCTTGGCACAGCTCCAGGCCATGAAGGGCAGCTCCCAGCCTGACTGCTGTGGCCTGGAGCACCAAGGCAGCACTGGCAGCGGTGGCAGAAGCACCCCCATCCAAATGGCCGTCTTGCAGGAGATGGAGAAGGGCAAGAGGAACAGTGTGGCAGAGAAGAGGAAAGATCCTGCCAGGTATGGGGAGAGCTTCAGCCTTCTCTGTTTGTATCTATGGGGTGAATTTAGCTGCCAGGCCAGCCCTGTTAGGCAGGTTGGTAACTGTGCTTCCCAGGAGGGTGCTGTGCTGCCCCAGGAAGGTGCAACAGTGGGGCAAAGTACTGCCAGACCCCCAGTCACTACCATGTGTCCTCCTCTTCTTGGGGCACAGCTGTCTGCTGCCACCACTACCTGAATGTCCCCAGCTTGGGCCAGGCCATCTTTGTGTGAGTCACCATAAAAATACATGTCAAAAGGTAATCTTTGCTCTGGGTGCTATAACAGACGGAGAGGGGACAGGCAGGAGTGTCATGTAGTGATGAAAACGCTCTCAAAACCTTGCAACAGGGTGGGTTGGGATGGCATAGCTCCTGTGCAGGGGGTTAGGCTGCTGTGGGGTGCGGGTGAGCCCATCTGGTCTGACTCCTTCCTTTCCTCCTTGCTCAGTTGCTGATGTCTTGTAACTTCAGCCAGGGCAGGAGGTGGGGCTGCAGGGACAGAGCTCATGGGCACAGTTGTGTGGTCTCATCAAACCTGAAATAAAAGACCAATAACAAGATGCTATTTTTATGTTTGACTAAGAGATTTTTTATTGTGTTGAAACTATTATTTCAGCTTCAGTTGCACAAAAGTATCCCTTCCCCAATCTCTGTTGGGTTGGCCCCTCTGCCTGGGATACTGTGTGGGGGCTGCTCTGCCTCCCTTCTACTCTGTCTGGGCATCATCCTGCCCTGGAGGATGTGGTACTGGCAGCTGGGGAGGCTGTGCAGCAAGCAAAGTTGGGTCATACTGAGAACTGACCTGAGAGCTAGAGCAGCTCTTGGGTAAGCCTGACTGTCCTGCCATATATGCTGGGATGCCTTGTTCTGGTTCTGGGTAGTGCAGCAAGTGCTAGCACCTTGGTTTTTGGATCAAGGCTGCCTCTCTGCGTGCCTGGTGCAGGCAAGGATAGAAAAAAAATGCCAAGTTAATGAAAACCACAGAGGATGGCAGTTCGGGAAAGTATATGCACCTGAAGTGAGGTTGCTTATCACGTCTGCTGCTCCCTGTATTCAGTGCAGATCTTAATGGCTGCAAGACACTGGTGATGCACATAAAGTGCACCAGAAGGAACCCAATACTTTACTGGTGATTATGATGCTCCCTGTGCTTCCTGCCTCAGAAGCAGCACCCCTGAGCTGCATATCCATCCAGAGAATGGTCCCTGCCCTGCCAGGAGAAATCCAGTAAATGTCTTAAGCTGTACCTAAGTAGTTCCCAGTTCTCTGAGGTCAACCCCAGTGACTTGGGAGGGGGTCACACAGTTGAGCTACTGGCACATGGGATTTGACATGAGACAGGTGACTTTCCTTCTTTGTCCATTTACAGTCTGGCACTCCACGGCAGCCAGGATGGGCACCATCAAAACTGCATTACATGTTTCCAGATAAATGAGTGTAAGAGCCCTGATAGGGCCCTGTGAAGCTCACAAGATACTGTGAGCTTCACAGAGTCCAAAGTATTCATGACTGTGCCAGTTTTAACACCAGCTGGAATTAAACTCCAAATAAACCACTCCTCTTCCCCTCACTGTTTCCAGTAAGAGAGAGACAAAAGCAGAGATTACGGGTTGAATTAACAATTTGCTGAAAGCATAAAGCGGTGGAATAAGACACACACAATAACAACAGCAATGTTAATAGCAATAGTATACAAAAAGAGGAGGTGTTATGCCCACAAAAAGTTTTTCACTATTGGGAACAAAACCAAGATGGCAGATGCTCCTTGTAAGCTGCATCTGCATGGTTTTCCTGGACAAAGGCAATGTGGTGGCCATTCATGTGCTGCCTGTGTGGCCGCTGGGAACAAAGGCAAGATGTGGGAGAACTTCTGTGACTAATGTTTGCTACTTCCAGCCAGAATCCACAAAAGCCAGTAACATATCCCCTGAAAGCTGGATCGTCTGAGTAGGGTCCTGCAGCTGTCCACACAGGGAACTGTGCCACCGTTTCAACCACCCCACCTCACTAGAGGTCAGCCCTGCAGGTCACTGCTGCTTTTTTGTCATACTGCTCAAACGCACTCCTTTGGGCTCAGTTTGGCAGGGCTCCTTTCTGCTTGGCTTGATGGGCTCAGTGGGATTGGGGTCACTCCCATTGCTGGACTGTTCCCTTCCAGCAGCCTCCTCCTCGCCAGTGCTGTTGGTTCAGAGCTGCAATCAGTTTCCATTTTCACCGCTGTCCCTTTCAACGCCCTGTTCCAAAGTTGTGTACTGAGAAAGCAGGAGGGGAGCAAAGGGACTGGGTCCTGCAGGGGCCAGTCCCTTTGATCCCTTGATCCCTTGATACTGACAGTCCCTCTGGAGAGAGAGGCAAAATGCCATGCTTCAGACGGGGTGCCTGGCTTTCCCTGCTGAAACTGTGTGTGGTTCAGGAGGGAAAATGTTATTCTATACCATGATGTGCATGGTATAGAGTAACAGCAGTGCTAAGCTCTGGGCTTGTCTGCAGACAGGATGCTGACTCAGTCTCTCAGGAGGGAACATGGCCTCCTCTGCCTTTGTGTACTGGAAGTTGCTGTGCCTCAAAGGAAAAGTGATGCCAGTTTTGACCCATTCCTCAGTTCTTCAGCCCTCTCAGTAGAAAAGACCCTTCTACAGGGTCCCCTCCTATAGAAGAAAGGGGAGTGATGCAATGTGGGCAGGAGTTTGCTGTACCTTTTCTTATCTCCCAGGGCAGCATCACCCACCATCACTGTTGCTTCTCCTGCAAGGAGGGAAGGTGGGAAGGCATTCTCCATTGTTCCATCCCTATGTAGCAATCTTGGGGCACCTTGAGCCTGCAATGAATTAAAGGGCAAGTGCTGAGAAAAGCATGGGTAGCAGCTTGCATGGGAGCTAACAGGCTACTTGGATATGCAAGGCTCTTTCAGATTGCAAGGCTCATACCAGTAAGCTGACGTCTGCGAAACGTGCTTTCTTGGAAGCAGAAGATTGGGCATTGTTTCCTTGCACATCTATCATGTGTTTTCTCTTCTGTGTGAGCAAGGGTTGTATAACTGGTTCTAATGCAGAGTTTGATTTCCCTAGTTGAACCTGACACCCAAGGAGAGATTTCTTGCCTTTTGCTAGCTTGTAAAATGGGGAGCAAAGAGCTGAGCCAGAAGCAAATGTTCTCAGGTGGGATCTAATGCCATTCCTGGGATGTCTGGTATACTAACAGCATGAGCACACTAAAGTTTTCAGCTCTGTTGTCTGTGTTGTTCTTCAAAGACAACCTCAAGTGTGTCCTCTTCTGCTCAGGAGAAATGCAGCTGCATAAACAGAGGGTGAACACACTGAGTGCTGTTGGTAGTATTTGACTTCTTTATAGTTACTTGCACCCAAGACAGTTCCACTTTTGTCTCTTAATGCCAGTGCAAAAGTAGTGGTTTTCTTTCCTTCATGTTTGTCATTCTGTGATAGATGGAGAGGCCAGCAGAGACCAGCGTAGTCCCCAAGAGAAGTCTCCTGCAAGCCCATCCAAGAAAGATCTGGGGGAAGGGATTTCATTCTGGTTTTAGTTATACTTTGTGGTCGAAGTTTTTTCTTTTAGTAAACTGGTTTTTACCACTTTTCCTCTCCTGTGCCTTATATCAGCACCGCTGAATTTGTTGTGCCCCCTGCCACATCTCAGTGCTGTGAAACCCTCAGCAGCCTCGAGAAGAAGAAAGAAGCTCTCCAAACCTGTTTTTTCTGTCTCTATGCACATGCCACCCCTCCCTCAGTGCCCCACAGCTTGCTGCTGCTCTTCCAACTCTTGCAGTGGCTTGGAGCAACCTTCTCTAGACATCAGCCTTTGGCCTCCCCAAGCAGTACAGGAGGGTAGACCTCCTAGGGAAATGGCAGCTTCTTGCAGCAGGGTAAGGCACTGGAGCCATTGACCATCTCTGGAGCCTTCTGGGGAAGCTCCTCTGCCCATGCTCTTGCTCCCATGTTGTCTTTCTGTGCTCTCTGGGGCTGCCCAGCCCAGTGCTGGCTCTGTTTCTCCCTTGCTGGACAAGGACAGCAAACAGCACTTGCCTCACAGCTCCAGACTCATCCTGAGCTCTTACAATCCCGTTAGGAAGCAAACTGGACTCTCTTCAGGGTAAATGATGGCCAAATTATCCTTTCACACACTGGAAAGCTCTGCAAAGGATGGATATACTCCCTTGGTCTCACAGTCCAGCCTGGGGTTGAATGCAGCATTTTGGAAGTGTGCTCTGAGCCACTGCAGCCACGCTGAGCTTTGCCGGAACTCCAAGGTAATGGGTGAAAAAGGCTTGGTGGAGTGCCAAGGCCTGAAGAAGGCAGTCTTTCTGGGAGCCTGTATGCTGGTCTGCAGCATTTCAGCACACTGCAGGTGAGGACTGTGAGCAGGCTCTGCTGTTCCCAGCCCTGCTATCCATGCAGTACCAGCCCCTTTACTCCTCTTCCCCTGTTTCTCGTAAGGTCAGCACTCTGAAACTGGAGTTTCAGAGTGCTGTTTCTGAGGTTCTCTTTGCAATAACAGGCTATCTTAAAATCCTCTGTAAGAAAGCCACCTTCTCTAGGAACATTCTCTCCCCCAGAAGAGGAAGGTGAGGTTCCTTTCTCCATGGGCAGTAGATTGTGCTGCCTATCCCTTCCTCACCCACCGTTCCCACAGCTCAGCATCCTTGACTGGGAAGGAGCAAGGGCTTGGTGTTACAGTGCCAGGAATATGTGCTGGAAGAGCAGTGAGAGGGAATGTGTGATTAGGTGGCTGTAAGAGTACCTCTGCCTCTTCCAGCTCTGGTTTGTTTCATCATGGGCTCATGGATCTCAAGGCACAGCATAAGTAATGCAACTGTTAAGTTTTCATAAGCAAGAAAGACCATCAGAATCCCTAATACAGGCTTGTTTCCTGCTTGTGCAGTTGGCCTTGGGGTAGGATATACAAACACAACGTTCTTTGCACAACTCTGCTGAGTTTTAGGTTTGGGCAGGTTGTATCCCTGCCTCCAGTGTGGGAATTAGGGGCAGAGCAGCAGTGCTGCTGGAAAACAAACATCCCTGTTCACTCACCTTTGTCACAGCACCAGGAAAACAGCTAGTAGAAAGAGCAGAGCTAAGGTGCAAGGCCTTTTCTCCAGGCTTCTAGGAAGGAGGAAAACAAACATTGAAGATCTGTAGCCTGGGGAAAGCTACTAGATATGCTGTTGGAGCTAGGTGCAGGCTGGGGAAATCAGTGCCAAGTTGAGGCCTTTATATTGGAGCTACTTGAAAGCATTCCTCACAGGAACAGTCCCAGGGTATTCATCAGTCTCTGCTGCTAGTGGCTGAAGAGCTCGGCTGAGAGGCTGCATTGGGACATTTCACCACTGGCTTTGCTTTTTGTCATGGCTTTCACAAGGACAAGACTGAAGCTTCATGCTGGGAGTCAAGAAGTCCCTGTTCTCTTCTGCTTGGTCTTCGCAGCAGCCTGGAGATGGGGTTGAAGGAAGCTCTATCCAGACGTGGCCCCAAGAAATCATTCATGGCTGTGGAAATGGCCTTTTCAAGACAACTTTGTCTTTTCTGTGGTGGTGCTTCTTTCCTCTCATCTCTGGCAGCCAGGGAGGCTGCAAATGGCATGATGTGTCCATGATGAGACTGATGGGCGAGATGTACACATGTAGAAGTTTCCCTTCACCATCACATTCCTGGGTGGGGGAGCATGGTGGCATTTGATGACATGGGAGTAGCACAGCTTCCCAGTTTCCCCTGACCTCTGCAGGGCATCTAGGTGCTTTGCCTCCTACCAGTGTCCATGGTAGCCTAGCTGTGGCAATTCCACATGTTTCTGCTTTTCCTCAAAAAGAAGCAGTGTCAGTGGGTGGCTCTGCCAGCTCCAGGGAGGTGCAGCAGTCCGGAGCAGGCTGGCTCCCAGTGTGCGCCTGGACCTAGGCCTGAAGGAAGGGAGCATGGGCTGCATGTTGGGACAGGGACTACAAGTGCCAAAATCCTGCTGCAGGGAGGCAGAGCCACTTCTTCAATGCCTTGCTGTGGCTGTCTAATTTGTGTTACTGACCTGCCATCTGGGCTCAGGGTGGGTGCAGAGAGAGTCCTGTACCAGTGCAGAGCTCTGCCGCTCTCCATCATGTCCCACCCATGTGGCCAAGTCTGTGCTAAAGGCCCAGCGCATCTTCAGTCCTGGGCAGGCCCAAGGTGAGGGATGTCCCTGATGAAGGGACTCTGGGCAGTGAGGAGCTGTTGTGCTTTGGAGTGCCTTTTGCCCTCCGGCTTGCTGGGGCTCACAGGTAGGTAGCTTGCCTCTGCAGGAGGCTAAGAGCTATCCTCTTATTTTTTTCAGATCAAATCCCTCATCACTCATCTGAGGACTGAAATCTGGGCTGTGGTCTTTATCACAGATGGAGGGGCAGAGGTTTTTGCTAGTTGAGGTCCCACAGGGCCCTAAAAGTTATAATGCCATGCTGGAGCAGGAACCCATCTCTGATGGGCAGGTTGGTGATGTTCTGCAGATGCCCAGGCCCACACCTGAGCAGTGACTGACAGGGATGTTCCCAGTGCTGCTCTGTGGGTGTGAATTGGGACCGATGGGGCAGGAGGTGGTGCCAGTGCCTGCTGTATGGACAGGGAGGGGCTCCTTCCTGTGTCTCAGAGCTGAGTAAGGAAGTGACAGAGCTTCAGGCTGAGTTCCTGGTCATGTGATTTTCTGGTGCCAGACAGTAGCAGTGTGTGATGAGCCCGGATGGAGGGCACAAGTCTGGCCATGCTGTATCTGGCTGAGGTGGGTCTGCCAGGCCTTGGCTGAGTTTATGGTTCAGCTGTGCACAGCTAGCTGGGCCTGCAGTGCTGCATGTCAGGGAGAGGAGAAACTTCAGGAGGTAGCTTCAGGTGGTATGTGGGCGTCCAGCACCTTTCCACAGAGCACAGGGTTATTTTCCAGGCCTGCCATAACTAGAGGTCTTGTAAGGCAGTGGGACACATCTGCAGCTTTGGGCTATCCTTCTGCAACCCAACACTGGATAATACTGGTCCAGATGCAATGATGGCTGCTGTAGGGTTGAGCTAAAATATGTCCCAGTCACGCACTTGTGGCCTGCCTGCTGAGTCAGGGGCCTGTGGATTGTTCTAGCCTTTGCCAGTTTCTCTTCTGTGCCATGAAATGAGAGACTGGCAAAGTGTCTCTCACTGATCCAGCCATGGAAGTGTCAGAAATCCTCATTTAAAAGCCTAGAAGGTGTTGCTGTTCTGGTTCTTCCTATTAGTCCGCACACTTTTTGAGAAAGAGTCTGGTCTTCAGCAAGGCTTGGGATTGAGACTGGAGCTTGAGTGTGCCAAGGGGAGATGCCTCGATGCAAGGAGCAGGCTGTGTCCCCAGGAGGAATACTTGGTGGAGCTGGGTGTTCTCCTGAATGCCACTCTCATGCTGCTGTTACCGCTGGTGGTTCCATGTGTGCGTCCTCACTTGGCACTGCTGGTGCTCAACCCCTGCATGAGGCATTGTGCCCCAGGAAGAAGCATGTGGAGGACAAGCCACTGAGGGCTAAACAGGAATGGGAGAGCAGGGGCTATGCTGGATGGTGGCTTGGGCAGATGGAGAGAAAATGTCAAATTTGTCAGTGTTCCCCAAGCTGCTCTTGGCATAGGGCTTAGGTCAGCATTGGGCTGCAGTGCTGTGAAGAGAATGAAGGTGGAGGCTCGGAGACAGGCTTTCCTCATGGCAATTGCATCACCATCTTGAAGTAGTGTCAGGAGTTCCCTTAAAATAAAATCCTTGGTGCCTCTGTGGGAGGTATATAAGAGGCCCCAGAGCAAGAGAGGCCCCAGGGTTCAAAGCAGAGGACCTTTGCTGGCCACAAGCACCAGAGAACGTTGACCTTTGCTCAGCCTTCTCTGGCCACACCTGGGTAGTTGCACAAGAGAGCTGCATGGACTCTGTTGCAGGAAAGGAGCCAGCCCTGCAAAGACAGAGGTGCAGCAAGTGTGATCAATGTCATGAGGCCTTTGAACCCTGGCCAGGGGTCAGGCACTGTGCCCATGACAGGGCAGTGCCAGCCTCGTCTGTGCCCCACTCATGATGCCATTGTGTCAAGATGGGATTCATGACACATTGCCAACAGAGAGCATGTTTTGCCAAAAATATGGTAAGCAGTGGATAGGGAAGGAGCACACCACCCCTTGAGGAGGGCAGTGATAAGGAACAGATGTGAGACATTAGCTGTTGGACAGAGGATGTAGGGAAGGTGACCAGAGTGCACCAGGTGAAATAGGACACCCACAGTGATGGGGGGCAGGTGTAGGGAGAGCAGGGGATGCGCAAATGCACTGGCAGGATAACCATGGGGGAAGGACAGGCAGAATACCCCAGGGAAGCTGTGCTGAAGGAGGTGGCTGGCACCTGGCCAGGTGAAAGTGCTCTGGAGAGCAGGAGTGGAGCAAGAGGGCTAGTGTCCACATACCTTGGGATTTGGTAGGGAAGGCACAAGAGATTCAGACATGGTGGGGACACCTCCGGACATGCAGCAGAAGTGGGTGTGTCTACCAGCACAGAGGCCATAGAGGACAGGTCAGCAATGTGGAGTGGGGAGCAAGGTCAAGGTACAAACAGCAGAATAGCTATGAAGGTGTTAGGGGAGCATCTCCTGTCTCAGATGGAACACATGCAGTACACCCTCAGGTCTTACCCAGTGATGGCTGGTAGCAGATATATGGAGGTAGGGCACAATTTAAATGGAGGTAGGGTCATATTCAAGTGGACCTTCCTGGGGACTGTGATGCCTTGGAAAACCTGGAAGCTCAGCTGGTTTAATATCCTTTCTATTCCCTTTTACTCGGAGCTCACAAACACAGACTGGCTGTGGTCACAGCCTGACAGCAGGTGGTTGTTGCTACACTGTAGAATATATCCTGGGAACTGGGGTGTTGGAGTGGGCATGTTGGGTTGTGGTGGATCCCAAGTGCCGCCACAGATCAGAGGTGGTACTCCCAGCAGAGGAGGGTTTCACAGCCATGGGAGCTGAACAGGGCCCGTTGGTGTGGTCAAGGGTACCAGATCCTAGTGCATCTGGACAAGATTGGGTGGAGACGTGGCAGGTTGTATGGGAATGTAAGCTGTGAGTGGAGAATGGCCACCCCCATATGCCTCCCATAGACCTCATAGGTTTTTCTACAAATAAACGCATATCTGGAAATGTATATTAAAAAATAGCATGGTCTGGAAGGACTGTCATAGTTGGATAATCTGAAGGCAGGTACTTCAGAGGACTATTCAGGCACTTTGAGACTAACAGTTTGGTATTTGGGTAGACATAGAAGGTACTTCAGTAAATATAATTCTTAAATAATTGTGTGTATTTGTATCTTTCTTCTTTTAGGGAGACTCCTACCCACTGGCAGCCTCTGCCAGGCACGAAAGCAGCCTTGTTGGTCAAAGTGAACAGTTTGAGGCAGATGCAGAACTTTTCAAACAGTTCTCTTCAGCTGCAGGGTGCTCCAAAGCCCAACAGCCCAAAATCTCTTCCCAAACCAGCTGTATATGCTCAGCCTCAATCCACATCCCAGAGCCCTGGAGCCACAAAGCAAATGCCTACTGGAGAAACAAAGCAGTCTATGCAGATCAAAAAGACCGAGAGTGGTGGGTTTTGCCTGGTGATGATGAATGGTCCTACTTCTCAAACACCTCCAAGAAGCCGGACAGGAACCCCCCAGCCTGCATCCCCCACATATGCCTCTCCTGCACCTATATATGATGAGCCATCTTTAGAGTTGCCAATTTATGACGAGCCACCAGTAGATATGGATACTGAAAGCATTTGTGTGAGTGGGATGTCTCCACCAAGGTCACCAAGCAATAGCTTAAAAAAGCAGGTGCAACCAACCAAATTTTTGCAGCATCCCAGTATTCAACAACAGCAAGCTGCAAAGAAGCATGCAAGAAATCCCTCTTCCACTGAATACAGCCCAGCTGGCAGAGAATACATAAAACATATGGTCAATGTTGACCAATCTGCCAAACTCTCCCACTCTTCTGTTGCAACAACAGATACCTCCACTAAACTGCCTGGTCAGCTTGCTTCAAAGGACAGCTTCAAGGAGTCTTGGAGGATCTTGGAAGCCAATGTTCTCAAGAACATGGAACTCCACCACAGTCGGCAAAACAGCCTGCAGACTCAGGAGTACCCAACTGGCCATCAGGATTCTGGTTATTCAACTGGTCCTTCTCCAAGCTTGAGAAAAAGGAAAGGAAGGAGGCAAGGAGCAGGTCAAGCAAGACCTGGCTCTGTGGGCAGCAGCAGTGAGCTCACAGCTCTGAATGATAAAGTGATTGCTGAGATGCGTGCTGTGGTGGGTAGGTCAGCAGCTTGCAGGGGAAGCAAAGGCAGCCTGGATGCTGAGGGCCTGGAGAACGGAGTTCCAGCAGAGAGCAGCAAGGTCAGGTTTCAGTCTGACCGCTTGAAAAAATCCATCAGCCAGAGCTCCAGGGATGATGTTGCAGCCAGCAGTAGGTCTCTGTACAGACAGGACCTGGAGATTAGGGAATTCTTTCCCAGCAGTGTGGCTACTCCACAGGACACAATGAGGCAGAAGAGAACTTTTGAGAAAATAGATTCTTTAGAAAAGAATGTCACCAGCCAGACAAGTGTGACTTCATCAGGTGCTACACGTCATTCCTCCCAGGTACCTCCCCATCTGTGCCATATAAAATTTTTTTTTTTTCATTGCTAGACTTACTAGACTCATCATAGAGAGCCTGCTTCTGGGGGGTTTAATTCCAGGGGTATGCTGCAGGCAAGACACATCTGTTCCTGCAGAGTAGCAAACAGGTCATAAAGCTTCACATCTTTGCTCGTGGAAACCCTTTTTGAGGCCAGTGGCTTGAGAGGAAGGAGAATTGTGGGATGGGGTTCATGTCCAGCAAGGCCTCAGCACTGTGGGTAGTTCTGCTCTGCTACTTGGGTAAATGTGCTTGCCTGATCATGTTACTGTCACTCTTGTCTTCCCTTACATGTACTTTCTTCACTGGAATGATCTGAGTTGGCGGGTATGGCATCAAGATTTGCATAGCCACATGACAGCAATTCCTCCTTTTCTCTCTTCTTTTTCAAATGGTTCCTCATAATGCTATTCTCCTTCCCAATTCCTGAACATGGAATAGCAGCAGTATTTAGAAGATTGGTGTCAGTGGCTCTAGCATCTTGTTGGAAATAGCTATTTTAAAGCCCCATTAGTGTGCCTGCACAAAGGAGTAGTTTTCTCTCTAACACAGCACTTCTGCAGGATTATTTTGCCATCTTTTTTCCTACTTGGATTCAAAGGAATGTCCTGCTTCCTGGTTTTAGTTCAGATTTAGGTTCTTTGTAGATAGTTTTATATCTCCTGAAGCTTTTTCCCTTTTTTGTCTTTGCTCACTCTGTGTTCCCATTTTGAACAAGCAGGATCTCTACATCAATTTGATAAGGCAGAGCTGACAATCATCCTCCATGCTGAAAAGTGGCTTCTTTTTTCTAGTTTTTCTTCTGTTTGCTGGTACAAAGTCTTTCATGAATAAACTTGGGAAAGCTCCTTGACTATTCCAGATTGCTCCAGCAGACCTGTGAGGTGTAACTTTTCTTTGAAAGCCAGGCTGACAGCTCTCCACTCTATCAGATTTATCTGTGTGTGTTCTCTTTATTGCTATTTTGGATCAATAAGTGCCTTGCTTTCATCTGAAACCTTTTGGAAAACTGATATCATGTTCCCACTTTTCAGGCACAGAGACACATCAAGTTTACATGACTTACATGTTACTATTAATAGTTCAACAACTTCATTTCATAGCCTCTTTAGACTTGGTAGGAAACTGCTCTCCAGTCTTCTGGCTGTGGTACACCTTGTTACATTGACAGGGAGAGCTGAAACTTGATTATGCACAAGAGATGGTGGGTTGGGGATAGGCTGTGAATGTCCTTTAAAGTGAAGAAAAATAATTTATATGTGGTAATATGGAGAAGCAGAAGATTAAAAGAGACGGATGTTGTGGTAGAGGCAAAAAGAGTCAATTAAAAAAAATATTCACAAAAATACTCAAGAGTCCAAGTAAAGAAGGGAGGAAGTTGCAGAAAATTTGGCAGCAGAATCACTGCCTCACCTGAAAATAACATCCAGTGGCTTGAGTGAGCAGTGATGTTTTGTGCTGGGCTTGTATGATAGAGAGGAAAATTGGGAGATAAGAAAACTCAGTATTGGAGGAGGGTGGGCAGAAGTTCTGGGACAGGCTAAGCAGAGGTGGCTGTGAATGAGATGTGAGAGAGAAGCCACAGAGAGAACAGAGGAGAGAACCCAGAACTTCCTGAACCTCAAGATAGTATGAGGAGGTGACTCCTCAGAAGGAACATGCTGAAGGAGCAGGTAGGGTGATAGAAGGAAAACCAACTCCAGGCTGGTAAGGTGGTTTGAAGGAGACTGAGGATGTTGAGATGGCAGAGAACTGCAAATGGGGATTTTTAGTCAGTGTGTTGAGTGAATTCAGAGGGTGAGGAGGTAGAGGAGTAATTCAAGGGATAAAAAGAACAAAGTAAAAAACCAGGAGAGATTATTGTGCCCCAGGCTGGCAGTGAGGGGTGGAATGTGATGTGTGCTAATCCCATCATCTGCATGTAGAGACATGTGGGGTGTGAGATGGGAAAGGGTTGGACTGCAGAAGCCTCTGTCCTGAATTCAGGAGTTCCTCTATACTAAGAAGGAAACACTGACTTGCTCTAAACTTCTAAGAACTAATGTGTATTTTGGGGTTAACTGTAGACCACTGTCTCATCCTCCTCCTGGGCTTCTGGAGCTCCATTGAAACTGAGGAGTGCAGAGATACTTGTTTCCTTGATGTGTGCTTGGTGCCACAGAGCTGTGCTGCTGCTCTGGAAATTGGCTCAACTCCTTCTATCCCTGTAAACTCCGCAACAGCTGGGATGCTCAGCCCTGTTGCTCCGTGTCCCAGCACTTCCCTTAGGGACAGCATTAGTGTGTTGCTGTGCCAGCCAGGCTCTTTCAGAACTACAGGTGTTATCCACCAATTCTACATGTACCAAGTCATGTTTGTACAGATTCACCACTGTGCAGTTGCTGGCAGCTTCATGTCTCACTATGGATAATTTTCCTAGCCAGGTGTAAGGAGTCGCCTAAGCTGCTTTTAACATGTCTGTTCTTCTTTGCAGCCTGAGACAATAGAGCTGGAGCCCAAGCAGGAGGGCAGCAGCCAGCGTGGGGGCTGTGTGGAATGCCATTTCCCTTACAGCACCCTACGGAAGCCCATCTCTCAGAGCAGCATGGCAGATTGGGCTTCCAAAAACCTGAACATGCACACACAAGGCATCTTCCGACGAAGGATCTCCATCTCCAACATGCTGTCCTGGAATGGTGGCTCCATTAAAAAGCCAATGCTCATCACTAGCAACCGGACCATCAAAAAAGAGGCATGTGAAATGTTCAAACTGGTGCAGAGCTACATGGGAGATCGTCAGACTCGCATGGACCGCAATCACGTGGCATTGGTCACGGTCACCAAGTGCTGGAGCATGCAAGGCTTGCGGGATGAGCTCTACATACAGCTGATCCGGCAGACAACAGATAACATGTGCTACCGAAGCCTGGCGTGGGGCTGGGAACTGATGGCCATCAGTCTGGCCTTTTTTTCCCCATCACCCAAATTTCAGTCTTACCTGGAAGGTTACATTTACCGCCACCTTGACAGTGATGAAAAGAGTAAGTGCCTCATGCACCTCCTCTGTATGCAGCAGCATCTCTGTGAGTTGTGCCACATAGCCAAGGTTGTCTGGGTTTTAAAAGTACAGGTAGTTTCCAGCTAGTGCTGTGGGCTCTGTTAGTGAGAGCACAGTGTACTGTCTGAGTTCACCTTTCATGGGTAGAATGAAGCTGCCACCAGCTCGTGCCTGGCAAAAAATTGCAAACCCCAGACTGTGCTTACCTCACCCGTCAGCACTGAAATGAGCTGATGTCATCCCTCCAAAGGCAGAGCTTTTCTGGGTTCTCTGATGACATAATTTTAAGATCCTTGAAGCTGGCAAAATAAAAGGATTGTTAGCATCTAAATTTTTAAGGGAGCCATTGGAGACACTGAGAACAGACCTTGCCTGTTTGGGGATCCTGAAGAACACAGGCTTTTAGTGTGAAGAGATGAAATTTATGTGTCTTTCAGAAGTTTGGGGACCAGCCCAGCTTATATTCTGCTATTACCCCAATTTTAAATTGCTATAGCATCTGATTGGAGAGGGTGGGGGGATGGGGTGTGAAGAATAGAAAAAAAGCAAAGTACCAGCCTGAAGAGTATTAACTGGTATTTATTGGCTTATTTCCACTATTTCAGCCACACACACTGTATCTTGTCCAATCTCAGGCCAGAAACTAGGCACCTATTTTCCTCTTGATCTCTGGGGACCTGCTGTGTTTGAAGCCCCCCCAGATCTCCAGGGTAGATACTGGAGTTCTGCCCCTGCTCATGAGCATGGTGGCAGAGATCGGACCAAGGGGCAAGTGCTACACTGGCAATATTTGCCTTCTTTTTTATGATTTTAGCCTTAATGTGGGATTTCTTCACTGAACTGCCTGTTGTGCAGCACTAGTTTGTTTTATAAAGATTTTCAGCCATTGTCACTTCTGTCCAAAAACATTTCCTCCAGCTGTGCTTTGCCTAGAATGCAGGCAAAAATGAAGAGTATTCTGAGATATTGAGAAGATGGTTCTTTTGCTGGTATTTAGCAAGTTTAATTAGGTATAAACTTTTCAAGTGGAACTTTTCAGGAGAAGCTGAATGTTCTGAGCCCTCATTCAGGTTCATTGGGAGCTGGCTGTGGTGCAGGACCTTTCCCCTGACAGAGCTTCTTATTGCTGGAGTCAGGCTGGCTGCCGTATCTCAGGGCAGTTCTGTATTTTGGTATTTTAGTATATACCACGTTATTAATTGAGACTCTCTTCTGAATTTTCAGTTGCCCAGCACATCAAGGAGCTTGTGGATCTGAAAAACAAGAAGATCACAAAATCCAGGAAAAAGAGAAAACAAAACACAGAGGATGAAGGTAGGGAGAGGCACAGGAAGCTGAGAGAGAGGTCTGCACTGACTTTAGGCAGGCAGCAATGCTGAGCTCTGCTGAAAATCAAACCATTTCTTTAAATACAGAGACTTGGATTTGGGAAAATTTATCTGGTGGTAGGCTGGTGTTCAAGATTAGATCAGAGCATGGATCAGCAGTGCGAGTGGCAGCTGGGCTGCATTTGGGACAGGTGAGGGCCCTTTCCGTCACAATTGTGCAAGTTGTGTGAGGGATTTTAAGTTGGATGCAGATTTGGTGCTGTAATTCCTCTGATCTGTGCATGCCACATTTCCTGGAGTGTATTCTGGTGCTAGAAGCCAGAAGCCATATGAGCCAATGTGTTGAAAAGAACCTGTCTCAGTTGTCTTAATGGATTTTGTAAATCACTGCCTGACCCGAGGCTCTTTCTGGAGGATGCTGGTACTTGGTGAAGGACACTGTCTTTTTCTCTCCAGAACTGGCTTCCCTTGCCCACACTTTCTGGGCTCTGCAGGCCAGGGCTTGCCCTGGCATCTGTGCGGAATGAACAAGAGCTCGCACATTCCTCCAGACTTAGTTTAATTGCTGGGGTCAGGATAACACTTTATCTGACTAAAGCCTTACTAGGCAAAGTCCATTCAATATTTTTTATATTGCTTTAAGGAAACTTCAGTTAGCCCTGTGAATTCCTCTCAGGCAGCAGTTTATATCAAGTGGCTTCCGTGTTTTTAATCTGTGAGGGCTGGAGTCCAGCTTCCTGCATTCCTGAGCACTCCCAGCAGACAGCTGCTGCCTCTGGTGGCTTCCCTGTGTCACTGCTGTGTCACCCTGTTTCATGAGGCAGCTGCAAGTCAAGGGGTAGGGCTGAGGACAGCCCTGGGTTGAAGCTCTTGCACTAACAGTGTTCATTGTTTCTCTGTCTCTGGTGGGATTCAGAGCAGAGACCTGCAATTGCATCGAAGGATTATATTTCTGGTAGGAATATGTGTTTTTTCTTTCATGTTCAGGCCCAGGAGAGTTCAGACCATTCTGAGCCTTTGAAAATTCATTTTGCATGTGCTCTGAGGGACTAAGACATCTTTATGAGACAGCTCCATGGAGATTGTTCTGTTCAGCAGGGCGTGATGTGGGCTGAGTGGGCTGTTCTGTGCAATACCATGTCTAAATTGTGTGTGCTGGAGATGTGCTTAGGAGAACAGATGTAGTTTTTACCTAAAAACAAACATTAAATTTAAAATTTAAAACAAAATACAAACAAAAACCAACAGTTAGACTCTTTGTAGGTCCCTTCCAACTCAGGATTTTCTATGTTGCCTCTGATACGTATTTTTAGATATATATATATATATATATATATATATATATATATATATATTAAAAATGTTATGAAAAAGGCATGCTAGGATAACTTCATAGAGTTTCCAGAAGGAAGCACTTGAAAGTCAGCTGTGCGTGTGTACCTGCGTGGCCCCAGCTGGGGCTCTGGTGACAGGTCACACACACTGTTACCTTTCATAGAATCATGGAATCATTAAGGTTGGAAAAATCCTCTAAAGTAATTTAGTCCAGCTGTTCCCACAGCACTCTCAAGGCCACCACCAAATCATGTCCTGAGGTGCCACATCCATATATTTTCTTAATACTTCCAGGGATGGAGGTTCCACCCCTGCCCTGAGCAGCCTGTGTTCCAGTGCCTAATTACCCCTGCAATGAAGAAATTTTCTTTTATATCCAGTCTAAATGTGCCCTGGCGCAGCTTGAGACTCTTTACTCTTGTCTGTCTTTCTGGCCCAGGAGGCTGCTCTGGCAGGGACCAGGCTATGAGTTGTTCTGCCGAGGTTTAACAGAGGAGGCAGCAGGGCTGGCAGCTCACTCAAAACAGCTTTTTCGCAGTGACTGAAACTCTGAGGACTTTTCCTAGAGACTGACTTTAGAATTGCACCTGAAGTAAGGGGAAATCTTGCAGGAACATGCCATGTTCTCTCTGCTGCTGGCTGGAAAGGTCAGGTTTTTCCCTGGAGCCCCTACTTCTGGTTGACCAGCCGTGCTTTCCAGATGTGTGAGGGGTGGGTAGGATGCACCTGAAGCTGCAAGGCTGTTGCGAGAAGTTTCTTAGTGGCTCTGAAATACTAAGATGCTTATGGATGCTGTAGCATCAGTTTAGCGGGGAAATCCATAAGGAAATCAAATGCACTGACTTTGGTCAGAACTGAGTAGAAGATAAGTAGGCATCTGTGTAAGTCTTTCAGTGAAAAGTTGAGTTGAAGCAGTGAATCCCCACACATGTGCACATACTGCTTTCAGTCCAGAAGCTCATAGGTGAGTAAAGATTTACCACCTGACATATACCCAAAGAAAGAATTCTGAAGTTTCCCACACTTAACCTCTGCAGTATTCATCTTCTAGCTTAATTCTCTGTGAATAAATGAAATATAAATGTGGTTCAAGGTCTTTTCATGCATGAATAACCTGTTGGCAGGCAGAAGAAGAATGGGTAGGAATAAATGCTGTGTTTTCAGAAGGAGGATTGTCTGCTGATCCCACAGAAATGTGAGCTGGTCTTTGGATTTGTACAAGGAGACAAATCATGAGCTGACAACTCAGTGTTGATAGAAAATTGTTAACAGCTATAAAAATGAAGGGTGCAGAGGGATCTGGCAAGAGTGACAAACAGAGCGATCAAGCAGCAGAGAATGTTGTGTCACCAAAAGCAATGCTTTTAACTGGGGGAGAGGTCTCTAACTGCAAGTGCAGGGGGAGGTCCCAGTTGAGCCTTTTTGAGGAGGGAAAGACATTTTCCAGCTAGTATATGAATTTCTGTAAACACATACACATTGCTAGGAAGTGGTCAGAAACCAAAAGAGAGATCAGGAGCTTGCAGGGAAGGGACAGAGAGCAAAGCAGCTCTTGGCTGTAGTCATGCTGTGCCCACTCTGTATGTCCTGCCCAGGGGTCCCTCCAAGGCTGATGAGTGAGGTGGGGAAGGTGACATGTGAGCTGGACGTGGAGGAGGGAAGAGGGGCGATGGTCAATGGGATGAAAGAAACTTAAGATTACCTGGGGAAAGCAAGAGGAAAATTTCTCACTGTGTGCTGTAGGAGAGCTGAAAGCTGCCTGGTTTTGGTGTTGGGCAGCAGGCTCAATAATAGTCTGTCCTGAAGCACAGAATGAAATCCCAAAGGGCTAGAACATTGTTCAGATTGCCATGACCTTCCCAAAGAAGCATCTTGAAGAAGACATCTCAGGGGCACAGGCACATCTACGCTCATGCTGGGTGGTTTCAGTTCTGCCGTAATCCAGGCACACAGAAGGAGAGACAGGGTCTTTGTGTGGGGTTCCAAGGAGAGCCTTTATTGAGCTTCTGCGTAAAGGGATCCAGGGATGAGCAGCCACTCTGGCAGGGAAGGCAGGGTTTTATACAGGGATCATGAGGGGCAGAGCAGAACACCAGGGCCAATGGGATGAGGGCACGGGGTGGAGGGAGTGGGAACGGCCAATGGGATGCATTGAGTCTGCGCATCACAGACTGCCGGGAGAAGCTTTTTTCCTTACCCTAAGAAGGGTGGTTGTGGCTTGAGGGGTTTTCTGTCCAGGGGAGTATTGTGGGTTCTTTCCCTGTTGGCCCACCAGCCCCCACAGTTCAGAGCATAAAGAGGCTTAGAAAGAAATGGGACAAATGCAAAGAGGGGAGGTCTGTCTTTTGATGGCTAATGGTCCAGGTACAACATTGCCTGAGGGTAGTGCCCACCTGCTGTTAGCTCGGAGTTTGTTGAAGGGAGATACCAATTTTTAAGACATCCTGTATCTGTGTCTTATCTTGGTGACAGGTGCAGGCTGCTGGCTTGTCTGGCTCATGAACATGGCATTTCCCATATAGGGAATGGTGATCCAGAAGCATTGTTGGGGTGTGGAAGGAAACACTGGTGGTGTGAAAAAGAGGAGCTAAAGCAGTGATGTAAAATGGATCCTGGGCAGATCTAAGCCAGGAGAGCAGCACTGCTGGTGCCAAGCCTAGTTTACCTGCTCAGGAGCACCTACCCCTATGCTATAGAGTGCAGTGAGATGGGATCCTGGTCTGAGAACCTGCTCTGGCTGAGATCCAAAACGCTGTGGTAGATCAGAGGAATATCTAGACAACAGCTTTCTGTAGTGCTAAAATACGTATTCTATGGCCAGGTCCTAAATCCACACTTTTTGGTGAATTTTTAGGACTTTTTTTTTTCGCAGGAAAGCATTTAAGTCAGTTTCAGAAGGTATGTTCCTGCATGTGTCTAGTCTGGACTTTAACTTTTTCTAAAAGGAGATGTTCTTTAAGATGCTGTCCACGTGTGTTTCTAGGCTGGAATATGGAGAAATATTTTCCTTTGAAAACTATTTTTCACTATGTGGGCTGTTAGTAGTCTTCTGTTCCTGAGCTCCTGAGGCTTCTGTGATACCACAGGGAATAACAGATTATCTTGGATTTCTCAGATTCATTATGTGCTCACAGAATTGCCTTCAGGATTAGCCCTTTCCAGGTAGTGCAGATGAAGCTGCCCAGCCCTGCAGCAAGAGGCTGGAGGGAGTACCTGGCCCACATGTCTGGAGATGTCAGCGTGCGTGATGAGCTCAGCGCCGGTAGTCAGTCTCTAGCTGAGCGTTCTGAAAGCAGCAGATGGTTGGGACACGTTGCTGGTTTGGAAAAGCTGAGGCTAAAGCTAAATTCTACTCTTCTCCCTCATGTGCCTTCCTGCAGCTCAGCATGTGCCTCCTGGCCTCTCCATGTCTCTCTCCATTGTTGCCCATCCCACTCTGCACATGCCAGGAAGACTTATACACTTATGTTGGGGCAGATGGCTTCTGCTCTGGAGCAGGGAGACTGCATGGAAGCCATTGGTCTGTGCCCTCTGGGATGAGTGCTGCTTACCCTGTTCCTCAGGGCTTTTGCCTCTTTTTTGGCCATTCAGGTCTATGGACAGTAACTCCTCCATCCTCTTGAGCATGTAGCAAGTTTATTTTTCAGTTACTTAAATTTGGTCAGCTTCACATGTGACCCCAGCAGGCCCCATTGGGTCAGAGGCTGTACATGGTTGTCATGGGAGCAGGAGGCCTCGCTGCAAAAAGTGCTGGATGTAGGTTTTAGGCTTTTTCTGAGATTGGGAGCTTCCTGGGAAAATACAAAATAGGCTTCAAGCAGATGTGTCTGACTGCTGCCCATGCATCAGCCATGCAGAATCTGCAGGACACCAGTTTCTTTTGCAAACATTGTTAAGCTTTTAGGGTGATTATGTGTTTCATGTCTAAATACAGTGTGAAAAAATTATTCTATTATTAATTGTGAATGTGCTGTCTCCTGCAAAATTGCTGGGATGCAGAGATGCAGTCCAGCTTCTTCCCCTTTCCCTCTGAGAAGGGTGACACCTCTCTTCAGGGTATGTCTCACATTGGTCAGCAGAAGCTGTAACCTGGGATAGTAAAGCATCACAGGGCATCTCATTTGGTTTGTTTCCTTTTAATCCTTATATATTCCCAGTGTAAGTCATGCCTAGCAGGATTTTTGCTTACAGTGAATATTTTGCATTAGATATTCCCTAGAGAGAAATTCCCTAAACTGGCTTTCCTTCCCATTGCCTGTGGGAGATGGGAATGATGTTGTACCTGCTCTGGTGTGGCTCCAGCTGTGAGGCAGATTGATGGAAGCAGGAGGTGCTTGTTTCATCGAGAGGAGCCAAGGACTGTGGTTTATCTGCTGGCTAAGAGGATAACACATCTCCCACCTCTGCTTGGGAAGAGTTTGTCCTCCCTCTGCATTAAGAGGATTTGAAGACATCCAAGCTCCCAGTCAGCATACCTAAGCCATAGGCTGTGTGAAAGGCTGATGTGAAATGCCCAGCATCTGACTAGAATGTAGACTTTCACCGCCACAAGTATTTGAACTGTGCTGCAAGCTTTAGGCCTGGCAGGGAATCAAATAGCGCAGATCTATTCACTGCTTTCAGTGAGCAGTTTTGGGTTTTACTTGAACAAGAACAAAAGGCCAATGGTTTTGGAAAAACTCTCTCAGCAGTCAGTGCTCTGTCATTGCAAACATTTCTCTTGGTGTCACGGGAGGATTATCTCTGTGAATGGTGGCTTGCACTTGCCTTCAGAGTACACTGAACCAAGCACAAACAGAGGAGGTGGAGGGCAGCAGCTTTTGAGGTACAGTTCCCAGGCTTTGGTGTGTCCCATTTTCCTTGTCTCACAGAGCATGCCTGAGCTGCCTGGTACAGGCTTTTGTTGGAGAAGGTTGCAGGCAGGAATGTGAGGAAACCTTCTGCAGATCTCTGGGAAGATAAGATCCCATCATCTCCCCACGCCTCTTCTTGTGTCCTGAGGTCACTGTTGGTGCTGCCACTCTGTCCCCACACACCTTTCTCTGCTGCTCCTCTCTCACTAGCAAAGGAAGCAAAGTTCTCAAATAATAAACAACCTTGGCTTGTGCCCAGCAGGCCAGGGCCCAGGCATGTGTGTGTGCCCAGGCTGTGAATGCTGAATGGGTGCCACGTGTGGAGTCAGGGTGGGGCAGGTGCGCTCCGGGTGTGAGAGGCAGAGATCTGCAGGAGCAGGGATGGGAGGTGCAGAGCTGCACCTTCACTCTGGAGATTAATCTTTCTAAGCCCAAGCCCTAGCATGCACTGACACTGTCTGCCGTGGGACTGGGAGACTTCAAGGTGCTCAATGCAAGTTTTGGCAGTCCCGCCCTGCTGCAGTGGGCTGTGCATTGAGGGGACTGCTTGTGCCAGAATGAGCTGCTGTGCTGGAGCTCTCTGAAGGGCTTCAGTGCATGGTGCTGTGGGCTGATCACTCATTTCCTCTTTCTCACCAGGTCTACCCATTAGCACCTACGCCAAGTACTGCTACCGGAAACTCCATAAAGTAGCCGTCACTGGAGGCAAAAAGGTGAGCAGTTGCCCTGGCTGTGGGGCCTGGGGGCTGCCTGGGGGACTCTGGTGGTCACCACTGATTCAGTGATGGGAAATGGAGATAGAGTGAGCGGGGGAGGCTTGCTCAGAGTACATTTCTCCATGAATGTGTGGGAGAGGGCTGCTGTCCAATTCCTGCCATCCTTCTGGCAGACACCACTGCCTGCTCTGCAGGTATCTGCATGGCTGCCTACTTCCTGGCCTCAGGGACAAAGACAAACCCAACACTTACCTGTTTCCAGGGTATAAGGAGCTGTCTGTGCACGGGATACTCATAATTTTGTTTCTTCAGGTGAGGGAAAAGTCTCCCTTTGCACTGAGAGCTTGGGTCTTGCAGCTGTTTTACTGCAGAGTTGTTCATTCCCAGTTCAAACAGTCATACAGCAGAGATGGGTGGTGCAGAGGGGAGTCTGTGCTCTGTGTTGTCTGGAATCTTCCTTTCTTCCCTTTGCACGGTTCTGCCTGTGGCCATGAAAAGTGGTAGATGGCCTGTCAGTTCTAGGTCACTGAGCCAGATCTAGTCATCGGGTTTTTTTTTTTTTTTGGAAATTCCTTTGGGGACTCCCTGCCATCTGAACTTTGCCTAGTGAAGAAATTAGCTGAAATACCTTGAGAGGGGTGAAGGCTTCTGGCATCCTGCCAGGGGCAGGACAGTAAGCCTCCAAACACACATTGCACACAAGTGCAGCCCTGGCCACTGACCCTCAGAGGGCTCAGTGGGAGCTTCTCCCTGTCATGTTCCCCACTTGGCTGCAGGATCACTGCTGAAGGCCACTGTGCTGGGCATCTGGGCATCCTGTTCCCCCTGCGACAGCTCTGTGCTTTTCCAAACTGCTGCCAGAGGACATTCAAATCCCCCTGTAAGTGTTGGTATTTGTCAGAAGCAACAGGTACCAATGCCTACTTTTCAGGTTTTAGCACCTCTGAGAGCAAAGCTTTCCCTGGAGTTGGAAATACCTGGAATTCCCATCTCCAAAGGACTGTTTTACACCTGTCAGTGGCTTAAGCACTTGCCCGATGCTGGGTTAGGATATGGGTGCCCTCTGCTGACCTCACACAGCTGGGACTGGGCCGGGCTCCACTCCATACTGCCTCCTGCAGCAGGTGGAGCTGCAGCCAGAGCAGTCCCCTTGCTGTGCAAAACACAGCAACAGAATCTCTGCAAAACCGGCCCAAATTCTCCAAAGTGGTCTCCTCTGCACCTCGTGGGCCTGATGAATAGACCCACCCCTGTTTTTAGGCAGCAGAACAAGAACCATGCTGCCAGGAGGGTGACAAGGTGCCCACACTGGGGGTCAGTCTTCTCTGTCCTGGCCACTCACCATCCCCATCCCTGGGTCACTCTTTCTCTGTGGGCTGGCTGTGTCATGGCTGCACAAAGCTTTTCTCTGTCCTCAGGGCCTCCGTAAGCCAACAGTGGAAGAGATAACGCATGCCAGGAATGCCATCCTCACGCCATCGCTCTTCGGCAGCTCCCTGGAGGAAATCATGCTGCGGCAGCAGGACATGTATCCAGGGAACAAGCTCCCCTGGGTGCAGACACAGCTATCACAGCAGGTCCTGGCCCTGGGAGGGGAACAGACGGAGGGGATTTTCAGGTGAGCTTTTGCAGTACTGTGCTACTTTTGAGCAAACCACATGTCAGTCCTCATAGCCAAGAAGTCAAGATCGACCTCCACAACCTTCCTCTTCCCTAAGAATAGCGCTTCACTGTGGACTGGACAAAATCTGACTTTCCTCAGGTTCAAGATTCACCTCTTGTAGTGTCATTAGCTAGTTTGCATGTGTTAGCACAGAGGGGACTGGTGTAGGTGTGACTTAACTATGTGGACAACTCATCCCCAGGCAGGGTGATGAGCTTTCATCAGATTTGGCAATGGTGGTTAGCCGGTGTAGGGGAGGGAGGAGCTCCCTCCCTGGCATCCTGGCAGAGCCCTTTATCTAATGCAGCACATCAGCCTCAGTGCTGCAGAAGACTCAAGGAGTCAAGAGAGACACAGAATCTGTGTGGTGAGCATGGGGGACTCTGCTTTGGGTTTGGGTTTTCTTTGTTGTTTTCTTTGTGTGTGGTTTTGTTTTGCATTTAAGATTTGAATTAGTTTTTCAGTACCTAAACTTAAGATAGTTGTTAAAAGGCTCACTTTACCTTGTATGGGTAAATTTTTTGATAGATAGGTAGATAGATAACAGATAGATAGATGTGTGTATATATATAACTATATTTTGCCAGAGATGCTGCTCGTCTTTGGTCTGAACACGCTGCAAAGAAGGCTGGTTACAGAAAATATTCACTCCTGAGAACAGAGGTAGTTGATATCTGAGCTAGTTAGAGCCCCCACTTCAAGATGGTGTATAAAAATAAGCACCCCCTTCTCTCTGAGGAACTACTGCTGTAGCTGCCATTGGTGCCTGAGGCCTTCTCCCTGCTCCCTTCTCCCTAAGGCCCCAGAAGCAGCTTTGGAGCCGTGCTTTGCTGCCTCACCAAGCACATTGCCTGGCTCACTCAAAAGGACCTTTTCTGTGTCTCTGCAGGATACCAGGTGACATAGATGAAGTCAATGCATTGAAATTGCAGGTGGATCAGTGGAGAATCCCAAACAGTCTCAGTGACCCCAACGTACCAGGTACAGGACTGTTGCAGGTGTGTTGCTGCAGCCTCAGCCACGGTGCAGTGTGGAGGGGCAGGTGCAAGAGCAGCTCAGTGTGTGTGCTGCTGCTTGGCAATGTGTACACAAGCTGTCTGCACTGACCAGGATTTTGTTCTGTGTCTTTTCACTGCCTTTCCAAACACTGCCCATAGAGGAAACACTGGGTGTGGGGAGAAATCTCTGTCTCTGATGTAGTAAGGCTGTGCAAGCTGAGCAGAGTGGTGGGGGTCTTTCAGGTCTCCTTGTTCTCTTCTTTAGGCAGTCCCAGAGCTGCTTCCTAGAGGAGCAGGTAGGTAGCAGCCAGTATTTGCCACTAACTGGTCTGCTTGGGTCCCTGAGCATTTCAGAGCCAAGACTGTATCAAGGTGAAGCAGCACAAGCACAGAAATCGCTTCTCTGCCATCTCTCTCACTGCCAAGTTTGCCCCTGAAGGGCGTGGGGAAGTGACCAGAGCTGTTCTCATGCACCTGCTTTCTGCCCAGCCTCTCTCCTCAAGCTGTGGTATCGGGAGCTGGAGGAGCCTGTGATCCCCCAGCAGTTCTACCAAGAGTGTATCAGCAACTATGAGAACCCTGATGCTGCTGTGGCTGTGGTGCAGCTTTTGCCGGAGCTCAACAGACTGGTGCTGTGTTACCTCATACACTTCCTGCAGGTAGGCAGCCCCCACAGCCCTGCACTGGGGCCAGGAGCATGTGAGGCTCAGTTAGTGGGACAGCTGTGGTGGGACCATCAGCACAATTTTAAGATCTCTTATCTGTATTAAGGTGGGATTGATGGAGGGGTGTTTGCTGGCCTTGTTCCTTATGGGAGCAATAAACCCTGATCCTCATCTTGTAGAGCCTGGGGTTGGTTTCCTGTCTGCCAAGGCTGCTGCTCTGTTGGTTATGTCAGAGCACAGTGCTCTTCTCTGTGGACGTGTGGCACTTGGGGCACTGTCCTTCAGGCAGGCTTTACGTCTGCTCTCCTTGCACCTTTTCTTGGGCCATGTGTTTGGACTTCCTTGCCCTTTCCCACTGCTCCATCTGAATGTGTTCTTGCTATCTGCAGATCTTTGCTCAGCCATCAAATGTGGGCAGAACAAAGATGGATGTGAATAACCTGGCCATGGTGATGGCCCCCAACTGCCTGCGCTGCCAGTCCGACGACCCTCGCGTTATCTTTGAGAACACACGCAAAGAAATGTCTTTTCTCCGCATGCTGATAGTACACCTGGACACGAGCTTCATCAAAGGGCTGGTTTGAGCCACTGGCCCCACACTGCAAAACATTGCTCTAAGGAGTTGCTAGACTAAGTCTTCTCCTCTCCACTTAGGTTTCTTCCATTGTCCTTACTGTTGTCATGCCCTGGGTTAGCCCTTCAGCATCTCCCAATGTATGATCACAAGGACTGGACATTTCTGGAAGGCTTGGTTCTGTCAGCACCAGGAAATCCTTGGGCATGCCAGGTCAGGTTTAGCAGTTCCTGGCCTTTCAGTGTGCAATCCTCTTCCTGAGAGCCACAAGACTGGGAGCTCAGTGAAAGGGCTGTGGTATGTGTGAGGAACTGCTACATGTGGCAGTGAGACTCTTCATTTTCCTTCTGGAGGCAGAGTTGGCTTGATGTAGGAAAGCATCACTCCTGTGCTGTGGCAAGATCTGGTCCGAGGGAAGGTGCTGTCTCATCAGGAATAATCCTACTACTATGGGGCCAGCCTTGTTCACCTCTGCAGACTGTTGGCTGGAGGTGTCAGAGTTGTTCTGGCGTCCCACGGTGCTGTTGATAAAGGGCTGTGAAAGTGCAGAGGTTCAAGAACTGTAGGGCTGTGCAGCATGTAAGCATGTAAGACCAGCCCTGTGCTGAGTACCCACCCACACCATGATGCTGGGCACAACAGGAAGGCCACACACCTAACAACAAACAGCTAAACAACCACTTTGGCATCCTCTTAATGAGGGCCATATCTTCTGGAGCAGTGACCCCAGTGGCCTTGCAGCTCCTGTTTGCTACAGACAGCATGAGCTGACACCAGCTTTGCTGAGGAGCTCCTGAGCCTATGCTCAGAGCAGCCTTCACAGCTCCAGCTCCTTGCACCCCCCTTCCTAATACCACATCCTTCCCAGACTACTCTGCCAGGAACTAAATACCAGTTTGACCCACCCTTCAGGCTCAGCCCAGGTCTAAAGAAACCCACAACAGTCAGGAGTGTTCCTGTGCTCAGGTACACCCTTCCAGGCAGAGCAGCAGCAGTGCTGTGTGCTTGAGAAATGCTGGTACTGCCTGTAGTCAACTGTGGTATCCATGCTCTTCCTTTGAGGTGTTTTCCTTGCTGGAGGCAGGTCTGCTGCAAAAAAAGTGTGTTTTGGGATTACTGTTGCAGTGCAAAGTCTGCCAGTATCATGCAAGGTTGCATTTGTGTTTCTGTATCCCCCTCCCTTTCCAGTGGGCACCTGGGATCATCCTCTCCAGACTGCAGTGGGGAGCTGAGCCCTGCCCACAGTGAGTTTTAGAGCTGATGCCTGAATCAGTGCCAGTGTGGTGCCATGTGCAGAGTCTTTCTAAGAGGGTTCCCAGAGCCTATGTTCAGATGGGTTTGAATGAACTCCAGAACAGGAATTCAGTTTGTGCCCAGCTGAACAAAGGTTCCTCATACCATATGACCCTGTGGTCCAGGAAATCTTGCTCCCGTGTCAAAATAAGCTTTGTCAAGCATGCCCACGAAATGTGCCAGCATTTGTTTCACATACACACCCATCTCCATGCTTTGATGTCTCTCAGCTTGTTCTGTCCTTTGGTAGTGCTGAACAACTTGTTCTTCACATGTGAAGCTACTCCCCCAGAAGTGTAGAGACAGGCAGAGGTTCCAGCTCTGACATGCTGTCCTGAGATTTGAATTGCTGAACAAGCTCAGGCTGTCCTGTTGCCTGCCAAGGGCTGGAGCAGCCACGTGGGACCTGCCCTCCTTCGGGCTGCAGGTGCCTGTGTCTGTGTCAGGCTTTGCCTGCAGCCACTGCAGTGGTGATCCATGTTACTTCTTGCACTCAGCCAGTGGCAGTCAATCAAACCATAGGCATTTGCTGCTAGTAAAAGTGAATGATTCTAGCAAGGGTTGTAAAACATGCTCATAAAAGACACTGGATATTTTTGTCTTTGCCAACAGATTTGTAAATATCAATCAGTAAAGTAGCTTTTCCTCTGTTCTAATAGTAATAAATACAATCTTCGTGGCTGTATCTTTTGTGAATTGTCTTTTTTGGGAATTTGGAAGAGAATGAATGAATGAATGAATGAATGAATGAATGAATGAATGAATGAATGAATGAATCTTGGAAGAGAATGGTTTTAAACAGGTAAGAGACAATACTGCTTTACACATATCTTCTGGAGCCTTTCAGGGTCATAAAGGTATGAGAGAAGTTTATGGGCAGTTGGACGGTAAGAGGGATATTCTGCTTCTGTCCCTTCTCCAGCAGCTGGGAGTGCTGCAGGTGGACTGCAGGAGGTGGCCACACAGGCATCCTCTGCATGGCCTCCTACGGGGTCTCTGCTGTTGCAGATATAATTAATTGGGTTGTTAGGCTGACCTGATGGGGACATTTTTATGTTCATACTAGAGCATTCTCTCATCTTTCCTTGCTGGTCATCCAAGAAACCTCTGGGAGCAGTCTGTCAGTGCTCGAGACTCGTGCTGGTTGCACAGTGTCGTGGCGCTGCAGGGCAGATGCCAGCTGTGCTAGTTCAGCCACACAGGAATGAGCCCAGGCTCTGGATTGTGTTGCTGGTGCTCTGGAGGGTGGTCACTGTCTTGTCAGACTAGGAAACACTGCTGCACTTCAGACAAAGCCAATGAGGACTGTTCTGTCACACCAGCAGTTAAGGATCACATATGCTGGCCATACCACTGGGTTTTCCCACCAGTCTGGCTGGCAGAAGTGTTGTAGGTGGGCTGTGGGGCAATGGAGCACAGAAGGAAGACCAGGAACAATGTAACCTCACACAGCCCTTTCCTAGGGGGATGTCTGCAGCCCAATTTCTGAGTGTTCCCCAAAGCTTTTCTGTGAAATGAGCTGATTTTTGCCAAATCAGAAAAGGCCACAAACCAAGTGCTTCAGCTCAGGCTCCAAGACTCAGGCTCATTCCTGCAGTCACCATGACCTGACACCTGGATCAGCTAAAGAAGTGATGGCCTTGGAACAAGCTTGTGGTTTGTTCTGGGCTTCTGTGAGCAGTGCAGTTGGAGCCGGCGCTAGAGGGCAGCTGGGACGCAGCTCCTTGAGAGGAGGCACCAGTGGCTTGTCCATTACCTGCTGCTGGTTGTGAGAGACTGATGTGTTCCAACGGGGCCAGCACTCCTGCAGTGCTGGCTGCTCTTGCTTGTGCTGTTGGATTTCTGGCTGGTTTGAGTCTCCTTTTCACAGACCCTTACAATAACTTTTTGCTATGCCTGCAAACAGAGATGGTGAAAGCAATTCTGCTCATGGCAGTTGATAGACACCATGCCCTCATGTCTGTTGCCCATGTGCCACCTCAGCTCCTGAAAAGGCTGGGCAGATGTTGTGGATCACAGGTGGATTTTGGACCTGTGTCCTCGATTGCAAGGCAATGTGTATTCTATTTGCCATCTTTTAGAGGTCTGACAGTTAGCTTCTGTTAATTGGGCAGTTTTCTTCATCTCTTCCACAAACCAATCCTCCCTCTGGGGTGACATTAGTTGTTAATGGGCTGTTGAATGTCACTGCATGACTGATAAAAATTACAGCATCCCATTGTGAGATGCCCCGCCCAGATGGAGGAGCCAAGGATTCTTAACTGGATATAATCTGAGTTTTTGGGACACCAGATCAACCTTTCCACTGGATTCTCAGAGGAACAGCTGCCTTTTTTGCTGGATCTTCAGAGGAAGACTGCACTCTTCTACAGGATCACTGCTCCAACAGAACCACATCTGCCACTCCAGGAAGACTGCAGCCACCATTCCAATTGGACTGCTACCAACACCCTGACCAACAGGGTGTCAGGTTGTATTCTGACTCTGTCAGTGGTTTTTCTTTTGTATTATTGCATGTTTTGTTTTGGTTTTTTCCCTTTTCCTAATAAATTGTATTACTTGGAGTCTCTCACTGGTTTTGCTTTCAAACCAGAACAACCTGCCTGTAGGTTCAGCTTGAGGTGGAGAAAGGGCTTAGCTTTGGCAGCTGCCTGATGTTTTACAGGACAGGGCAACCACAAGGCTACCCCTCTAGTAGAGAAGTTCCCCTCTGTCTTTCCTTCCATTGAAAATGTGAAGGGTCTCCCTGCCCTTGTCCACCAGAGATGCACAGAAGTTCTGCCACCTCCTCAAAGCTCCTGGGTAATGAGAGGCCAGTTTTTAGTATAATCCTCATGTAGGTTTTTAGTCCAATCCTTACATGGAGCTTTGCACTAAATCAGCCCTGTGGGAAGATAGAGACCAGAGGAACAGGCAGGTCTGCTTTGGGAGCCCTGCAGCGGCAGGAGGCAGAGATGGGAGGCTCCCTGTCCTGATTCTGTCCCAGTGCTGGTTTGATGTGGGTACTGAACACCACTGGCAGATTGAGCAGAACTGGTCCATGGAGACAGTGCCAAGCTGGGGCTGTGTGGAGCACGGCTCTGGCTCTGCCACACCCATGGACTGTCTGCGGGACACCCAAAATAAAAGAGATGGGAAAAGTTGAATTAGTTGCTGAGGTTATTGCTTTTAGAGGTCCTGTTGTCCTATACCATTTGTCAGCCATGGTGAACAGTGGCAACAATTGGTTGTGGATGCAGTGGGTTGGGGAAACCAGCTCAGGCATTCATCATCCCATGACGAGGGAACAGGAAGGAGCATGGGTGTTCTGAGTGCGGTGGACCACATAGGGACCTGACCAGAGTTGATTGCTTACAGGTAGCCATGCAGGAAAGCTTTTGGGGCATATGGAGTTCACTCATCAGCTTGACTATTCCTTGCAAAGCAGGGGACACCAGCTGAGGACTCTGTCCAGGCCGCGAGGATTTGAACCTGCATCTCCTGCCCCAGCCTCTGCCTGGACCTTCCTCTCTCTCACCATGTAAACTATCCATTTTGTCTGAAGTGCTTAGTGTTTACAGGTACCATAAAGGGAGCTTGTGTCTGAGGACTGGAGGACTATGTGACCTCTGCTGGCACAGATCAGGGCTGGATGCCGGCAGAGATCGAGGCCCGAAGTCATGAAGGTGTTAGGAAGGTGAAGGCTCTTAAAAGCTGCAGCTTCTCCCCAAGAAGAACTTGTGGGTTACATCAGTTCACCTCCGCTCACAGACACATTTCTTCCATCTCGTCTGTGTCACATCTGGTCTTTTGTTCAGATTACAAATGAGGTGGGAGACCAGGTGGTCCATGAGGGATGTAGAGGGTGTGGAATGGAGGAGGGAGTGGGGCCCTTCCTTTTCAGTGAGCTGCTGGATTGCCTCAGCTGCCTTGAAACAGGCTTCCCTGAAACAACATGGCCGTGGTGCCTGCTGGGGAAGACAAGGGCACTGCAAGTGCAGACAGTCCCCAAATACTGGGCTAGGGTGTCCCCTGGTGGGTGTTACCTCCTTGCTCTGGGACATGTGCATGAGACCCCATAACCTCAGGGATCACAGAAAGGCGTGTAGAGCCTCCTCTGCAAATGGACAGCCCTGTAAAGAATGAGGAGGTGAGGAATTTTCAGCCTTCTCCCTTCTCCTAGCTAAATCGGGATGTCTGGGTGCGGTGATGTAGAAACGTCTGCTTGTCTGTGTGTCCCTCCCAGCCACTCCCTGGATGGGGCTGTGCTTGCTCTGGCCAAGGGCACAGGGTGAGGGTGGGCACCCATCCCTGGAGATCTGTTAGCCAGTTCCCAGCCTCTGGTGCTCTGGTCAACAAAGAAGGGGTGAGAAACTGTCCCAAAGTAGAAGGTACCCAGAAGTGGAATTCTGCTGTGATGATGGCACACTGACCTGGTGAGTCCCTCAGCTCCCATCCTTGTGTGCACCTTGGGAGCAGTCTGGAGGTCAGCTAGGCCTGTGGGACCTGCAGCAGCACTCTGACATAAACAAGTGCAAGCAAGGTGAAGCACAGTGGGGAGAGCAGGACACAAAGCTCATCCCTGGCCTGCTGCACATTGGTGTGGAGGGTGGAGACCATGTCCAGATGAATTTGTAATGCTCCTGCCCCAGAGTGGGATGCTGCAGCAGCTCTGCAGACTGCAGGGCCCTCATGGGGGCTGTGTTGAGGCAGCTGAGGGCTCTGGCAGAGGTCTAGAGACAGGAAAAGACCCTGTTGGCACAGAGTCTCCTCCTTTCCACTGCCATGCAGGCCCCAGAGTGGCCAGGCAGGGAGGAGTGGAGGGTCTCAGGCAGGGAATTGCTTCAGCCAAGCACTGAGGCCTTCGTGACTGCTCTCTGGGGCTGCTCCTTGGGTGCATTGCCCTGCCATGAGTGTGATTGTCTCAGCTGGAATGTAGGGAAACAGAGCTGCTAAGCTCAGGGCCAGCTTCCCAATAGCACCACAACAGCCAGGCCCTTGAGGGGAAATAGCTGAAGGACACCTCACTGGGAATTTCCTCCCTGTTTCTCAGGAATATTGGCTAAATGCAGACCTTTGCCCTTGGACCTCAGGCCCTTGCCTGAGCCAGGTCAGCCATTTCTGTGATGATAGAGATCCTGGTCCAAGCCAGGATCTCCTCCCCTGAGCTGCCTCATCACTGTAGGTTTTGCCAGTGTTCATCTGGTCACTGTCCCTGCTTTGCTCCCATGTACCACTGGCCTGTCCTGTGCTGGATAGGGCAGTGCCCTCCCAGCTCAGTTCCTGCTCAGCTGTCCTATGACAGCTCCTGCTGCTCTCTGACAGGGAGCCGTGGGGAGTGCACAACTCTGCTCATGCTGAGCATAAATAAAGGATTTACAGGTGACACCTGAACTCCTTTGCAGAGAAAGCAGAGAAGATCCAAACTGATCCTTCCACTTGCTCAACAGCGAAGCTTGCTAAACAAGACAAAAATGCTGGCTACTTCAGGCCTCCCTACCTCAAATTCCCTATAAAATTTGGTCTCAGCATGATAGAGGCTGAAGAATGAAAGATAGGACTGGTTACACTAAGGAAAATGCCCAGAGACAGTATGGTCTAGCTAAAGAAAGCACAAACAAGGCCTTGGAAATAAACTCTTTATTGCCACCACAAGGATGTGGTCTGTGTTTGCTGTCTGAGGGCTCTTCAGCTCTCCAGTCACACACCTCACTTGCATCAGATGAACTTTGGGCGCTTTGCTTGGTGCTGTGCTCTGGCCTGGGCTGGAGGGATGGCCTGCGAAGGCAATGGGTCCACGGTAGGGAGAATGTCCTCAGTGGCACAGCTCTCCATTCCACCTTGGGATGTGGGTGGGTTTGCAACAGGCCCTTGAAAGTTCTTGTTGAGGGCTGCTGCAGGCCCTGGTTGACTGATCCGCTCTAATACTGAGTCAGCAATCCGATTTGACATGGTCCTTATTTCCAAAGTGTTGGCTAAGGCTGTTGACTTTAGGCTCCTTTTTCTTTCCAAGTTCTCCTTCACCATTGCTTTTAGGCCCTGCTGTTCAGATGCTCTGGGGAATCCTTGTCCAGCTTCCATGCCCTGCCTTGGACATGTTTGGGATGACTGCACTTGTCTGTTGGAGACATTTCCCCCAGGAAGCTCCAGGATTTCAGTGTACTCACCGCCAGTGTCTTGCTCAAACTGAGAAGTTACAGAGGATTCCAAGGTGTAGTGAACACTCTCAACAACTTCTCTGGTGAGTGTGTCAAGGGAGGTCTTTGAAAGTACTCTGTCTGCAGTGTCCTTGGATTTGTCTGCTTGGGTGGCTCTTCCAGCAAGAGGCAGGTCCTCCCACTTGGCTGCCACCCCTGCCTCAGCAGCTTTGGATGTGCTGGATGCCAGACGGTCCCCCAAGATCTCCAACACTGTTGCTACAAGCTCTTTCGCCATCACTTCCATTTTCTGATGGTGATCTAGAGAAGTATCCAAAAGTTCTACTCTCGTGTGGCCTAAAAGTCTTTCTCTGATTCCCTGAGCAACCCTCTGTAAAAAGCTGCTATGCTGATTCCTAGGAATCTTCAACCTCTCAAACACTCTGTACACCACAGTCTCAACCAGCTCTTCAAGCTTCTTGGCTTCTGCTGCAGTTAGTTGCTCAAACATAGCATTCAAGAGGCCTTTGTCAGTGCCATCTGGCTTCCTCTGGGAGTCAGCAGCAGTGCTGGCATCCTTCTGCCCCAGCTTAGCTCTGGAGTAAGTTTGGCCCTTGTTCAGAGCTGCTCTCCCTTTTCTGCATGCCCCCAGTTTTTGGCTCTTGGGTACGCTGGAAGGCTTTTGAGGCTGCAGCTTCCCCTGACAGGAAGTGTTGGTGATTCTTGGCAGGCTGGGGCCATGCTTAAATTTGGCCCAGGATGACAGAAGGGGAAAAAAAGTGACAAGTGAAAAAAAAAAAGTGACATCTTCCTGAAAAATGACACCAGGTTGTGGGTCATGTTGCTCAACCCCTGCATGCTGAGGATTCCCGCAGGCCCAGGCCAGCACTCTGCTTCAGCCAGGCACGAGGGCAGGGGAGAAGGGCTTCCCTCAGCACGGTGTGTGCCTGCACATGGCCCTGCTGCCCGTGCCCAGCTCAGTGCCCTGTGCTGGCTCAGCTCCCAGCCCTGGAGTCCTTTCCCCACCACAGCGCCCGGCCCAGCAGCACCGCCCTGCACAGTCCCATGCCCCTGAACACAATGCTTTGCCTACTTCTTGCTGCCCCAAGATCTGCTCTGACCGTAGCTTGATCCTGGTCAGGTACTGCCTGTACTCGTTGTACTCCTTCACAGTGCAAATCACCTGTGGAGGGACGAGGGCAGAATCCCCCAAAACCTGTCAAGCCATGCAGTCGGCCTTCCCCAAAACCGCCTGAGCCCAGTGGGAGAGGAGCTGCCCCCAAGCCCTCTCCCCATACCCTGGTGTTGGGGCCACTGCTGTCCCCCCAACCAGGGCTGAACAGGCAGCGTGGGGCAGGCTGAGAAGGGCAGGACTGGGCTTGGCAGGAGGGTGTTGGTGCTGCTCCTGCTCCCAGGGACACCAACGCACAGCCCTGTCCTCTGGCAGCAGCAGCAGCTGCAGCAAGGGCTGTGGGAGCCCTGCTTGAAGAGGGCTGTTCTTGATCAGCCTGATGTCCAAACCTACCTTGTTTTCTCTGGTGACAAAGCCCCGTTTCTTCAGCAAATGCAGCACATCCTTGCGCTTGTGGTAGTCCTGAAGGTGGGGGTCATGCAGGCAGTTGTATGCTGGGCTGAGGTGGTGGCAGTAGGGATCATCCAGAGTGAAACAAGGAAGCGGCCGGTGGAGCTGTAAGAGAGAGTTTCCAGGGGATGAGGAGGCAGGAGAGTGGAGCAAAGAGGTACCACATGGTACCTGTGAAAAGGTAAAGGTCTTCTCCATCCTTCTGTAGGCACAGAGACCTGCACAGACAGACTACAGGGCTGGGCTGTGATGGGTGAAGGGAGAAAAGACAAACTGCACAGCAACCCCACCAGCAAATAGGTATCTTAGGCCACCAGGAAGAACTGCAGATCCATCCGCAAATTAACCTTCAAAGGTTCCAATGCAACCAGTGGAGAGTGGATGAAACCAGTCTCCTTGGGTTAGGCAGGCCCAAGGGCTGTGTTGGCTACCTCCACCTCCAGAAAATCTCTATCGTGGGAAGCTGCAGCGCAAACTGGAGGACAACAGTGTGTGTATACCCCAGGCAGGGAAGCCAGGTTATTCCAAAGGTGCCAAGAAGGCAAGCAGAAGGTTGGAATCTCCCTCACAAGTGCCCCAGGGGGCCTGACATTGTGGGATGAGCTGGAGGACTGAGCTGCCTTGGCACCCAGACACACACAGCTGTCTGCTGAAGGCAGGGGCCCGGCCACACACATGCACAGTGCCAGAAACCAGTGCAAAGATGGACAAGTGCTTTCTCCTCTGTATTCCAGGGAGCCTGGAGTTTCTCTTGCCCAGTCCTGTCCAGTTGAAGGGCTGCAGCTCCTGCTGTAGAGCAGGTGGCCTCAAGAAAATCTTTGCATGATAGGGACTCTATGAAAGAGATTTTCTATCCCTTTCTATTTCCTTTACCTTTTCACCCAGCTTTCCCCTGCAGAAGACAGGCTTGGATCCAGGTGCCACAGGGATCTTGACTGCGAGTGGGAGGTTCAGCAGTTCAGGGTCCATTTTCCTTGTATCTCCTTCTCCCAGGTGTGGTCTTCTGGGGCTGAGATAGGAAGACACAGACACTCAGCTGTTGCCCAACAAGCCTCCTGCATGGCAGTCCTGGAGCCCTAGAGCATCACCCCATGTCCCAGGCTCCCCAGCAGAGCCCTCTATATTGGCCCAGTGGTCCCCTTCCCGCTGATTCCCAGGGCTCTCAGCAGTGCCTCTGCCTTTTGGCAGGACACCAGCAGTGGGACGGTGCTCCACAGCTCTTGCCAAGACCTCTCATGGTGTTGTGATCCCACTCTTACTCTTGCTCCAGAGACACAGCAGCTGCCTCCTTGCTAAATATAGCCAAGGGCATTAAGGGCATTGTTACATCATGGTGATGTCACATCCCTGCATTGTCACATCATGTGCTGACATTGTGTCACACAGAATCTGCCCACCACGCCTGGGGGAGGTTGGTGCGCCCGGAGGCTCCTTTGGGCAGCCCTGTGGGCCACCCCCTCTGTGTGACCCAGCTGCGAGAGCTCCTGTCCTGTCCACAGGCCCCTTGCCCCTCCCCTGTCGTGTCATTCTGTCAGGCAGAGCTTCCTCACCAACTGGAAGGAATGGCTGGAATTGCCTCTCCAAAGATGCCCAGTTTGGGTTCTGCTTTTCCCCTCTTTCCCTTTTTAGGGCTTCTTCCCTGTCATGGCCAAGCAGATCTGGGGGAATTGCAGTAAACTGGATATTTGGCCCATCCCTGGCAACATCTAATTCCTGGTTCATATTTCGAGAAACAGTAGAGAAATGGAGGCTGAGGGGAAGCCCTCTCCTCCTCTTTCAGCAGGCTCCCATTCAGCCCAGACACCTTTCTGCCACCTTCCCAGTCTCCCCTGCCCTGGCTTCTGCCATCCCCGTTTGCTCTCACTTCCTACCCCTTCTTGGCTGGATTTGGTGAGATCTCTGGTGCCCGTTCCTCCAGCCTGTCTGGTTCCTTGGGGCAGCTTTACACTGCAGAGCCCCACCAGCCTCGCTCTTTGCACAAAGGCGAAGACAGGCAGAGCAATCTGTTGGAGATGCAGTGATTGATCCCCACGGGGCTCTCGGGAAACAGCGAGGGGCACAGCCCAGGGATGATGTTCCAGGGCTCCCAAAGCCGTTTCTGGCACACGCTCCAGCTGCAGCTCTTCTCCATCTTGGCCAGGGGAGGAGCAGCATCGGCTGTGCCCCAGCTTCCCTATGCCCCGGGTCCTGCTCAGCCCCCAGGGCTGTGAGCCCCATACCACATTCAGCTGGTGACATCCCTGCAGAGAAATCCTATGAAGTTCACAGTGCAAAACTGCGGCAGCTCAGCAAGGGTGGGAGCAAGGAGGTCTCTGCCTAAAATCTTGGCCAGGCCTGATGGACAAAGAGGACAGAGGAAAGTAGTGCTGCCTGCCTCTGTTCTAAACAGTTTGGGCTCCTTCCTGGGCCAAAAAGCTTAGTTTGTCCACATTACTGCTTTCCTCTATGTGAGGGGAAGCTCTGGACCCAAATTTATCCAACTGATCCAATCACGGTCTGTCTGCAACCTGCACCAGAGCAGGCAGGGACCAGCCAGGTCTGTGGAGGAGTTCCTGTTCCCTGGGAAGGGCTGCCACTCCATGGCCACCCACACCAGGCAAGTTTGGCAAATGTCTGAGCATTCATGATCATTTTAACCATGGACACTAACATCAGAGAAGCTGGACCCCTAGACAGTGAAAAAGGAGAAATGTCACAAGTTGGCACAGACACATCCCTGAGCTACCAAGAGCCATGTGCTCTCCGTGGGAACAGCAAAGAAAAGGAGTCCAGTGGGATCTAGGAAGACCTATTTTGGAGAAGGAAGTGGTTCTCAGGGCAGGTGTGCTATGAGTCTGTAGGTTTTTTTAAGTGATAAAACTCCAGAATGAAATACAGTGCTGTCAAAAAACCCATTACATAAACACTATTCTGATCTTTTGGTAAAATAAAATAATTTTCTATTTGTCTCAAAACTTAAGGGTTATTTTCCAGTTTTTTTTCTATTTTAATTCTTTCTGCAATTTTTTTTTTTCTTCTAGTCACCTGTAATGTTAAGACCACTTCTGAAATTTTCAGGTTAAAATACAAATCTGAAAACTGTATTTTCAACTTTTTTTTTCTCCCTGTTGCAATACTTTTAGCAAGCCACTCTGCTTTCACAGATTCCCAGCACACACAGTTCACAGGCTCTGTCAGAAAAGCACTAGCACCCGCTGCTGTACAGTGATGGGGACACTGCTGCAAACCATCCTTTGTGCTCCCTGGGTCCTGCGATGCTCGTGGAACTGGGCTGAGGTAGATGTCAAAGAAGCAGCCAGATTTGTGTAGCAACAGCAGTACCTGCAGCTGGAGGAGGAAGAAGGCAGAAGGAAAAAGCCCTTGGGCCATGTTGGGTCTTCCTCTGAAGCCCAAAAGCACCCGGTGCTGTGTGGACACCTCGGCCACAGCAGTTACTCGTTTGGTCACAAAACCTGACAGGCAGTGACCCTCTGCCGGTCTGTGGCCTCTGAGCAGAATTTCAAGGATTATCCTAGGAAACCGACCTGAACCATGGAGAATTTATCCACCTAATTCCAGCATACACAGATTTTTGCTCTTCTATGTCAATCTGGTTTGAGCTTTAACCCAGAATAAAACTACTAAAAAAAAGAAAATGAAATTAATTTGCCCCTGAACAACTCTGTTATTTAGAGCTGAACCCACAGTCTTCTGACTGTACCAGAGGGTGAGCACGGCTGAGGAACAGAGACGATGCCCTCGGATGGGCACTACTCAGGCCCACCCGCCTCCCGTCCCATGGGGCAGCAGTGCGGGCACGGAGCCGAGCCGGCGGTGGCCGCGACAGCCACGGGCGGGTGTGCGCAGGAGCGCCCGCATCCCGACATCCGCCTCAAGGAAGACTCGAGGGTGCAGGCCGCCAACTCTGCCCGCTATTTCACGGCCGTGCGACCGCAGCGCTCATGTTGCCGGCAGGGCACTGCGGCTGCGTCCCGCTGAGGGCCGAGCCCCCACCGCGCCGCCCCCGCCCCGGCAGCACGGCCGGCCCCGGGGCCCCGCCCCGCTCGGCTCCATGCCGGCCCCGCCCTCTGCGCGCGCCCTCCGGTCGGAGTGGGCGGGCCTTCCGCGCCCCCTGCCCCCCCCAGCGGCGCCGCATCGCGGCGGCCATTTTGTGCGGCTGCGGTCGGTGCGCGGGGCTCGGCGCGCCGCGGGCCCGGTGGGGGTGGCTCCGTTCTAACCCTTTTTCCCGTACAGATCCCTCGGTAAGAGCGCGGCGGCGCCCGGGCAGGCCGGGCCGCCTGCCTGATCCGGCGCTGTGGGCCCGCGGCGTGGCGGGGAGACGCGGGGAGGGAGGCCGGGCGGGCGCGTTCCCGCGCACAAAGGGCCGGGCCGGGCCGGGCCGGGCCGGGCGGTGCCTCCCGCCTGCAGCCCCGGGGCGCCGAGCGGGGCCGCTCCCGCCTCGCGGCAGCCCGGCGCGCTGAGGCCCGCGGCTCGGGCCGGCCCCGGCCGCTCCCCCGTCCCTGACTCCCTGTCGCCGCCCGCGCACGCCGGCCCGCGGAGCTGCGCGGGCAGGTGAGTCTGTGGGGCCGAACGCAGGCGCCGCGGGCCCGTCCGGCGGGAGCGGCCGAGTGACCTTGCGGCGGCGCCGGGGCCCGAGCCGTGGCACGGGCCGCATGGCGGGGGCTGTGCCGGAGCCCGAGGCGGGGATTTGACGGGTCCGGAGCGGCGCCCGGCGGGCCGGGTGCGGCGGGGAGCGGGACTTGCAGGGCCCGGCCGCTCTGGATTCCGGGGGCGCTCTGCGGGGCGGCTGTTCGTCACCCGGAGCCGCGAGTGGCGAACCCGCGCTGAGCAGGTAGTTGCCCTGCCAGATGTTCAGCGCGGCAAGGGCAGGCTTCCGTTCCTTTCCTGTCCCGTTAAATCTAGAGCATTTCTTTATCGCGCTACACTCTGTCCCTTTAAACAATTTTAAAACAACAGAAATTACGGTGGATATTTTCACTAACCTCAAAGTTGCCCCATGTCGTGCCTATGTAATGCGTACGGTTGGGAGGCACTGGGGTGTTCTTCCTGGCAGGTCTGTGTTCAGATACGGCTCATTGCCAGCAAAGTGGATTTTTGCACCAGTTGGTAATCTGTAGCCATTCCAGGGTTTAGTTAATCTAAACAGATACAGTTTTGGGAAACCGTTTTATCTCCTTTGCTGACTTAAAATCTGGGTACCAGAGATGTTTCTGTAGTCCCAGGCTGTTGTTTCTAGCCTAAATACTTAAAAATAAACCAGGAGAGATATCTGGAAGTTGATGAGTCCAAGTTAAGTAAAATAAATGTCACTAGGCTACAGAATTTTGTTGTGTTGTATGCAGTAGGGAATTAAAATATTAAAGCAATGGTAGTGACTTGAAATAACCTTTTGTAAGTATCTGTACAGCACTTAGTAATGGAGCATCTCTGTAACTTATGCTTTTGACCTGGGTTCATTTAATTTTCTGTAATGTGTTATGAATCCTTTTGCAGAACCAGTTTTGAAAAAAAAGGTCAAGCAAGAAGGCTTAAGCAAAGATCAGTCATATCATAATTCTCTGTTTTAATTTTTGTGACTTCTAAACTTTCATAGTAATAAAGGGGGGTGACTTAGGTGAATGCATGTTATTTGAATGCATGCTAAGTCAGCTTGTGGAAGAGTTCGGTAGTTTACGCTCTTGCTGATAACTTAGTGGATGTCTCCTCAATGGAAATAAAATTTTACTTGAGCAGGCTGAGAGTAAAATCTGTCTGCCTGTAATGTTAAGGTCAAGTTGGGAATGAGGCTAGAGTATTAATTGTTCATAATGGTGCTGCCTTGACTGAAATGTAAGAAGCATGTAATTTATTCATACTTTTAATTGGCAAAGCTCTCTGTAGCACTTGCTTTTGCTCCTGTAGTTCCTGCATGACCTAGGCAACGATATTGACTTAAATTCTCCCTCTTGGTCAGGAAAGGAGAGCACAACCCCTAATTTAATAGTAGGGGATGATAAATTCTCTCTAACTGCACATTTGATTTATAACTGCATCTGCAGAAGATAAGTATTGTCTGTAGCTGTAATTTGTCAGCTGACAGGCTGCCATAGCTCTCTTGCCTGTGTGACCGTGTTCCTGTGCACGTGTGAACACTTGCATTGTGAGCTGAGCTAAACAATGTATGTGGGTCAGGGGAAGGATTTATTGCTCAGCCCTACAAGTAGTTGTTGTCAGTATTTAAACTGTACTCTTGATGGTTGTCTAGTTGCAGGGTTACAGTGGGGTTTTTTAAAATCTTAAAAAGAGCAGTCCTTTGGACTGGTGCATCATACTGAGAAGTGTTGTGAGGTGCTGATGAGTTCATTGTATGTTTGAGTAAGTCCTCCTTTCTTTTTTACTTCAGTTAATTCCTTGTCTTCATACTTCGTACTTCTGTTCCTTGCTTGCCTACAGGTTTGTTTTGGCTGCTTGTACTTCCTGCAGGAAAATACTTTCTTCAGGTGGAAAATGGTGGTTTGGAACTCTTGGTTTGTCCTTGCTGTCCAAATACCAATAGCTACATGGCCTATATATTTCTAAAGACCTTTCAGAACTACTGGCATTCCAATATTTTTGTGACTGCAAACACCAGGCTGAAATGATGATGAATGCATGGGTGTATACTGTGTCTGTGGTGACTAGCTGCAGATAATAATATTGGAATATAAACACTCCTTTTGGAGGCATATTAGTTTGTTGACATGCTTGTGTGGCTTTTTACTGGGCTTGAGAACTTTCAACCAGCCTTATTTAAGTGTAGGCAGCTATGGTCTGCCTTATTTTTTCATAAATCTGCCTGGAATGGAGTTCTTAGAGAAATTGATTAGAAAGGAAAACATGTCTTCCGCTTGGCTGCCTGTATTAATGAAAAGAGAGGAAGCACTGTTGCTTATTGTGTGGGGGTTTTGTTTTGTAGGCTTGATTCTTGTTTTTTGTTGTTTCGTGGACTTGATTGTTTTTGTTTGTTTTGGATTTTTTAATATGAAGTTAGCATCAATTGACTCACGTTTCTGCTGCTTAAAATCAGCACTTCTTTCCCAAGGAATTGGAGAATATCCTCTTGTTCCACACAGTCGTTGAGTAAGGAAACTGTCTTCAACACCTCTGTGCTCCAGATGCAGAGCTGAGCATCCTTAGCCTAGGCCTGTGTGTCAGCGATGCAGAGTGCTGTTGGGAGGGTTGGAGTTAGAGTTTTTGTTAGTTTTAAAAGCATGTGTTGGCATAGCAGAGGTTGTGAGTACACCAGGCTGGAATTGCCTCTTCCCTATACTGTAGTTTGCTAATGGTTTTTTTTTGTTCCAAGATGCTCTGTGTTTGTATCAGTCATTTCCCTGTGCTGCAGCTGTCTTTTGTTGCTGTTACCAGGCTTGCAGAAATAGGCACTGTCCTTTCATCTCAGCTGGGAGACAAGTCTGCAAGCAGCCTTGAGATGCACCCCTTTCTTTTCTTTTAAAACAAATAGGCAAGTTGCATCCTTCTTACAGGGTGACTTGTGCACAGATGATCTTTCTGCTTAATTAATTACCTTAAATAAAGACATAATTTTTTTATCAGTACTTATGGCAATATAACTTGGAAAATTTTCCTTTATTTGGATGTCTTGAAAATATCCTCTTCTTTATCAACAGGTAGGGTAGATTTGGTTCTGTCAAGGCAAGAAGCAGTGAAACAGAATGCTGTGTCTAGGAGTCAGGACACTGTACTAGGAGTCAGGACGCTGTATACTAACTGGGTGGAAGCAGTGACCGCTGGGATTTTCACTAGCCAATGTTGCAGATGCTGCAAATTGTCTGTGAAAAATGTTTTTCAGACTTTTTTTTAATGGATATTTTTACAGGTAGATTTCTTCTAGGAGTAAAAAGTCCCAAGTCCAGTTACTGCTGCAGGTACTGTAACCAGATAATTTTTGTGCTTTCTGATTTGCTCCTTCCATTTTCGGTCATAATTTTTTCATCTGATAGCTAAAATTCACGTTGATGCTTGGTGATAAAATCTTAGGTTCAGCATCCTGCTGTAAGAGTGTACTGTGCTGCTGGAACACCCAGAGCGTGCGGGTGCGGTGCTGGTGGTAATTTAGCCAGGTAACTGGGATCCCTGTCCTGTGACGCAGGCAGTGACTGGGAGAGCAGGAAGAGGACAAACATTTAGCCTCTGGAAGCAAGTCCTGTCAAGTGTGAGGGAAAGGTCCTCTCTCAAGGATGATGTGCAAGAAAGTGGACCACGGTAGAGAAAGGTATCCACTACCCAAGAGAATCAGCTGTGCTGGGGGTAATCTATCAGGATTCAAATAGCGAGCAACCCCCTGTCAATCCAGATGAGGTCCAGAGTTCATAAATATTGAGCCCCTGAGCTCACTTGGCAAGTTTCTTTAAAGAAGGTACTACTTTTCCCTGAGGTGAGCACACAAGAGAAATACTGCAACATTCTCAGGAGGGTAAAACCAAATCTAAATGGCAAACTTCAGCAGAGCAGGAATTTAGCAAAATTTAAAACAAAACAGTCAATTGAAATAAAGCCTTTCATTTAGCAAATTCTACCCATCCAACCTTATATTACCCATATTCCAAGAAGGTGGAGTTAGGAGTGAAAAAGAGAGAAAACCAAGATACAGCTACCATCTTTGATCCAAGTGCAATCTCAGGTATCATAAACTCCAAGGATGATAGGAAAGTTACCACATGTGTCTTAAAGCAGTGGGTTTTACCTGCTCTGGTCTCCTGTGGCTATCTTCCCAGGTGGGACTTCTGGTTATCTCTGGAGCTAGATTGAGGCTGCAGGCATGGGGCATTCCTTTCAGTGTGACAGTGCCTGACAATCATTCTGGGCTGGACTAGATGTTCCTGGAGGTGGGTTGTGGAATGGAGCAGTGCACCTCCCACTTTCCACAGAACTGCCCCCTCCCCTTCAGTTGATTTGAACCAGTAATAATTTTCTCTAGTTTTTCATAACAATCCATGTGGCAGAAGTTTGGATGGAGTGTGCCACTGTCACACACCAGGGCATTGACATTGATGCCAATGAAGGAAGGAGCGCAAGAAGTGCTCCGGGTGACTGCCTGATTCAGCAATTTGAGATCATCTTTTTTCCTCCTGACTGACCTGTGGCTGTGAACTGTGCAAGACTCTGGACGGACTTGAAAGACTCGAGCAAGTTGGAGAGGAAATGTCCTGTAGTCCTAATTGGCCAGTGCATGGGTGCAATGGAGAGTGGACACTGCCAGTAAAGTATTTTGGACTGATTGAAGTCACACCACCATCGCACCATCACAGAGTGCTGCTGGAACTTCAGTATGACCTGAAGTCCCAGGGCAGCAAAGTGGTGCCATGCCACCATTGAGATTGCCAGTGTGTTTTTCTCCATTGCTTTAGCAGCAGAGCGCAGGCCACTGTTAGTTTTTACCTGGAGTGGCATCCAGTACACCTAGAAGCGGCTGCCCCGGAGGTGGACTGATGCAGGCTGCACTGGAAAAGGGCGAGGTTCCAGGACACTTGCAGTACATTGATGACATCGTTGTATGGATGCAACACTGCAGGGGAAGCTGTTGAGAAAGGGGAGAAAATAATCCAAATCCTCCCAAAGGCTGTTTTTGTCACGATCAAGGACTTGCCCAAAAAATTAAGTTCCTAGGAGTAAAATGTCAGGATGGATGTTAGGAGAGTCCAGTGGATGGTCATCAGAGTAATGTGTCCAGACAGCAAAAAGGAAACACAGACTTTCTTAGGAACTGTGGGTTTTTGCAGGATGTATATTCCATAAGATAGTCAAAATTGTAAGCGCTCTCTGTCATGTGACACGGGAGAGCAACAATTTTAGGTGTGATTCTAAACAACAACAAGTTTTGGACAGACTCAACAGAAGATTGTGCAGCAGCCTTTGGGCCACTCAGGACAGGATAAGATGTGAAAAATATGCTCTACATTGCAGCTGGGAAGCATGGTCCTTCCTGGAATCTCTTGACAAAAAGTTCCCATGGAGACTTGAAGACAATCCCTGAGGTTCTGGATTTGCTGATAAAGAGGATCTGAGGCCTGTTACACCCCAACTGAAGAAGAGATCTTGACAGGTTATGAAGGGGTTGGCACGGCCTCAGAAGTGATTGACACTGAAGCGCAGCGCTTCTGGCACTCGGACTGACAGGGCTGGACTGGATGTCCAAGGGAAATTCCCTTCTAAACATCTTGCCACTGACACCACGTGGAATAAGTGAATGGCTCTGACCATGCAGTGAGCTCAAATAGGGAATCCCAATCACCCAGGGATCTTGGAAATAATCACAGTGGCACAAATCCAAAAATATCCGTACCATCAGACTAGGAGGAGGAAAAGGTGCTACCATGCTAAGGAGACTCCACCATATAATCAGCTACCAGAAAATGAAAAGTGATGCTCTCTTCACTGCTGCTTCCTGTCATACCACAGGGACAAATTGGAGATGGAAAGCTGCCATTTGGAGTCTCACACAGTGAGTTGCAGAAGCTATTGAAGGACAAGGTGGTCCTTGCAGAGCTGAAAGCCATCCAGCTGTCCTCAAATATTGCTGAATGAGAGAAATGGTGAATATCTTACCTCTGCATTGGTTTGTGGACAGTGGCAAATACTGGGGGGAGGGGAGCTGGACCAGTGAAAAAAGACCAGTTTGTAGTGCAGAGGGAAACCTATCTGGGCTACTGAAGTGTGGCTGCCTGGGTAGAGAAATTGACTGTAAAAGTAGGTTGTGGAGGTGCACACATACCCAAGAGTTGGGCTACTGAGGAGTATTGCAACAATGAGCAGGTGGATCAGGCTGCCAAGGTTAAATTGCCTCAGGTGAATTATTTCTGTCTTGGGCGGCCCGTGACACCTTGTGTCATCTGGAAAGAGATGCAACATTACAGATGGGCTCGTGACTGTGGGGTGGACTTAACCATGGATACCATCTCCAGGTTATCCATGGCTGTGGAATGTGTACTGCAGTCAAGCTGGGCCAACTGGATAAAACCCCTGTGGTATGGGGGGGGGGCAATGGTCAAAATAGAAATATGGGGAGGCCTGGCAGATTAATTACATCACACTTGTGCAGACTCACCAAGGTAAATGTAACCTGCTGACGGTGGTGGAAGGCACTACTGGATGGTTGGACCTACCCCATGCCTCACAGCACTGCCCAGAACACCATCTGGACCCTGAGAAACAAGTCCTCTGTCAGCATGGCACTCCAGAAAGAATTGAGTCAGACAACAGCCTCATAGACATCTGAACCAGATACTATGGGATTGAGTGGGTGTATCATATTCCTTAACATGCAGTCTCTGGAAAAATTGAACAGCATAATGGACTGTTAACAACCATATTGAAAGTAATGGGTGGGGAACCATCAGACATTGACATCTACACATAGCAAAAGCCACCTGGTTAGTTAACACTTGAGGCTGCACCAGTCAAGCTGGCACTTCACAATCAAAGCCTCCACATTCTGTAGAATGGGGTATGGTCCCCATCAGGGATAGATAATGAGGAATATATTAGGGAAGACAGTTTGGGTTAGTCCTACCTCAGACAAAGGCAAGCACATTTGGCGGATTGGTTTTGCTCAAGGGCCTGGGTGCTCTTTGTGGGTAATGCAGAGGGACAAGGGAACATGATGCATACCTCAAAGGGCCTTGATTTTTTGGTGAGAAGAGTCTGTAATGTTGAATTGTATACTATTGGTTGGTGAATAATAGTGCCACTGTGTGCCATAACTGCAGTTGACAAGGTGTGTAGACTGCTCCAGATATACCAGTTGTGAATTCCTGATGCAGTTTGCCACCAGCCCTCTTGCCCTAGAAGACCTCTATGATAGATGGAATCCACAGTCTTGGACTAAATCAACTCAACAGACATCTTGGAGGGACAGCCATTAATGATGGAAATGATGCCCTTGCTTTTGTAGATACCTATGTCTGTGTGTATATATATTTTTGTGTGTGTGTAGTTGGAAATGGATAGGATTTGGACATGATGTATGTGGTACAGAATAAGGGATGGATAATGTCCCAATAGCCAGAAGAGGGTGTGGCTAGAATCTGATGTGGATATGCAGAGGGGTGTCTGTGTGTTTGTAAGGGCCTCGTAAGCATCTCTCTGGTTTGGAGTGCAGCAGCCTGCTGACCTCCACTGAAATTCTGCACCACCTCTCAGCATTTTCTGGGCACCGGGGAAAGGGGTCCCTTCCAGGTTGGGGTGGTTTGGGTGTGGTCAGGTTAAGTCAGGCTCTGCACTGAGCATTCACGTGTGTATTGTTTGCCTCTCTTGTACACTTTTTAATGCCATTACTTTTACTGTTCATGTTCTTATCTTATTGCTGTTTTCATTAAACTGTTCTTATCTCAACCAATGAGCTTTACCTTTTGTGCCTGTAATTCTCCTTTCAGTGGGAACACTTGATGGAGGAGTACTGTGCCTAAACCACAATAGGTTCTGTGCAGCTTCAGTTCAGGTAGAAACTGGCAGCAGTGTCACTGCAGTGCCAAATCTGCAGCCTAAATTGGGCTTCTGGAAACAATTCAAATGGCTGTCTTTGCCACTTCTGCAGTGCGAGGAAGCCTACATGTATTGACAAGAATTAGATTTGTGGATGAAGAAGCAGTTCTGGGAAATTTGTGTAGTTTGTTCTTGTATTAGCAAAACACAGCTCCTTCTGCCATGTGGTGAATGTAGATTATCCAGTTGAGTATGTCTTCATTGACAGAGTGGACTGCTTACTTAGTGTGTAGTTAGTTAATACTGCACTAAAGTAGGAGTAATGATAAAGTTACTGGTGATTTTTAGTTGACAACAGATAAATAAATGATGGAGAAATATGATGTGGATATGCAGAGAGAATGTCTGTGCATCAGGGTCTCTTAAGAGTCTCTCTAATTTGGATCACAGCAGCCTGCTGACCTGTACTGAAATATTTCCAGATTAAATTTTTGTTCTAGAGGTGTTATTCTATTATGCAGCTACTGTTGACTGTAGAAAGAATGTTTTTTTGAACTATGAACTACTTTTAGTCTCAGAATTCACATTTTTGTTTTTCTTTTCCTGTAGTTACACAGCACTGGTTGGAATGTTTGCAGCAACATAAACAAGTTTCTTGGTGAGTATAAGCATAGATCCTTTTTTTAATTGTGGCTTTTCCTTTAGCTTTTGAATTTTGCTTTAAAATTCAGGTTTTACTTAAATACTATCCACAGAGCTTCTACAAGACTTATCTGCATTGAATTCTTGTATTCTTAAAGGCTGCCATGCTTTCCTTAAACTGAAAATAAACAGCCTCATTAAAGTAGGTTTGATTAGTATTGCTTTATTTAGGAAAAACTTGATTTATTTTATGTGACTTAAACCTTTTTCCAATTTCTTCCTGTTTGTTCAGTGCTTAGGTGCTTGTTTTTTATCTTTAGTGTTTACAGGAAAAGAAACCAGAACGTAGGACACGATCAAATGACTGAAAATAATTGTTTTCAGTAATGACTATTTATTTCTTTATTGCACTTGGTAATTCAAATAGATTTCATTATAGAAATATTCTTTTTTTCTGTTGAATTGCTTATATTCCTAATTTCTGCTTCCATGTTGGTCTATCCCAGTCTCAGCACCAGGTGAAACTGACAGCACAGTTACATGAGGTGTTGCTGAGGGGGTGAAAATGAAGTTCTCCAGGCTCTGTAATCTCAGGAAGTGAGGATCTTGTTCAGAGACTCATTCATGTAACACCTTTTCAGTTTTGTCACCAAGTACTTTGGGATGGTCTTGGTTCTGCCTGAGGAGAAGAGCAAATGTAGATTTTTACTGGTCAGTTCTCCTAATCTACTTGTATAAACTGGAGAAAAAGTAGGCAACTGAAATCAAGTACTCAAGTCTTATGGTTTGAGGGAATGTCAGTGGTGAGGAATGAGCTGTTCAGCATTCTTGTTACAGAGATGATAAGTATGAGTTCAGGATCCAGGTTCTGTTTTGTGTGGCTCAGAGTTCACCTGTGTAGTTGTTAATTGAATCTGGGAAGCTTTTAAACCAAGTAAGTGCTGGTGAATATGTAGTTGAGGATGTTATATTGTGCAAATAAGAACTGCATATAGTCCTGGGTCGTGTTTGAAATGTGTCTTTTGGATAGGAGAAGGGGTGTGATGCAGTACTCCTTGAAATTTGTTGCAGTGTTGGGTCTTCCTATCTAGTTTAAATCTTTCTTGTTTAAATCTTTCTTGCCTGAAGATCTAAGCATTGTGGTTTGAAACACTGTTGTGAAGGACATAATCTGAAATTTACCGTCACATCCAAAAACAGTAACCTACCTTTGAAATGATACACAAAGCCAGCTTGAGGCAGGAGCAGACATCCTTGGATGAACAGAGGCTGTTCTTGGGTTAACATGTTTAGCAGGTATAGGAGTTTTTAATCTGTTTTTATGTGTAGGGCAAAACACAGTAAGGCACGGTAGCACTGCTGCTGTAGTCAAAACTTGCCAGACAGAGGGTGTTTTGTCTGCAGGCAATAAAAGTCTATTGTAATCAGTTTACTAGTGCCAATACAGTTTTTAAGTGGTGCTTGTGAGACTTCCACTTAGTCTTCATAAGATGCCATTAGGATTGTATAGTATAAATGGTGTCTGTAAATACTGTTTTGCAGTCTGATATCATACCTTTTCTCATCTGCAGGTGTGTGGTTTCAGCACAGCATGGCTGTGGTCATCCACTTGCAAGTTGTTCCGATTGTGGTGGGGACCATGAACTTCTCTGGACTGACCATTCCTGATGGGGGCGTGCATATTGTAGGGGGTGAACTGGGTGAGGCTTTCATCATTCTTGCCCCTGCTGGAGACGTGAGGCTGGTGTCATGGGTGCAGATGATAAAAGGTCAAAGCAAATACATCGACGAGTAAGAAAAACCCGATGTACAAAACGTGAATGGACTTAGTCCTTGGCAGTTCCATACGTAGATCTGCAAGCAGATTTGGAGCAGTGGTGCTGGAGAGGATGGCAGAGTCAGACTTAGCCTTAGGCTTTGTGGAGTCAGCTTTGTCCTAGAAGGAAACAAAACAGACTTGTGTTGCTTGTGTGGGAGTGGCAGTGCTGCCTGCAGTAGCCCAGGTCAGCAGTATCTGTGCTGCATCTCCAGGGAATACAAGACAATCTCTGGCTAGTTGCTTTTACTTCCTGGTTTTATCAGTGCTTTTTATTACCTGTCTTACCCTGTAGTCCTGAAGAATCACCACCAAGGTACTGAGTGCTTCCTAGGAGCTGGGACAGCAAGCTTCCCGTCCAGAATAAAATATAAATTCTCAGTGCAAAGTAGGATTTTATTTATGCAGACTGTCAAAGTTGCTTGTGCTTCTTTATCAGGTCAGAGAACTGTGGGGGTTTTTTCATGGTGTTCCTCTTTTTTTCTTTATTGTATCCTTATGGCAGAGGGAGGGAAATCCTTGGGTTTGGCATGGATGCACAAAAGAATGAAGGAAATAGGCTGAGTTGTAGAAGTGAGTTGCATTTCTTCAGAACTGCTTACGAAGCAGCACTGAGACAGAATTAAGTTTGAAAGTGGGGCTGATTTTAAGGAAAGAGTTTTGGTATGACACTTTGTAAAGGAATGGTTTAATCACTCCACGGGGATTTGGAAAATAGTTTTGCCAGGGTAGGTGTCGTTTACAAAAGGCTGCAGTGATTTTGCAGTTTCCACAGAGGAAACAGGAGAGGTGTTATTACTGCAAGTTTGCCATAACTGCTTGGGTTTGCTCTGATAATATGAAGCAGAATTTCAGTTGCCAGAGGAGCCCACTTCTGTTAGACCTTGGTGATATGCCAGGTTTGGGTCCCTGGAGAGAGTAAGAACAGCTGCAGGTGAAGGGGTACAGGACATGTGCTGTTAGCAGAGCAGAAAGCTTGTTTTAGGAGTCAAAAACTCTGATCCAATATTAATGTATTTTCCTCTGCATTGCCCTGAGATAAATGTACCTTTGTCACTGCTATCTGTCTGATTAGTCTTGAATAGTCTTTAAAAGTTAGATTATCTTATGATGACTTTGATGGAGAAGAAAAGACTGTGTCTTTTAAATAACATGTATTTCAATAATACAGATTTAGGTACATTTTGTTTTGGAAGTAGTGACTTCCCTAAATCCTGATCCTGAAACAGATCTGATCTTCATAGAGAAGTAAGACATTATTTTCTGGTGAAGAAAATTTTAGGAGAGATATTCTGGCAAAATATACTTATTTCCAAGTTGTAGCTATGAATGTGTCATCAATCTGGGGTTGTTTGTGGACAAGCTGTTTTAATGTAGTTCAAGGTTTTAAAGCAATCTTTGCTGGAGAGGACAGGGGCAGAAACATAAAACCTGAATGCAGGCAAGCCCCTGTGTTCAGTGCTTGCTTTCTGAGAAGTGAAGTTCTCAGTATGGTCTTGATCATGCTGGTGAAGCATATTTTGGCCCTGCCTCTTGGCTTAGTTTGTGCAGAGCCATGTCACGGTTCTCAGTAAAAGTTGTGTCTCATGGTTTCAGTCTCACTCTAAGGCTGGATGTTTTGGGGTAAAATGGTTGAGGCCTTCTGCTGAGTAATTTATCTCATGTAGTGTTCTGCCAAGTATACATCTACTTGAGGAAACCATTCCCGAAATTGGCTGTAAATGGAAAAGCCAGCCTGCTTTCATGGTCTGAGGAGCAGGACCACAGTCCAAGCCAGTGGTAGGATGTGAGAGAGAACCCAAAGCAGCCCAAGTTCTGTAACTTTGGAGGGGAGAGAAATGAAGACTTGGGGAGGAGGGGCCAATGATAAGAGATTTTTGCACACAAAATTTTTTCTCTCTTTCAATTCTTTGACCTACTGCCTTCTAACAAGCTTAGCCGTGTTAGTGAAGTGCAGTGTGTGTGTGTGCTGTAACTAATGTTGGTGTTAGCTGACTATGACTAGCTGCCTTCAGATGTTCATGGAATGTGCTGCCTCTCTAACTGATTAAATGGCTCTGGCTGTTTTCTTCACATTTCCTATTAGCTGCGATACTCATATTTTTAAAATATTTGAATGAAACCATAGTAAGACCTTCTGTGCCAAAATGAATGTGTTTATGGAAGCCCTAATGTGTGTGATCCTGTTACTGAAATCAGCAGATGTGTATGTTCCTCTCCAGCCCCATGGAGGTGAGCTAAGATTGAGTCCCTTTCATCCAGATGGCAGCTCTTACTGAGGAGAACCACTGTGGGAAGCTGAAATAATGCACTGAGAGTGCCTCTGGCTTGGCTTTGCATGTCCCTCCTCAGAGAACAGGAAAAATAAGTGTACTAGGGAAAGAATCACCTTGCAGATATCATTTCTTCACGTGTTAAGCAAAATGTATGTCTACTCAGTGTTTGGAGGCATGAAATTCCCTTGCTGGAGTAAGAAAGGCATATTTTAATAATGTAAATCTGCAAAGAAAATAGTGGCTCTTTGAGGTGTCAGGGGATAAACCTCTTAAAGTATAGCTTTGCACATGCTGCCTTTTTCGTTTTTTCAAATTCTACGTTCTGATGCAACATAAACTGTAAAACCCCATCCATCTTAAGTTTTTCTTAATTTCCTTTCCCAATTAAAAGTTATGGACTCCTGCCCCAACCGTTAGAAGACTGGGCTGATTCAGATCCAGTGTGATACTGTGAGAGCTCAGTCTGCTATCAGATATTACTCTAGGAGATTAATTTTTTTCAGTCCCTAGGTGGCTAGAATACTTTGTCTTTTGCTGTGAATCAGGCTTACAAGCAATAGTATTTTTTCCCCTATACCCTTGCAGGCTGCTTTAATAGAGGTAAGGATCAGTCTAAAGACCCTGTTTTAGAGGAAGGCAGCAGATGAACTTTTGGTAGAGAAGTTTTTTTGCAGTGTGGTGGTTGAATGGAGTTGGTTGGGCTGTCTCTGTGGTCAGCCCTTGGCAAATGGCCTGGCCTAAAAAGTGTGGTGAAGGAGTAGCTTTTCCCTGTCGTAAAAGCTCTACAATATTCCTAAAGATCTTTGATTTCTGAACCACACTTGAAATTAGAGGAATTCTTCATGATGTTAATATTTTTGTAGATGCAGCTTAGTTGACACCATTGCTATTTATGCCTTACGTGAACAAAAGTGCTAGTGCTTATTTCTGTGCATGTCTCCTTGTTCATGTAGTGTAAGACTAGGTTTTTTATTTTAACTCAAATCAATTTTGTCCACCTCTAATTGAATGTTCAAGATACAACCTTACTCTGAGGACAGTGATATTGAATAAGACTTACTTGTGTTTTTGGATCTTGTGCATTTGAAGACTACAGGAATGGATCATAATTTGTATCTTAAAATTGCTGGAAACAACTGACAAAAAAATCAGGAAAAATAGCTGTTGATCAGGCTTTTACACTATATGTACCTTGAGATAAAGATTTCTTAAACTTTTATATTATCTGTTGGAAACAAATATTAATGAAGACTTTTTTTATATTCTGGTTAAAGCAGTGGAGAAGTTGGACAAAAACAATGCAAATATGCAAGGAGTATAGAGAGTCTTCTAAAATTGAGTTTAAAAAACTACATATTTCTAATGTCTTTGAACTTTATTGCACTTGTAGTGATGAGGTGACGTAGTGTTCGAGAGTGTCGCTAATGTGGTAGCTGTTGACAGATTGTCATTGTGTTTGTTTGCCCACTTCCTGTTTACTGGATTCCTTGTTATCATCAAAGTGGAGAGGGGGGCAGAAAATATTACGAAACTTCCGTCTCATTTGTGAATAAACTCTGGATTTTGTGGTTCTTAATTGACCTGGAACTTGGACCAATGGACAGAGGCTGAGCTTCACTCTTTCATGGTCCAGTAGCTGCCATTTTGAACATACTTTTGGAATCCTTCTGCAGACTGTCACTTGGGAACCCTTGTTTAAAAGATAATTGCCCCCTTACTTTCTGCAAACCAAAATTACAGCAGTTCCTTAACATCTGGCTTCTGGGAATTATAGTGCATAAGCTTATTTTGTGTATGTCTTGATTAGTGATTGATATTTAATTGCATTTTTCAGGGGAATAAAATCAGCAGTGTTGATATTACAAAATGACAAAACATCCTCCGAATAGAAGAGGGATCAACTTTGAGGTGGGAGCCCAGTTGGAAGCCCGTGACAGATTAAAAAACTGGTATATTTTTAAAACCATTCATCTTATATTAATTTTAAGTCTTTACTATCTATAACATTTTGTATTGATTCAATATTTAGAGTCGTAGTTATTGGTTTTTAGGAAAGTAGTTAATTTATAGAAGTTTATATACCAGTGATTGAGATGGGCAATAGATGCTGGTATGTTGTGCTGGCCCTCCAGAAGTGTGCTGGTGTTGTGTCTGGGAATAGGACTGCTCCTAAATCTAGTTGGACTTCAGGCTCTCATTCTCCTGAATTCACCCTTAAAAATTCTGTGCTTTACTTAATATTGCAGAGCAGATATTATGGAAGAATAAATTCTTTGCAGTACAGAATATCCTTGCTGCTTCCTTTCCCAGTGCTGTTGTGAATTCATAGGCTCTAAAATCTGATTGAGTTTGTTAGGCCTGTGCTCATATGATGGCGGTCAGCTTTAGAATTAAAGAATTGTGTGGAGAAACATGTTCCATGCTAACAAGTCTGGTCTGGTGCCTGTCTTGCAGTTCTCAGCTGTGAGGAAGAACATTTTTCTTCATGAACCACTGCATTAGGATGATGAAAAAGAGCCTACAAATTACTTAGGCTAACTCTGAATTTTCTGACTCTGTGCATTTCAGGTAGTCAGCTCAAAACTTAGCATTTAATAATTCTCAGTGAATAAGAGATAAAATGAAAATTGCCAAAGCCTTGTTAAATACAGGAATTAATTTGGTTTTGTTAGCTCGTGTAGATAACTTCTCTTTCCAGAAGTCACCTGTAGCTGATTTTTATTACGAAGTCTCTGTGGGTTAGATATGATTGTACTTAAAGCTCTGGAGCCTGCTAACAGGTGAAGTGTGCAAAGTCAGTATTGAAAACTATTTGGGCATCTCAGGAAGACGGTGCACTGCCTTAGACACAGGGGATTTATTCCAGAAGGTCTTGGTTGCATGCGGAGCATGTTCTCTCCAGGTGCAAGGGCATTGGAGTTGTGAAAATGAGAAAACATAGCTCTTTCCATAAAGAACGTAAAATATGAACGTTAAATCCTATTCACATGTTAATTTGGCTTAGCTGTGTATCCAAGACTTGTGTAGGTAAGCAAAGATCTGAACCTACCTCCATTTTTTATATTCTTCGGTTTTGTTAGTACAGCAAAAAAAATTAGTCAGGCTTACAAAAACAAGATCTCTTAGCCTGTCTGTAATGTAGGCTTTTTAGAGATGCAGTTTGGTGTAGCTGCTGTTTGAGTAAGGCTAATAACTTGTGTCCATGACTCTTATCCTTCTGATGCTTGCTCAGCAACAGTGTTTTGAGTGTACGGGGAAAACTTTGGGTGGTGGGGGGGATTCAACAACCTGCTCTACTTTCTGCATATCCCTTGGCTTAAATTTGAATTTTGGGTGTGCTGTTTGTTCCATGTTCTTTGGTTTTTGGAAACACCTGATCTTAAATTACCTGTCCTACACGCAGTGCTTTGCAGCTCCGGTCTCACAACTTGGTTATGAACTCTTCACTTCTGAAATCTTTTGTTTCCTTGCTAAGCTTCGAACTCTGGATTGTGTGCATTTGCATTTTTAGGGTTTCGCAGTCAAAATTTTTAAGAGCTGGGGGCTTAGCAAAACTGTCAGTGCTGACTCAACTCATTGGGTGTGGATTTGTAGGTCAGCAGACTGATTTTTTTCTCTGCTGCTTACATCTGCCCCTGTGCATCTGCCCCAGGACCACACTGTGGTGTGGTTACCATGCACTCCTCTAGGGGCGCAAGATTTTCTGTTTGCTGACACTTGCTTTTCCCTTTGGAGATCCAGACTTTTCTTGTGTGTACTTTTGGTGCTAAAACAGTCACAAGTTTCCTGTTTATTTAAAGTGCTGGCTTTGATTTCTGTTCTCAGTAACAAATACATCAGTCAATTCATGGCCCACTATTACCTATCTATTGGCAATGATGCTTTGGAAAATATTTCATGTCAGAGTGCCACATACCTCTCTTTCACGTCAATGGCTTGTGCTCCAAATTGCTAGTTAAGGACTTCAGGGTGTTTGGATGTGTTGTCAAGCCTAGTGAAGAAAAACCACTTTATGCCAGCAGAGTAGTCAGTGTGGAGCCTGCTCCTTGTCAAAGTGCAAAGTGAATTTTGCATCTTTACTGCTCATTCCAGAGGTTGCTTTGTTGTATTTGGAATCATAGCATATTGGCAGTGCACTGCAATTCCTGGTGCAGTTGTCTGTCATGTCCTATACTTGAACTCCAGGGAGCACAGTGAGTCCTTTTGGTGTTTCACTTTAGGTTCTTAGGGCTTGGGTTGATGCATCAAAAGTGTCGTGAAAGATGTGTCTGTTGGCTCAGGTTGCTATAGGGAGAGAGCCTCTGTGGGTGCTGAGAGGTCTCAGTGCTGGAGTTCAGAGGATGAAGGAGGGAGATGCTGCAGTCGGCAGTCCTGAGTGGAGGGATCCCAGAGGGAATGCTGTAGCCATGGACACGGTCACACTGTTGCAGCTGAATTAACTTTTTGAAACCTTTTGCATTGAATCATTTAAACTGATTAAATGGTGTCTAGCTGTGTCCTCTCTTACTGAAAAGAGGATACCTGCATTGGATGCCTGCAATAGGCAAATGATGTTACCTTTTGTTACCTTATTGTAATGACAAGTTTTTCTGTCTATTGTCTGAGTAAAATGGGTGTGAAGGGGCTTTTGATTATAGTTAGAGCTCTTGAGTAGTATTGAGTATGGTGCTACCCTGTTAAGATTCAGATTGTCAGTCCCATGAGTTCAGTTGTTCATGCTGTCAGGAATTGGTCTCTGAGTACTAAAAAGATGAACCACTGTAGCTGTTGTCCTTCATGGTGCTGGTTCTCCTGAATGCTTCCTTTCCTCTCTGCATTGCTTTGACTGCACTAAGCTTGTCCCTTCTTAGTTCCAAGGGAGTGAGGGTTTATAGCAATTCTGGTTTGGTATGTAGGGAAACAGACCTAGTCCAGGGAATCTCCAGATATTTACCTCCTCCCAGAAGTTTTGCCCCTCCTGTATGTTGCAAGATGTTGTCTCCAGTTTCACAGTGTTTCAGATAAATACTTAAATCAGTACCATGTTGGGAATTTAGCTGCTAGAGACTGGAAAAGTACAAAGCCGTGGCTAATTCCAAGTCCTGCACCTGCAAAGATAGTGTGTCCTTGGGCCTAGCTGCAGTAGGATAACAAACAGTGAAAGAGACATGAGAAAAGAGAGGTGTAACCCCTAAGGAATGAGGAAGAGTTCATGGTATAGTTTAACCAATAGATTGCTTGGCTTACAGAATATTCATAAGCTTATTATTTGCTGTATAAGTGTTTGATACTTTTTTCAATAAACGGGACTGGACCTGGACCTGAAGGACCTGTCGGACCTGTGATGAACCACCTGGTGTCCTGGTCCCCTTCCTACAGCAGTACCATTTGGGGTTTTCTTACCCAGAATCTATTTAGCTGTCTTGAATATCCATTGAGTCAGCTGAATACTTCCGTTGTGGTTTGGGGGAGGATGTGTTGGACCACCCTGAACATACCTTAGTTGTTCTCTGGGGCCTTATCCAGGTGTCAGCTATTGGCCTTTCACTTAGTGTATCCTCTCATAGTATTTTTTTTTTAATAAACAACTCTGAATTTCTTTGAAGTTACCTCTCCCCTATGTATGTTCTTTGGAGGAAGTGTATGGGTAATGTTCTGTTACTCTTCTGTATAGATCTGTGAGCACTTGCACCTCCTGATGTGGTGTGCTTGCTCAGTTCTACAAAAGGTGTGGGAGGAAGGAAGCTTGGCCTGTCAGTGTGTGGTGCTCAGGGCTGTTGAGAACCTGTGAACCTTTCTGTGACCCTTTCGGCTTTGTTTAGTGACTGCCAGTGCTCTCGTCTGAAAGGAAAGTAGTGTCCCGGTGTCAGGGTCTGTCCGAGTTCATGGGTAGGTCTAGCACAGCTTGTAATAGGTTTACTGCTTCAGTCAAGAGCACTGAGTGTATGTTAACTCATGGTTATTGCTTCAGAAAGAGAGAATGTTGAGGCTTTGCAGCATGTTCTCCAAGAACTGAAAGCTCTAGCTCAACCACACTCAGGTAGACTGAAATTTGGTTTCATTGTTGGATACTTTTTTGTTAATGATCTTAACTCCCTTTAGTGAAGTGGGTTAGGTGCAGATGGTACTGATATATGATTCTGGGATGACCGTTCTGGTGGAGAAAGTTCCTTCTTTTGCTGGATGTGAAGCAGAGAGCAGTCTTGCATCGAGTTAGCTGGCTCTTGTAACTTGGGCTTGTCTCATCTCAGTGGTAGATAGTGAATTGTGCTTCCTAGAGGTGGCTGTCTGTTTGGACAGGATTATTGGCTTTGTACTGGGTCAGCACTCTGCCCTTTTTATTAGCTTCCCTCTTCATCATTGAAAAATCTAAACGAGTCCTAGGCATACTGCAGTCCCAATGGCAAGAGCACCCTTCTGGCTGCTCTCTTGTTGAGAGGATATAGGATTTCTTACCTGGTTTTGCTGGTCTCAGGTTGTAGGGAATGGGATGCTGATTTTTGTCATTATCTGTACTTAGTGATATCCAAAAATAATGTTTAGGTTGTGGCTGTAACTACTGCCCCCTCAAGAGCTTGTGGAGGACAGTACTTGAGTTTACATAAATACAAAATATATTGATTGTAACAGGAACAAAGTTGTTTTTTTTCCCAAGAAGTTGGTGGCCAGTTACAGATGTCCCTGCCATAAATATCTCCCATTGGAATTCCTCTCCTCCACAGCCTTTGCTGCATGCATTTTGGTAGTACATGGGGAGGAACTAATGGCATAGCTTGATGTGTGTGGCAGCAAGTATCCTTAGTCTGTAGTTGCAATGTAAGTCTCTAGTGTGGCCTATTCATAGCTCTTTGGGAAGTCATGACTGGACATCACTTAGATCTGCTGGAGGATTTCAGTTGTAGGTAGATTTGCTTTCTCTTTGTGTAGGGTTGTAGAGCAGTAGCCTGGATTGCATTTGAGTCTTAATTCTTACATGTCTAGGTTTTACTGTTAGTATCATGCTTGATCTTTTTGAGATGCCACTTCTTTCTACCACTTGTTCTATCTTTCAAGTGTGGTTCACTAGATAAAGAATACTTGTGGATTTCAGTTTTGTCTTCAGCCCTTTGTTCAAGAATTCACTGGGGCCTTGTCTTTCTTCCAGAATACTGAAAACACTGACAAATGGAAATTTTCTCTTGATGTTACTATTGCGGAAGGGAAAGCTTTGTACTTGGAATGTTACCTTTAGTTGCGATAGTGAAATAGCTGTGATTCTGAAATCTGTACTGAAGTTACAAATTACCAATGCAATTTAAAGAAATACAGGTCTTCCTGATAAGAAACATTTAAATTTGACTTATCTCAGATTCCCCTACTACTAATGTACTAAGAATTTATATTTAAAAATCCCAGGATTTTGCAGATGAAATTTAACTTCGCGATTATAAAACTTAAATTACGTTTAGTGTGCCTGCTGAAATTTTGGTGTTATATTGGGTAGATGATTTATGATGCCTGGTGATGGGTATCCTAGAGAAATGAGTGTATTGGCACCCAAGTGTTAGTCTTGATAAGAGTGAGCTGAAGCTATTGATTTTGTAAAATGTGATATGTCTAGATGTAGGGAAGGTCTTTCTGACTTCTGAATCTGTAGTTATTTTTTTTTTTCCACACCAGAGTAAGAACTCCTTAGTTGTCTTCTCTTGCTGCAGCCAATGTTTGCATTTTGGGTTCAGTTTTGGGTTTTCTTATGTACTTTGCTCTGTCATTATGTAGCATCTTTATTGTTTATACAAGTGGTACATCAAATTAAAACAATTGGAGGAGCTAAACTGAGGTTAATGTGTATAAAGTGTCTGAGACAACTTCCCTTATTCATAATTAAAATATTTTAATCTACCTCTGGCTAGGTATCCAGCACATATTGAAGAAATTGATTATGAAGAGGGCAAAGTACTTATCCATTTCAAGCGCTGGAACCATAGATATGATGAATGGTTTTGTTGGGACAGTCCTTATTTGCGCCCCCTAGAGAAAATACAGTTAAGAAAAGAAGGATTGCATGAGGAAGAAGGTTGTGCAGTAAGTGGAAATTTGAGAATATTTGTAATGGTTTAGTGTGTGTTAGTATGAATGATGACCTTTAAATTGCTTCACTGTTGCTGTGTTACCTGCTGTGTAAATTTTATGATTTCTTCTAAACATTGAAAATGAGTAATTGAAATGTTTTAATTAAGTTGTATGTTTCAATAATTTTCAGATAAAGATGCTTTTAACTACTGTTTTGTAGGGATTTCATATCAATGATCGGGTACTGGCATGCTGGTCTGACTGTCGCTTCTATCCAGCCAAAGTTACTTCTGTTAACAAAGATGGTAAGGATTTCTGGTTTTGTCACACTTAGTAGTTACATATTTCTGATTGTGCTGGAAACTCATTTGGGGGAGAGATACTACAGCAGATGGAAAACAGCTTTGAAAATGCAGTTTTGTGTTTTAGATGTGTTTTAGTCTGTCATTAACTCTTTTAACCTCTTACCTTTTTTACAAGAAAAGAACTTTCTGTTGGGCTATCCAGTCAGTACTTGCTTTAAGTATATATGTGAGAAAAGTTGTTTCTAAAATTTGTTTTTATTGCCTATAAACTGCAATAAAACCTATTGTCAGAGCTGCAAAATCCCCTTAAAAATCAGAATTGGAGGAGAAACTGTGAATGATTTGTTTTAGTGTTGGGCTTGCTTTCGATTGTCTGTGTTGTAAGATCAAGGAGAAAAGAACTGTGTGATTATATGTTGCAATATTCCACCAAAAATATTTTGGGGTTTTGTGAGTAAGGTGCAACTGGGGAGCAATTCTAAAATGAGACACGCTCCTTTATTTTGACCAGAATTGTTGTGGATCACTTTGCTGTGTCTCCCTGGCCTGTGATAGGAGCTCTGTGTTGAGGATTCTGACAGCACAGGTAAAGCAGCTTTCGTCTAGGGCTAATTGTGCAGCTGGAGTGTTGGAGCTGTTAGCTGGTGCTGTGTTAAATACCTTCTGGTCTTCCAACTCTTACACTTTGTTTTCATATTTTAGGTACCTACACTGTGAAATTTTATGATGGTGTAGTTCAGACAGTCAAAAACATTCATGTCAAAGCTTTTTCCAAAGATCAGGTAAGTATGGTGCTTGTGCAGCTAGTGTATTCTTAAATGAGCAGTTCAGGTGGCTAGATTTGGTGAATTATATAATGTGAAATTAATGAAAAACCTTTACTGCTAAAATACAGTATGTCTGAAATAAAGTCCCTTAAAATGAACAAGGGTGATGAATATCCCAGGAAAGGGAAAAGGGGACTTTGCTTCTCCTTCATTAATGGGAATCCCTTAAAATAAAATGTGAATCTTTGTGCTATGATTTGTAAAGCTCTCAGGTTCTTTAAATGCACCTCTTGAACTAAAGAAGTCACAGGTATATAAGTAAAACAGATTTCCAAAAGTCATCGGAAAATTCAGAATGTGCATACTAAAGCTAGTGGTAAGGTTTTGAATCACGCTGTGATTGTTTTCCCTGTTTGCAATTACTTTAAATATATATATGTATGAATATATATACATTTATACACACATATATATTTAAAAATAAAGGAGTGACAGCTATGGAATGGACAGAAACTGTTCATTTCCAAAGTAGCTGCTTAATATTCATGAGACACTTAAGGAGCATGGCTATTAATATTTCGCCTCGCAGCTTTGAGTAGGTCAGCTTTTTTTAACTATTCCTTGTTTATTTTCTGTGGTTTGGCTGTTTTACCAACCCTTCACTTGCTCAACACAGTGGGTTCAACCTTCACCTCATGAGAGAAAGTAGTAGTGAGCCATTACATTTTAAAAAATAGAAATTCTTCTGCTGATGGTGAGGAGGAAGAAGTGCTGCTCTGTACTTTGATTTTCATGTACAGGCACGTAGGAAAGCCTGCTTAAGTTCTGATCTTGAGTAACTTGGTTAAAACTTCTGAAATAACTGCTTCAGAATAATTTTCATTACAGACAGGGTTTTAAGTCTGATCTCTTGCCACACATTCCTGTGTGGTAACTGTAGTATGTGGGTTTTTTGGTCTCACTCTCTGCCTTTAGTTTTCTGAAACTTTAAGTTTGAGCAAAGAAATTGAATCTGTCCCCCCAGTACAAGTCTTAAACACAGATTCCAGTAATGAATGTCAGTGGTACAATTTATATTTGTCACTGTTGTGTAGAGGTATGGCAGTCCTCCAGATTTCTGTATCTGCCAGGCTGGATTGGAACACTCTTTCACATTTGCCAAAAGTGCCCTTAATAGCTTTTAAATGGTTATCATTGTGTTGGTAGAAAGTTGAGTAATACTCACATGTGAACTAGTGCAGAATCTTCATTTCCATGAGAAATGTTTTTATGATATTTAGCGTTAAATAAATGGAGTTGAACAATCTGCAGAAATACTCTGCATAAGTAACAAAAATATTTTTTCTCTCTTTTAGGAAGTTTCATGATACTGCATAGTTTTGGAAAGTTTTGAAAGGAGATGAAAAAGGGGTTTTTAGTTGATTCTTTCCGTTTTCTCCTTTTATCCTTTGTCCAAGAAGATTTCTCTTAGCCCAAGAGAATCTCTTTAGTTATGCTAGAACATTTTTTCTGTCCTTTAACATAAAAAAGCATAAAGTGAGAATTTCCTAGTGAGCTCTACTTATACAACCAGAAGTAAAGTTTGAAAAAAAAAATACTTGAACCACTGGAGTGCTCAAGAATCAGAAAAAAAACCAGGTACAACAGTAGTGTAGCAGCATGTTGGAAGTGGACTGGAGGTGTCTTGTTCCTGTTCTTCAGGAGGAAAGAGTGTAGTCACAAAGGCAGACATGGCTCAGATCTTCGTACTCGTTAAGGAAAAGGAAAAGTGCTCCAAACCGTACAATTCCTGAAGGGAGCAACATAAGCAGGTTTTTTACAGTATTATTACTCTGTCCCTGTGTAGAGTGTGTAACTGGCTATGTTGAACAGAGATGGTAAAATGCTAATGACCTGTAACTGTAACAATGTGCCTTTGCAAGGACACACAACTTTTAAGAGTTCAGGAACACCAAGAGGTAATTCAGACATACTGTATTCATGATTCAGTTTCTTGAGAATATTTTGATTAGGATGGCTTAGGGGTGTTCCAGTACCACATATTTGATTCAAATCAGATAGCTTTGTAAGCATGGAAAGTGTAGTTGCCTGAGGGTTGTTTTTTGAGGTGGTAGGTGTTCATTTGTTTGTTTGGGTTGGGTTTTTTGTTTTGTTTGTTTGTTTGTTTTCCCCTGATGTTTGAGTTGCTGCTCCCCTGAAGCTTCTCCCATAAGGAATTTACAGAATACAGACTTCTAGGATGTCTGGAAAAAGGAGTGCTCAGACATGTGAAAGACTTCCTTCCCATTTACCTGTCTGTTTTCATGGAATATACAGAAATTTCATTTCACGCTTTTAAACAGTGGCTTTTTTAAAATCACATCTGTAACAAGTATGGTTGAAATAATACTATAGAGGATGGAGCAGATTGCATGTTCACCATTTTAATGCAGCAGCATTATTTCTTATGGCTACAGTCTGAAAATACCTTAAAAGGTATCACTTCATGTAAGCCACAGATAGACAGGAATACTGGAGTGGGATAAGGCAGGATGTAGTGCAGTACAAGGAAATAGTCTTAAATGGATTCTCAGAATTTCCTATGCTTTGAATCACGTGTTCCTTTCGCCAAGAAGGTGTTGAGGTATTTAGCCTTTCCTGTCCTCTGATCCTGGGTCAGAGTTCAAGGTTGTTGGGCCCTACAGAACTGTGTCTGGGAAGGAGCATGGTTGCTCTTTGGCACTTCAATTAGGCTACAGGAAGAGAGATGTTAGTTGAACTAAAGGCTGTGTTGATACATGACCAATATAAATTTTTAACCCATGTGCAAAGGTAGAAGATTTCTGTTCATCTAGGACAGCCTGTAGCAGGATCACTGGAAGGGGAAAAAAACATATTCAGCATGTATCATCCTCCCTGCTGCTTCCCAGTGGTGTAAAGCCTGATCACAAAAGGGGAAGGACGTGGAGTACCCTTAGCAATATTAGCAACAATGATTAGTGCAAACAAACTGCGTGTCTGTTTTGAATGAGACTCTAGTGTGAAAGGAAGAGAGTTTGCACATCCAGGTGATTGACCTGTCTGCTGTTTTCTCTGCTCCTGACTCCTGCTCTTCTCTGCAGTGTCCCAAGTAGATTTTATGTAGTACTGCACAAGCTAGTAGGGACCTAGCCTACTTCTGGGAGCAAAGGAACAGCAAATGTCTTCTGCCATTATGTGGTGAGGAATGGTTTTCTTGCCCTGTCCTGTTCACATTGCACAGGTCCTTCACCAGTTCAGGTGCCTCTGAGTTTTAATCTGTGGGTTGCAATAGAGTGTGTACTTTTATCACTTGAAAAACTGGACAAAGATGCAAGCCTGCTGAATACAAAGGGGAGGGGTGGCTTTTAGACTACAGTGAGTTGATTTTCCTGTCATTCTCTTTATTCTAGAATATTGGGGGTGATGCTAAGCCTAAGGAAAGAGGTAATGAAATTCCATCATCTCCTGAAAACCAGAAGTTTAAAGAGCAGAGGAAAGCAACAGGTAATGCAAAGAAAGACGAAGATGAAAAGACATTAAAGACTGAGAAACGAGTTAAACAACCCGATAAAGAGGGAAAATTTGTAGTCATCTCGGAAAAAGTCAAGATCTCAGAAAAGAATATATCTAAGAATGGAAAAGAAGATAAAGAGAATATATCAGAGAATGATATGGAATATTCAGTAGATACACAAGTTGAGAAGAAGCCTGAGAATGACAAGGTAAAGAGTCCACAGGAAAATGCAAAAGAAACTAAGCGAAGGCGTGGCAGACCACCAATAACACCTCCCACGGGTATGTAGCCAAGTTTAAATGTTTAGGCATGTAACAGAACACTTTTAAACTTACTTAAAGGAATAAGCAGTGTCTTGCTCTTTCACAGCCTAAATCTCTAGAAACTCTTAAAAAACTGTAAGTTCATCTTTGTTTGACAGTCAGGAGCATGCTGAAATTTGGAGCCTTGGTGGTTTGGTCAGAGATTAAATTTAGGCAAGTAAACATCACATAATATAAAGCATACCTGTCGCGGGGTTAAATACTACTGTGTGGGTTTTAGAAGGCCTTGTGAAGCTGTATGTATGCAAGTGCAGTATTTTAGATTGTGAGGCTTGGGAATTTGTGTTAAAAGTGTTTCACAGGTTTGTATTCAATCAATTTTTCTTCTGTTATGTAAATATGTAGAGCCAAGTTCTCAGACACTGCAGCCCATAACTTTGGAGTTAAGACGTCGGAAAATACCTAAAGGATGTGATGTTCCATTGAAGCGTCCCAGGACTGAAAAAACATTGTGTGAGTTTTTTGATATTTAGCTCTCACACTGTGTGTATGTGTGTGTATAAATATAAAAGTTCTTCAGGCTTAATGGGTGGAGGAGGGACAAAACAGCTCTGGTATTAATCTTGAACTGTGGTAGATGCATTGACTGAAATGCAGCGCCTGTTTTTCATAAATTTGCCATTCATATGTGGCATCGTCATGCTGGAATTCCCCCCTAAATCTTGGAAGTTGGTTTTGGATAAAAGAGGCATAAGTTGTGGAGCCTTGATGCAAAAGTTCATAGATGTATGGGTGGCAGTGATTATATTGTCTCCAATATGTAGAAGGCTATAGAAGCCTTAGAAGTTGTAGAAACTTCAGTTACTAGATGAAGGATTAAAGCAATGGCACTTTAATACTATGTAAATATTTATGCCACTACAGTTGAATAGCTTCTACTTTATCTTTCTGTGCTTTGTGTGGAGGCTGAGGAACTTGAGTGTGTTGATGAGGAAAGAAGATTATATTCTCTGTAATAGTGTCATGGCCAAGGAGATGAAGACCTAAAGAAAACTCTTTCCTTAATACCACAGTCTTAAACTTCAGTGTGTGTAGGTTATCCAGCTCAGTCACAGCTTTTGATGTGTCTGAATTGTCTCATCTAACTCCTGATATTATTTATGTCCATGGAACAGTTTGTTTAGACCAGGTCCGCTATAAGGGGATGAACACAGCATCACTGCTCTGCAGTATGCTTCTGTGTGCATTTTACTCAGTGGAATTCTTTTTTCTCAGCAACAAACTAGTAAGATATTGATCTGTATTCATACTTCAAATCTGTTACTAGAAGAAAAAAGTTGAGAGCTTTTGATGTATTTTAATGCTTATTTGTAACTTATTGTAGCTTTTACAGAGGCCTGATTTTCCAGGCTTTTTAGCTTTTGGTATTAGCCTTAATCCTTAAAAAACACACTTTGAAGGGAGTCACGGGGAGGGAAGAACTTGCAAGTTTGCTTGGGATCTGTTTGTACTCCTGTACCATTAAATACAACTGTTCCAGCTCAGGAAAAACTTAAGAGCTCTTCAGATAATGCTGAGAGAGACCAGATCAGGAGGCGATCTTCAAGACTCTCATCCAGTATTAGCCATGAGATTTTAAATACAGATCTTGTCACAACTTCCACGGAAATTCAGACTTGGAAAGATGCAGTACCTAACCAAAATGAATCTGAGAAGGGTAAGTGCCTTCACAGTGTTCGTCAGATTTTTGTGACGAGGTGGTCATGTAGTTGTTGCAAACTCTGTATTTTCAGTTGCTTAACCTGCAGGCTCTGTATCTGCCATTAAAACCTGTTTGCATCAGCAGTGCAGAGAAAACTCATGGAAAGTTTCTATTGCTCTGCTGCCCTGATTGCTTTTGGCTTTTGATTCCCTTTCTGTCAGTAACCTCAGCATTTCCCTTGGGTGATGGGAGCTTCTCCAGCAAAGGAGAGCTCCATAGGCTAAAACTTTCCAAGGAAATAGTTAGTTTGAGTTTTTTTGATTGTTTAGTTTTCTTTTGTAGGGAATGCAGGTTCTGACTGTGAAAATGAGGTAATTTCAAAGTTTTAACACTTTCAGATTGTAGAAGTAACAGCCCTAGTACTGGACTCTTACAGTTCTTACAGATTAATCCTATTGTTGAAGACTAAAAGCATCAAATGGGCTGCTTTTATGCTTAAACAGGGTTGAGATAACACTCCCTTTTCTGCCTTGTGCTTCACTGCCTTTCCTTTTTGAGGGAGCTCTTGTACGAGATCCATTCTATTCTGGGCTAGAAGCAGTTAGCTTGTGTGTTTCTACGCAGCTGTAAGTTCAGAGGGGCACTGCAAATTAGCTGTGTCGCAAAAATTTTGTGTGACCAAGAGCAAGCAGTCAAGAGCATGGATGGGTATTTTTCTCCATTATAATGTGATGAGGATTCCCCTTGTTCCCCCCATAATGTTCTGAAGTATGCTTTTGTATATGCTTTTTACTCAGGGGAAATTTTTTTCTCATTCTAGTCCAGTTAGAAATTCCTGTTGAATCTGACCAAAGTTTTGGTGAACAAGGATCACCTGGAAACACATTGCATAGCACAGCACTCAGTACAGATGCCAGTTTGGAGGAAGAAAAAGCTGAAGACACCGAGTCTTCCTCTGTTCCTGTCAGAACTCAAGAACCTTCTGCTGCTACAGGTTCAGGTTTTTCATACTTAATGTTGATGCATTTCTTACGGCAACTGACGCCAGGTGTTTTGTACTTGTGCAGGTGTTAATACTGTGCATTTTTGCAATGTTAACTTTGGTAAAAAAATGCATATTGTTATACTTGTGGACTCGGTTTTAATCTTGTGCTTTCAAGTTGGACAGCAGTCTTAAAAGTGGAAACTGTAATTTTTAAATGACTGTTGGTCAGTTTTGAAAACTTCTTGTTTTCAGTGTTTGGAATTCTGGATTAAATTGAACTTAGCACCATAAAAGGTCAGGTTCTTTTCTCCTTAATGTGTTGCAAGTATGTGGTAATATTACTATTTCTGCTGTTAGGAAATCCTGATTGTGCATTTTTATATCCTTTTGTTTAGTCTTGGAGAATTTAGTACAAATGTATGAAATAGTTCAAACATTTCAGTTTGAACTGTCTTAATATATTTACTCTATTTTCTTTAGTTGAGGAGTGTTCTTATCTTGCCTTTTCAAATTAAAATTTCCTGTGCAGATAGTAGACTGTCAAAACATAGTGCTGTCCTGTGATTATTTCTCATAACTTTCATCTTTGGTTCTACAGCTAACTAGGGAAACTTGAAGTACATATTTTCTAGTTTATGCTCAATTTAACAAGTTTAATTTTAAGTGTAACAGAGCACTTAGAGAGATTTACGATTTCTCAGCATTGCTGGAGTAAACTGTGTGTTGTTTGTTGGTTATTTTAAATTTACCTCTTGTTTGCACTTACTTTCTCTCACTCACTTGGGTGTAACTGTTCAAGTCACATGTCCTCTCCCTTTCCACTAATGGGTGCCCTCAGTGCTGGAGGGAGCTGACCTCTTCACTTTGGTTGGATGTGTAAATGAAAATGTATGCATTTACACTATTTAGAAATATGAGCTCTTTTGATGTTGGTCTCCTTCAGGTGTTGCTGAGCATTTGTAATTTGGGTTTAATCTCGGGAGAATTCCAACTGAATGTTTAATATTTGTGTGTGTAGTGTCATTCACATTAATGGAATGTGTGGGATGTGGCCTGAGCTTGCTTCAATGGATACAAGCTGCAAAACTGTGGGAGCAGGGCTTGGCTAACACCTGCCCAAAGGCTCTGATAGGGTTTGTGAACTCTTGTTCCTGGCTCTTTTGTCAGGACTTGAGCAAGCTAGAATCATTTGGGAATAGTCATTCACATTGCATTCTGACCTGAAGTACAACACTGTTTTTTAGGTAAAAATACACACTTCTGAGTCTGGATTTTATTTAATTGAAATTTGTTTCAGTTAACATTAGAAATCAGACATGCACCTCAGTGGACATCCAGATGTGGCAAGCAGATGTTTTTATTGTAAAGGATTGGTGATAAAAACTACGCAGGGTCTTGGAGGAAATACTGTCACCTGAAATCCAACTGCAAAAGTCTACATTTCCATACTTAACCAACATTAAAAATGTTATTAACAAGCAGTTTTAGAAAATGTATATGTTCTATCACAGATAAATCCTGTGTAGTTAAAAGTGGATCTGTGTTTCCTTCTCTGTGCTCTGTCTTGGTTGTGGGATTGTACTGGTACACCCCCGTGCTGATGAGTTGCTTGATGGGGGAGCAGCAGGGCTTGGTATTTTAGCTGCTGGTGGTGTGTGTGTAGCAGCATGACAGTGACAGGCGCCTCTAGGTGGGGTCTGAAAATACCTCTGAAAATCTCCAGTGGCTTCTCCTCTTATGGAGGGGTAGATATGTTGCAGAGCCCAGGCATGCGGTCCTAAAAATAGCTGGTGTTGGAGACTGGGAGTGAATTAAATAATTTATGGATGATTATCAAGGGAAGAGATAGGCCCAGATAGAATAACTGTGTGTCAGTTATGTTCATTAGTCTGCCGTGTGTTTGAAAGAGGTTTGGGTCTTGGGCAGGGGGCAGAGTGCATTGTTGGAGAGTAGGTGGTCTGTGTGGGAGAAGAGGGTGCCTGCTGCATGTGAGATTCCCATGAAGCACAGCATGGAAGTTAGCCATTGGTAGCTTTGCATATGTAGAACAAAGGCAGTATTGTAACCCAGTATTACCATTATAATTTGTCTGTAGACTTCAAATCTAGTCACTAAATGAGAATGAATTATCTTCCTCTAGGAGAATACTGTAAAACCTGTGTTTCCCTCAGTGTGATTTGTTAGTGTCATTTTGGCATTGTTGAGTAGTACATTCTGGTAGTACAAATTTTATGTTGCATGATCCTTAGGAAGAAGGTTATTTTTATAGCATTTGAATATCAGGAATTTTTAAGGACACAAGCATTCCTTTTAAAGGATATTTTTCTAGTCACTGGTTGGTAGATGATTCAAGATTAATAATGGTTGCAGACATTTATAACAGCAAACACAGTCTGGAGTCTTCCTGTGACTGAGATGTTTTAAAATGTAACATGTTCTGAAAGGGCAATATAGCACTGTTTGTCAAAAATGAAGTTCCTTTTTAAAAAAAGCTTCACCAAAATTCTGAATAATTACATGTACTGAAAGATTAGAATCCTGTTCTCCTGGCTTTTGGCACCTCTGATGACAAAGGGACCAGAAGTGGTGATCAGAATTTAGCTGAATCAAGCTGTCTTTCCAAAAAATATGTGACAGTCAGTTGGCAAATTTTTGCAGCCAGTTAAAGGTCTGCATACATCTGAAAACAAGCATTTCATAGCTGTTCTTACGAGTTTACTCTTGAAAATTCCTTTAAATTTAAAGGTGAGCTGCCTTTGCTTTGCACACATGCACTATCCTGTTTGTAGTTGTATTTGCTAGCACTCTTGAAATTACTTATTTATTTGCATAGACATGCATCAGGGATTCTATTTGCCTTATACTTACACCTGCTTTTCTGATTTTGTTCTGTTAGCTTTGGGTTTCAGTTAGGGAGAAGCATAAGCCCTTTTCATCACTTTGAAAGAGCCGCTGTTTCTCCTGCAGCTCGCCTCAGTAGGCTTTAATCCCTTCATGGTAGTGTGAAAGTTGTATTTTTGAGCCTAACAAGATATGGTAGGTAAGTGAGTGCATCGTGCCCTGCTCACCTAAAGCTCCCTAGGGTGGGGCACCTCAGCCTGATTGCAGTGTTTCAGTTACAGGTCAAAGTACAGGTAAAGCCTTCACATCCCCCCCACCTGGCCCCTCCAAAGGTAAGTTGAGGTGTGAGTGGTGCACTGCAAGGCTTATGTACTTTACTACCCAGTACAGGCTGCTTTTATTGGTACCAGTTTATTTCCAGCACAGGGGGAAACTGGTGAGTGGAGTGCCATAAGAAATACTCTCTTGAGTAGTTCTTGCAATGCCAGGTAATGTTAGAGCTCAAAACTCCATAAGTTGATAAATATGTAATGATCAGTGATTATTGATGCTGTTATGTATTTCTTACACCAGGAATCTGCTTCTGTGGATTCTGGATGCACTGGAAATTCTTGGATGCTGTCCTTACCTAAATTAGCTTGAGAAGAGCAATTAAGCAAGATGGTTTTTGTTTCACAACTGAGATATTGTGAGGGCTTTGGAAAATAAAGGAAGAAATGTAATTTGAGAGCTGAAGTGATGAAACACTTGGTGAGCTCAGGAAAAAACAGCACAAGATTTCAGAAGGAATAAGTTGAATGAAATAAGTAATTAGTGAGGACACTGCCCAGTGTGAAGTGGTCCAAAACGCAGTGTGAAAACTGTCAGCACAAGCATGTTTGTTACCATGACCTGTCATGAAGATAATGTGCCAAAGAACATGAGTTTTAGAGAGTTCCAAGGTGTTAAATTAAACAGCAAGTGAAGAAATAATTTGATCTTCACTTAGTATTTCTTTGGAGACCAGGAAATAGAAAGTGAAGGTCTCCTCATTTTAGCCAGCAGTTGTATGTGGAAGTCTTAAATAGCTCGAAGCTGCAGTAAAGCCATCTTTAAGTGGGGAAAAATGGGAAGAGTTCTGTGCACTGCTGCTTCTTGGATTGTTTACCAGGATGTTGCAGGAGGTGCCACAGGATGGCAGACCTTCAGTCAAGGTACAATGCTGCTGCCAAATATTCCTGTCAAAGAGAGAATTGGTAATGGTGTAAAAACACCTCTGGTGGACTTGGAAACTTCACACTGTGCATTTTACAGTGAACTTACTGCTGAACATGGTCATAGCTTCACCCTTGGATAATTCAGCCCAGTGAAAAGTGAGAATGGTTGCTGATGGGAACACTGAAGGAATGTTTTGCTCTGTAGTGAAGCTTAAAGGACGCAGTGATGTTTGACCATGAGTGTCTGTGCTTAATGTTGTAATGGCTGACTGAAAAGCAGGTGAAGAGTTTGAATTTTGATTATAATCATGAGAGAATAGCAGGTGTCAACTTACCATTCATTTTCCTCTGTACTCATAGAAAATAGCCACCAAGCTCCTCTGTAAAGGCAGTTGCCTGAAAATCTGAAGACAATACACCAAACTTATTTCTCTAGAAACCAATTTTAGTGTCGTATGTTGTGAGCAAAAATTCTGTGTGTAAGGACGGTAGCTGCCCCCTTAGGTGTTGGTGTAGGATGTTGTTTTCAGAGTGTCTGGAGCAAGGACTCTCCAGAGGCTACCCTGCGTGGCAGTGTTGGTTCTCAGTTTCCTACTGTGCCTGGGTGACAGGGAGTTCTATTGTGCTACTTGTAAAGAAGGAAAATGTAGTGATGGGAATGATTGAAGCTTTGTTTCAAATTTTGTGAGATCATCTATATTTTTATTAGTCTGAATACATTCCTTTTTACACACTGCAGTAAGTTTTTTGTCTGCTTCCTTTCCCTTTGCCCCATGTCTTTGTTATCCCTGTTTCTAACTTTAGCTAATGCAGTCCTTTCATTTTCTAACTCGTAGCCGATCAGTTAGAAGCCATTCCCTCTATCTTCTCCAGAATCTGTCCAGCTCAGTGGAGAACAAGTGCTCTGAGCTTGGATGTGGGGCCTCATCCTGACAGTTGTGTGATGGTGTAATAGTTTCCCTTGTCATCTTTGTAATGTTTTTTTGTTAGGTCTTTGGACCCCATTACTCCCTTCTGCTGCAGTTGTTCCAGTTGTTTTCCAGCTTCATGTTGGTTATTAAGTAGTGACAAGTTCTCAGCATCTGTAATCCCAAATGCTGTTTTTTTTCCTTTAGAGTCAAGAGAACCTTCCTATGTTTGCTTTCACTAAACCCACAGGCCATTGCACTGAGCCTTCCTGAAATACTTTTTCATTCTTCCTGAATGCAGCTTTTGATGGTCTGCAGTATATTTTGATTTTGGTATTGGCAAGCTTCATCATTCTGCAAGTGTGTCTGGCTTTGCTGCAGTCTTATTGATGTTCCTGTCAGCATGTTCTTAACGTGGCTATGCCAAAGTGTCTTCCTCCTGGTCATTACCACTGTGAAACCCCCAAAACTAGTGTCTTTCTTTGTACTATTTTGTTCTCCAATTTCATTGCATATTCCTTCTTTTAACCAGCTTGGTGTTGCATATGAGTTAATCTTTCCCTATGCATTAGGGTACAACTAGTTGTGTTTTCTCCGTGTTAAAGATTTGTTTGTACACAGTACTTAAAGGCTGGACGTGCCTCAGAATGTAGATGTTTCGGATGCTTCTCTGCACTGTGACAACATTTAAGTCTGCTGCTCAGTAACACCATTTTTGTTACTGCATGCTGAAAACTTGGAAACAAGCTGTACTGTGTTTTTACTCCAGGATCGTGTTGACGCTGCCTTTAACACTCCTTCTGTTCAAAGCCTTACTGCACTTACAGGAAAATCTTATTCTTGTTCATAATGTTTCTGGGTACTTTTGTCTCCTGCTTACAGCTACTTCTAATACAGTGTCTTAGTTTTCACTTGTGTGCTGCATCCCTTCAGTTTTAGTCATGATTGCTAGGTTTGTGTCTTGCAGTTAAACACTGCTTTCTTAATCCTAAAAGTCGAAAACTCTTGTAAAGATGGAAATAACACTTTAGTACTGGCAAAGCAAATTAAAATTGGAAGCTGGGATTTTTTTAAATGATACCTCCTTTCCATTGTCTTCTAGCTGGAGAGGGATTTTTGGATGCTGTGTGGGTATTAGTGATGGATAATTGCGTAGAACTATTTAGATCTGTTTCCTCATTTTTACCTCTCATGTGTTGTATTTGGTACAGATACTGGTGACAGTAATCTGATTTAGTTCAAAATGTTTATTTTGTATGTTTCTTAGAAAAAATATGAGCTAAAAGTTCCTGAAATTCATGATAGATACAGCCCTGGGTTGCAGAGCAGTACTCTTTGGAATAGGTGTCTTAAAATGTTCTTACATTTGAATCTTTTGACTTTTCTTACTTTTTTGAGAAACTAAGTATAGCTCATAGGGAACATTTTGTAACAGATGCAAGCAATTTTGTGTTTCATTGCTACTTAAAAATTGAAATAAATTTCAATTTTACTTTTAAAATGTTCTAACATATTGCTTCTATTGTCCTTGGAAATAACCAGGCTTTGGTGGCAAAACTGTGCACCCAGAAAGCAGGTAGCAAAATAATTGTAAGCAGAGAAGCAGAACTGTTTTCTTGCTTTCACCAGAGATGTGAATAGTTGTGAACAAATAATCTTTAGTATTCGGACATAGGGATGTAATCTCTGTGTGATTCAGTCTTTTATCTTCGGGAGCACTGTACAGTGAGATCAGCTGTCGGGCAAGGACTCAGGGAAACAAAATATTTTAACTTATTCATAAAAGCAGTGGTGTCATGACAACTGGATTTATGAGCAGTGTAGGGTAGAGTTTTCCCTTTAAAGTTACTAATCTTAAAGGCAGAAAGGCATTAACATTTTATTTCTAGCATTTCATAGCTAATGTGTGTGAATGCATGCTTCTTTTTGCTGTTGAAGTTTAGGAAACCATTTGGTAAATATAGCATATGCATGGGGCAATTTATCTGTTTTGTTCTTACAGTAACAAAACCTTGTAGGAGAACAGATTTTCTTGCATCAAAAAAAGCTGCAACTGTTGACCAAGATAACAAGTTTAGATGCAAGTTCTTGGACTGTTCAAAATCCTTCCGCAAAGCCAAGTTATTGCATTATCACATGAAATACTTTCATGGAGTGGAGAAGGCTGCAGAACAGCAGAACCCTGTAAAAAGAAATATTCAAACCAGAGCTTCTTTGGCTTCTGAAAAAGCTAATCAAGAAAGGTCAAAAAGAGGACGGACCACAGCTGGTTCACTGTGTAAGTATGGTATTGATCTCTTTCTTTTTTAAACAGCAGCAGTCAGGACAGACAGAAAATACCAGAAATCAGTTTTCTTTTGGGCTGAAGGTGTCTCTTTCAGGGCTGTGTCTTAGCATGTTCCTGTGTGGAGAAGAAGCATAATATGTGTGCACATCATGTTGTAGAAAGATATGAAGATGTTTCTTCTAGAATTCAAGATCATTTTCTGGTAAAGATCCCACTGTGCAGCTTCTCTTATTTTTCTGTAGCAGCTCACTTGCATATTAAACCTCTGTTCCCTTTTAAAAACCCCGTTTCCCTGAATTTCTGACTTGAGTTTTATTTTTCTCCTGGCTTATAAATAGTATTCGTTGGAGACCTCTGTCCTTTTCTATATTAGGGAATGGTTTGGCTACCTCCAGTTCTCTCCTATTTCTTCCTTATCTTTAGACTCTGACTTTACTTTTCTGTACTTTACTGCCTTCAAGCACATACCCGGCTGGAAATCCAGTATGATTTTCTGCAGTATTTACTGTTCTATGTCATGAAAAATTGTTGTATTTACGAGTGCAGTTGTTTCAGCTGTGTTTGAAAAAGATCTTCACACAACAGATGGTCAGTGGAAAGGGATAAAAACTTACTGGCTAGCCAAAAAAAAAGGAAAGCAAGTTTTAACTGCTTTGCAGTCTGCAAAATCACATTCACTTCTGCTTCACCCTCATTCTCTGAAGCACTCTCTGCCTGGCATGACACCAGAGTGGCAGTCTAGGTCTAGTGTTAACTGCAGTGGTTGTTGGTAACCTGTGCAGACTTGGCACTTGTGGACTGATGTTGCTGTGTACTTCAAGTCAGTAAAAGTAGTCATGTCTGTCTTCTCATTGAGCCTTTTTTATAAAACCCATCTTTCTCCTTGCTGAGTTCCCTAATGTCTTTTGTCTTTGCCGTTCATCTTTTGTTAATATGTTGTTTAAGAACTACAAAGTATTGCAAGTTGCTCACAGAACTCCAGCTCACTACAGCAGGATATATCCTGCCTTGCTTTGCTTTGTGGCTGCTTTTCTTAAGAGTCTAGAAAATGAGTTTTCATTTGAGGTGCTGCTGCTTGTTCCTAGCAAGATAAGTGTGACTTTACACACTGTAACTACATATGAACCCCAAATATTTCTGTATCTTTAAATAATGCAAAGGCATAATCTTGGATTAGGAATGCATTAGGATGTAATGATCTGTATGTATTGTACTCTGTATGCAGCTTAATTGAACCCAAGTGTTGCCTGGAGAAACATACCTGAGATAGGCATGGTGTGAGGACTGGCTGCTGACAGCTGCAGATTGATCAAAACAGGCTTTGTGCATGTCATGGACTTTTCAATAACCAGGCTTCTATTTGGCTCTTTTGAACTGTGTAATTCTTTTTGATTTGAGAAGTTGTTTTGTTGTGATTGTCTTGAATGCACTGACTAGTGATTCAAGATCTTGACCCTTCCATTTATCCTTTCCTCCAAGTGCATACAGTCAGATGCACCATCATCACTTGCAAGTAATTCCTTGTGGAGCTGAGGTGTAACTGTATTTGCTTTTTTTAAGCCTCCACCCCTCTAATTCCCCATTTGTGGATGGATGCTTTTCACCTGGATCGTTTCCATGGTGTACTCCATAGCAGCTCTCTGCACGGAGTGCTTGGGCTGCGCTCACAGCAGTTGAACTTTGCATCAAGGTGATGGCGGGGCCAGGTGGGCTGCAAAGTTCTCAGGTCACCTTCACAGCTGAAGCCTGCTGTTGTGGAGCTATAGTACTTTTTTTCTTGATGAGGAAAGACAATGCCATTGTATATTAGTTATATGTCTGATACTAAGTGCCATTGTTTTCCAACTCAGTGTGTTCTTTATGACTCTGATGTTTGTTTGGTGGTGCTACACAGCTGAAAGCAGAGTTCATGAGATTCATGAGCTCTTACTTTGAAGTTGTATTTGAAGTTCTGTTCTTTGTCCTAATGGCATCTATAGAAAGCCTGTCTTCTAGGCAAGACCTTCTGTCTACTGAGCACTTATGCCACCTTTTCAAAAGGCTTTTCAGGAGGTGCTGCTTAGAGTGAATCCATAATTCACTTTGGTATGTGATGGGTATATTTTCATCTTTACTGTCCTTTCATGAGCAAAAAATCTCCTGCTTAAAAAGAATATATTCAAATAACTTTACCTTTTGGTACAAATGTGATTTTCTTGTACTTCACTATATTAGGTCCATTTTAGTGCTTAAGAAAAGGTGACAATTTCTAACAGATAAAAATTTCAGCAATCATGATTTTTGTTATTCTATAAAATTTAAGATGCTCTTGCTTTAGGAGCTTTGTCACACTTGTCTCACAAGTTTTATTTTAGACCTCTGGAACTCCTTACTCTTTATGCTACACAAAATAAATGGTGGGGGTTGTCTGGTGCTGGATTTAAAGTGAAAATACTTACTGCTTTTAAAGTTGTAGGAGAACGTATAAAATTGAGAACAGTTGCAAAACCTTTTCTTTGCAATGCTTAAAATTAACATTTTGACACATAGAAAAGAAGATGGATGTAAGTGGTCTTCAGTGACCATGTTGTTATATTTGGGAAAGAACAATTCAAATCTAGTTGCTTTAAAATTTCCCGTATGTAAGTTGTGTTACTTGACATTGGAATCAAAGCTTGAGTGAGTGGGAAAGGTTAGTGTGGGACTGATTTGAACTGTCTCCCCTTCTTTCTAAAGAAGGATCTTGCCTTTGCAGTAGCAGAATTGACCGATCGGTCTCTAAATTCTGTAGTTGCTCTGAAGAGAGAGGAAGGTACTGCCATTGCCTGCAGCTTGTATTTTACATATGCCTTACAGAATGTGCCTAAACAGAATGACTAGGATTTCATGGCTACTGGATATGTTTAGGCAATACCTTTCTTAAATTTATCAGAAAGTAGTATGGGATCATCATGATGAAACAGCTCTTTCCCCGAGTGCATGTTACAATACTTACCTCCTTGAGTTGTTGCTGCTTTTGGTCTTCAGGAAAGAATTGTCCTTACATAGAAGAAGGCAGTTGATGTTATGTCCCCCTGGGCTAGAGGGGATGCAGGTATACCTGCCCTCAGCTCTCAGGCTGCATTATACCTCAGGAGCATTGCAGAGCCACCTGCAGGCCTCTGTTAGGAGAATTGAGATCTGTAGAAAATATATGTGGATGTTTAAGCCTAAAAGAGGCTTTTTGAGTCTGGGCTGCAGATGACTTCAGTGTTGGTCTTAGATGAAAGAGTTGCTTAGATTTTGTGCTAGCTCAAGTGGAGATACTCTATGAAAATAATTGGTATCTGTGACAATTTATGTCAGCTGCTTGTTGATTGTTCTGTGCATCTGTACTCCATTTTTTTATTACAGCATTCTTAGTTGGAAGGGACCCACAAGGATCATCAAGTCCAACTCTTAAGTAAAACTGGATTCTGTGCCCATATACATTAACCTTAAGACAGGTTTCTTTCTTTGTGATCCCTTCTCTTTTGCTGCAGAACCCCTTAGTTTACTGTTAAAGTACATCATCCCATACTGTGACTTGTACCCTGCAGACACTGTAAACAATTTTCTCTGAAGGTGTCAGTTGTCTCTTTCAAATATGTCTGTCTGTCCATCCATGTTATTTTGTATTAAGTGCTTGCAAAAGATTTTTCTTAATAAAGATTGTTGTTTCCTGACCTATAAAAATGTTTTTTCCTGACCTAGACCGCTCCAAGGGCATGAGGCATAGAGTAGTTTCATTTCTTTCTTTGTTACCTGCAAGTCACAATTTTGACATCTTGACTTGGAGTTTTTCTGTCTTGGTGACTCATTTTTTTAGTGAAGTCTGTCCATTTGGAGATTTGCTAACATATAGGTAATGCCTTTGGGCTGAACATATGTTCTGAAATCAAACAGTCAAGATTTGAGTGCTTGCACAGCTGATGTGTCCCTGTGTTGTACTAAGGTGAAGCTCTGTACTTGCTGGATGCTGAAGATTTCTCAGGAGACACAAACCTCATGAACAAGTAGGGGGGTTGGTAATGGAAGTGCCATCTGAGGTGATTTGTGTGCTCTTAATAACTACTTAGTACTGGTGTCAGCACAGATGTACTGACAGCGATCTCATGAGTTGATACCCATTGACTCCTAGGACACAGTTTAGCCCCTCTCAGGAGTTTTGGTAATAATGGAGCCAAAGTCAGTTTTGGAACTTCAAAAGCACTGTACAGTATTAGGCTTTGATTTGGAGTGTGGGTGCAGTACAGTAGCCTCAGTCTGGCAAGTCGCTCCCACTCTTGGCTCTCCTGTGTTCCTTGCCATGAGGAAGGAACCAAAGGAAGAGACCTGCAATTTTTAGTTTGCCTACTGTAAAAAATCTGTCCTTTCTGTGGGGTCCATGTAAATCACTTAAAGAAAGAAAAAATGTTTTGTCAGTAGATTTAAATTTTTTCGCATAACCGCAATTTAGAAAATTCTGCCTACTCAGAGTTAATTACAGTATGTCCTGTTAGTGTATAAACGACTCCATCCATGAATTCTTTACATGAGTAAAAAAAATGGGTATTTTGTCCTTACTTGTGTTACTGATGAGAGCTGAATTGTGTGTGAGTGGACTTGGCAAACTTGTTTTGACATCTTAAAATATCTCAGGCATCTGGTTGTCTCTAACAGCTGTTCACAGGCAAACCTCTGGCCTGTTGTGTAATGATTGTAAGATTAATCCTTTGGGAAATTTTCCTGTATCCTCTTGATTCTGGCTGACTGATGCCTCTTTGCTAGGCAGTGGGTGTGCATGGTGATCTACAAATGTGGGCTTTTTGGAGCCAGGGAAGATCTGCATAAACACCCTCTGTGTTTGCAGAGTTGCTGGTTGTATTTGGCTTATCAAAACAGTACTGCATTTGGTTTCTGGGGAGTGGCTGTAAGTCAAGATGAAACATGGTCTCTCAGTTCTTGAAAATACCACTGGAAGTTCCCAGCAAATGATCTCACAGCTGTGGATGGTACCTTTGTCTGATTCACATACTTGGGAATGCAGTCTCTGCTTCCTGTGAATGCTGAGTTATCTTCTTACCTGGGGTCCTACGTCAGGGTTCCAGGGCACAGAAAGCTACTGCCTTGTCTGTCACTGAACCTCAATGTGTTTAGTAGTAAGTTTTCTAAAGCTCTGTCTGTGTGGTTTCTGCATAGTTGAGGTAATTTCATATTTCGGGTTTGTATGTGTTCCTAAGATCCTTCACAGCTTCTGGGTCAGCTCTTGGTATGACAGAGGATACTTCTTCCAGGCTTAGGGGAGAGAGGCCTGAAAGAACTCCATGGAAGAAGGCTGGAGGCAGTTAATCAGCAATCCTGTTCATCTCCAGTAGCAGTGAACATCCCCCCTGTCCTGTTAGTGATATTCAGCGTCATCTGAGCTGGAAATTAATCTGCTCTGATCTTTAATCACAACATTACTGTTCAAGGACAATGAAAGTGACATTGTCCAGGGTGTCAGGAAGCTTTTTGTGCCTTTTGTGGTTTCCCTGAGGTGGGACACAGGTGTTTATGTGTCTTCAAGGGGCCTGCACAGGCAGCTTTAGGAAACACTTAGGGATCCCCTGTGCACTCCTCATAGGAATCTCCGTGAGCGTGGTCCTGCTGTCACTGCAGCCTCACAGCCCAATGCTCTGGGACTGGGTGGAGGCAGAGGAGTAGGAAACCTTCTGGAGGGTTAAGGTTGGCTTGGGGAGACCAGAGAATGGAAACAGGTGGCACAAGTCTGCAGGCGGTACTAATGTAGAAAATCCAAATGTGAGAAATGTGCAAGTTTTAAAGTCACATGCCTAAATATAAGGTCTTAGTTGTGTTTGTTATGAATAATTGTTCTTTGTTCTTTAGGGAATGATTTTATAAACTAACCTGATTTATACTACCAAATGAAGAGGTAAAAGAACTCTTTAGTGTGGAAGGCTTGTAAGCTTGTATCTCCATGGCACCAGTTTTAATATTTGCTGTCTCAAAAGTTTAGGATAAATTTCCAGGTTTAATCTCATCATCTCAAATTTATTCACAACTTCTAAAATGTATTCAGAGTGCTCAGAGATCTTGTAGACCCTCTAAACTTTCTTTTCAATGGAACAAAGATGTTTCAGAACCTAGCATATTTGTGTCTGTTACTGGGGAAAAAAAAAAGAAAAGCATCCAGTGTATGACAGAGTACCATGACCCCTCCCCCAGGACAATGTCACAGCTTGCTGAGAAATCTTACAGAAATAGATTAACCTGTGTGTCATAAAAGACAGGATGTATTCTTGGCAAAAATCTCCTTGAAGTTAAATCTCACAAAGCTACAAAAACCCAGTGGACATGAAATACAATTTTGCTCCACCAAGATCCTGTGTGCATCTGTGTCAGCCCACAGGAAGCTAAGAGGCCTTGTGCTGTTGCAGACTGCTAGGATCAAGGTGGCTGTGGTGTTCTAAAGTGTTCATTCAACTCAATTCATGGGATTGAGTTGAGCTCTTGGGCAAGGGAAAGTTAGGAGGCCTAAATGAAGGCTGTAAGGTGTGTACGGATTTTTGTATTGTAATTTGGAGTTTCACTGATGTGGTGTTCTGTAAATATTTTGGAAAATTATTGCAGAGTAGACAGGAAAGCTGCAGAAAATATTGTTTGTGTGACTTTTCACCCTGTACTGAAATACACCATTTGCATTTCATAAATTTTATTAGGGTGCTGGTGTTCCCAAAGAGACTATGTAGTACCTGAATCTTAGTTGTCAGCTGCTGTGTACCATGGAAAAAGTTTTCATCTGAAACTTTTCTTCCTTTGGTTTTGTCATCTGAACTGATGATATCTTGACCCCGTAGTCATGGGAGTCCTCAGAGGAACAGGAAGTAAATATAGACTTGACTTAAAAACAAGTAAATAAAGACAGCGCCAAAAACCCCAACCAAACAAAAAATTACCAAAAAAATTGCCTGTCTAGACAAAAGGCATCTTTTAGAGGATCTTGTGTGGTAATTGGGTTTTGGTTTAATTTCTATGTTTTGTGGCTGCCGTAGATCACTAGGGCAGTAGACTAGAAGATAAATTTGGTTGTGGAAGTAGTTACAAGTGGCTTTTCTGTTTTTGTTTGGAATTATTTTTTTCCTTTCAGTTCCAACTTCCTAGAGAGAGAGGACCAGGGAAAATGCTATCAGATTTCTGCATCTTGGAGTTTCTTTTGCTTGAAGAGATCCATGTGATTCTGAAAGGTCTAACAATGATATCTTTTAATGTGCCTTGCTATTTCTTCAGCTTGAAATGATCAGGGCAGGGTGCTTGATCTAGTATTCTTCTCCTAAGTGTGCCCTCTGGGCCTCTTTCCCTTTTCAGTCACTCTCAGGTTCTGCTCAGAATTGTTTTATTAAAGGTGTCTAAGCATGGCATGTTAATCTTCAGATGAGAAACAAGTTGCCTTTCTTATCCTCTGAACTTTTGAGATGCATATGATGATAGAACCAGATATTTTTGATAAATGTCAGTATCCTGTCACCTTAGCTACTGGGTCTCATTGACCAGGATACTTGATGTCATACTCCAAAACAAAATAGCAACTGGTCTTGTTCGGTCCGCTGTCCTATCTGCCATGCAGCTTTAGCTTTTATCACCTTCACTGCTCTTTTTCTGTGTCCAGGAGTCTTTTCAGGAGCAGTTGCTACTTGCAGTTAGGAGGATGAAACAGTTTGACTTAATTTAAATAAAATTGTAATCTCATATGAAGCCATGTCTGCATCTTAAGATTTTTATGAATTTCAGGTAGGGGTTCTGAATTCTTGCATCTCACTCTTCATTGAAACACTGTTATTTCAGTGGTATGTATTTAAAAACTGTTCTTCCTAATATGTGCAGAGCTGCTTTATTCCACTTCTGTGTATGTTACAAAGCACTCTTAGGAGAACTGGCTGTGGTTCCTCTAATGAAACCAACTGGGCACTTTTTCTCTTGAAGGAGCTAATAAAAATGACCCAACCTGTGTCTCTGCTGAACTGAACTGTTTCTGTTTTCATCTTTTCTCAAAAAAAAAGTCACAGTTTTTCTGGAAGAATAGAGATTTGGGAATGGACAAGTGGACATCCCTTGTTTATTTTTGAAAGAAAAGCTCATCAGCAAATCCAGCAAAAACATTGGTGCTTTTAGCATTTTAGGGCTAGGACTGAGTTGAGCAACGTCTGATCAGAAACATTCCACATGGTCTGTCAGAGCTGCTGCTGCTGAAATAGACTGACTTTGGAAAGTATTTAAAGCTTGGACTTGGTCTTTGTTCTGTTTGTAGATGCTCCTCTACACATAACCCTCAGGAGTACCCCATATAGAGATGAAAAAGTAGAAAAGAGAAGAACTTCAACTCCTGTAAGTGCACTAAATAGTCACCGCCATTCTATTAGAGACCAAACCAGGAACCACATAGCAAGAGCACTGCGGAGACCTCGGGAAAGAGAAAGAGTTCAACATGGTACGGCTTTTGGTTTAACATGGAAAGGAAAAAGTCTTGAGAAAGTTTTAAACATTGTAAGGAACTGATAATATTCTGTATACCTTTTTTATAGATGAGTAAATGGTTGGTTCTCACAATTAAGGGGTAAACATTATATATATGGTAAAAAAAAGTTTTATAAATGTATAGTTATGTGGCTGCAATGTGCTCCCCCTGGTATGTGATATCATTGGATGGTCTTGGTAATCCAGGGATTTGGGAAGGTTGGCTTGTTACTATGGCAACACTTGACCTGCAATCAGAATGTAAGAAAGTGACTTCCACCACTGGATCGGAAGGAAGGAGTTGACTGACAAGGCTCTAGGAGAGGCAGAGATACAAAAGGTGAAGCATCCACCTTGAAGATGAGCCAAACAAGTGGTGGGCAGCCATGAGGGCAGTTCCCAGGCCTGCTTTTACCTAGTCTTTGTTGTATTTTTGTTAAGGTTTAATAAACCCTTTAAATTTTTTTAAGTGAGCGGTTGTTTCTCACACCTTCATTTAGAGAGAGTAATTTTGTAAAAATGTATGGTATAAAATGTAAGCAGTGTTTTTTCAATGTAATTTTGTAAGTTTTCATGCTCTCTGCACTAGGGTTTATTCTGCCCAGTCAGTTGGTAACATTTATAGGATGTAAAAAGTACTAAAGTATTAAAGGTCATTAAAAGGTTGTAGGTCTTAATTCTGTTAAACTCCTGGCTGCCCAAATCATTAAATATTTTAAGTAATCTTGTACCTACTGAGATACCTAAACTTAAAAGAGGTGGATGGGGGTGGGCATGAGGCACCATGACCTAGGGTGATATGTTTTGTAGGGGGTTCTTTTCAATAGCACTTGACCACTTCTTGTAGTCAGCAATTGCTACTAGACATCTCTGAAGAACTTCATGACTTTGACTGTTCACTGGTATCATGTAAACTCTGTTTATACTGAAATCTGCTGTAATATCCGTGGATAACAGCCAGATGGGATGGGGGGATGTATGTATACACAATAGAAACAATACATATTAATAATAATATTTTGTATGTATAGAAATAATATATAAATCATTCCCAACATACTTCTAGATTACTGCATCACCACTTTATTTCAGTAAGAAAAAACTTGAGTCACAGTGATGAGGAAAACAAACAAAATCTGAGGTTAGACTGCTGTATCTATGACAGATGCTCTGTCCTGGAGATCACCTCATAGCTGCCTGTGTCTGTGTTGTCCTGTTGATCATAGCAGACAGACAGTACTTAGCATCTTGTTTATTCTTGTGCATCCCTCGCTGCCCTTCCTTGTGGGAAGGTCTGAATGAGGCCCATCAGTATCTCCTCACTCAGTGGGATGTGTCCTATGTGCACGTGTGGCATTTAGAGATTATAATGAGCTTTCACAGTGGTGATGTGATGGAGGATGGTGAGCACTCATCCCAGTTCTTATGAGTCTCTGCCATTCAAGGAAGTTGAAATCCTCTGTCTTTTCAAAAAAACTCCAAACCATTAAAAATGTAGTTGTTTTTGCTTAATTTCTAGGATTATGTTTCTCAGTTTCTTTCCGTTTGATTATGTGAATCTGTGAGGATGCTTATAACCTAGATAAGTCTCTCTGTCTGGTCTTATGTCAGTGAAAATTCATTACACTTCAGAGCACTTAGAAGAAACAGCTTTAAACAATGAGATTGTTTAGTACCTAGTTTTGGAAGATTCTAGTATAATACTGGAATACTTGTTCTTTGAAGATTTTTTTTTTTCATGGAAACATGCATTAACTGCTGTGCATTTCAGAAGATAGCTCCACAAAGAAGTTTGCAAATATTTAGATTTTTTTTTCAGATTTTAAGACATATGGGGAAGCTTACCAGGGGCAAGGTGGAGAAAGTGACAGTTTCTTTCACATTTATTTTGAATATTTTGATAGTGGTTTAGGAAGTTTCCCATGTGCCCTTGGATATCTTCAAAGAAATCCAGTAATCTGATCATGTGATAAATCATCATGAAAATAAGGAAAATTTACCTACCTCTGTTTAGCTCAGTTATTCTCTCTTTGCCCCTTCTGGAAGAACAAAATGGTAGAACTTTCTTGCATCCCTGTGAGCAAAGAGAAGGGAATGGTACCAAGAGGATCCTGACCATTGGAAGTACAAGAGATGAGAACAGATGAAAGTAAGAAGGAAGTTGGAAGCACTGTGTTTGACACTTGAATATGCACCTTTTCTTTTCCTGTTTTTTGTTTGGGTTTTTTTAATTTCCCTCAACACCGAGAGGTGGAACAAGGTGACTTTTGTGCTGCCAGCCCTGCTGCAGGTGCCTGGTGTGGCCGTGTGGGTGAGCTCCCTGAGGTGCCTTTGCTAACCTCGTGCTAAGAGGGGCACAGAAATAGCAAAATAGCAGGAAATCTTTGAGGACTCAGAGAGATGGGCACGTGCAGAGCTAAAGAGTCTCCTGAGGACAAGCTATTAAGCTTGTCCTTCATGCTTACCAGAGCAGATTAAATGTGACTGCCATTTGCAGTTTCTCACTGGACTGTTTGTGCCATAAATACTCAGCCGATGAATCGGGGACTTTACTGTTGATGTGTGAAAGGAGTTGATATAATATGCTGGTATTGCTGATTTACTTTATAAATGGTTACAGACAACCTAGGGTTCTCAAATGGTTTGTGCAAGTGAAGATTTCTTACAGTATACACTGTCTTCAAGTGCTTATTCAGATCTCTGTCATCTGACATTGAAATAGGTTTCGGAATGGGATGGTGAGTGTCTAATCAGCCAAGCACTCTGAGAGCAGAGCCATTTTGAGATACAAGACATCCTTCCATAATAGGCATTAATTAATCTTTGAGTCAGGGTAATTTACATAAGGAACTGCATAAGTATCTAGAAATTGTGTGCTGGGACCTAAATCTGGAAGATAGGATGTAACCAAACACTGGGGTCTGGAAAGCAGGCATTTGTGTACATGCCCTTGCAATAGGCTTATACTGAATTGTGCATGCTCTGGAAGCATGCTTTGATAGACTTAATTGACAGCTGTCAGTCATTCATAATTATGGTGTGGTTTTAATCCCATAAAAATAGAATGGAGAGCGGATGTTGAGAGAGTAGTTAAAGCCAGCTGAATCATTTTTACTCCATTTTCAATATAAATAAAATATTTGATTGGGGAACTGAACTGAAGTTTAGGGTCTTGTTCTGTTACAGTGCTAGTGAAATGTCCAGTCATCATAATTTAAAAAGTGGACATAACGAATCCCTCAGTTGTTTTTATGATCTCTGAAGCATGTAAATAATAAGTGGGCACTGCTGTACATTTCATTTCTCCTACATGATGCTTATATTTTGTTACGGGACAGTCAAATTAGGACTTAAAATAGATTATTCCAGTTGAGAGCTGGGGAATTCTTAAAAGTAAGTTTTCTTCTTCTTGGGTTTATTGTTGTGTTTTGTTTTTTTTCAGGGAACTGGCCTTGATTGTCCAAAAGAATTGGAGGCTTTTAAGAACATTATGAAGTAGAATAAATGTATATATTTTTTTAAACTAATTTGGAATTTTGTCTAATTTCAGTTGTTAAAGGACATGAGAAGAGCAAAGAAAAAAAATCCAAAGACTATGAAAGATCCAAGTCAAAGAAAAAGAAAAAAAAGAAAAAGAGATCTAAGCCTGGTAAAGTTCATTTTTCTTCTGTAGATGAAACTGGCTTCATTCTTTTGTTTTATTACCTGCAAAAAATCACTTTAGATCACTTAAGATCAGGCATTGCATTTCAGCCTTTTTCTTCGCTTAGCTTTTATTTTATTAAATAATTGATTTTAAATTGTGGTTGACAAGATAATCTATTTCCTGGTTAAACTTCCTCAGTAATGCTGGATGGTGGCTTGTAATAGCGCTTGTAATGGCACAGAATAAATGTCACTCCTAAATGAATGTCAGTGTATAAGTCAGGCTTTTCCTTAATAAGTGTGCTTCTATGCAGGCTTTGCCCAATTAAGAGAGTGCAGATGCCCTGTGTGCTCTGGGACTGCTTTATGAATGCTGGAGTTTGCAAACTTTGAGTCCTTTTTTTCTGCTGTTAACCTTATTATTTCTTACACTTTCACTTTGAGGGGGAGTGGGCTGTAACAATGAGCCCAATTAAACCTGTCACAGCCTTAATTTCTTTCTTAAAGAAGTTCTGTAGAGATTTAGTAAAAGCCCAGTTTAAAGTCTAAACTCCAGCTGTGTCCCTCTTTCATGTCTCATAACATGCTGTTGCACTACATTAAAGTGGCTGTAGTAGCAACATGTATTCTTGGTTTCATCTGTTTCCTGGGGCCACTTCAAGCTTTGAACTTGAGACAGTGGCCCAGGTGTTAGAGGTAATGGATTCTTCGCTACTGAAAACACAGCCGATCCTGGAAAATTTGTTTGAAACGTTTAAGGATCAAGTGTGACAGCATCCTCTGTTATTGGTGGGGATACAGCATGCTTCAATCTGCTAGGCATCGTTTGTGAAACTACATCTCCCTAAGGAGGAGTTTCTGAGATAGAAAATTCTCTGATTGCTGCCATGAATAGGGCAAGCTATCAAGAGAGTGGATTGGAAGAACCATAGGCCAAGTCACTTAGAATTGTACTGCAACAAATAATTTTAATGAATTTCTGATTGTATGGTGCTCACAAGTGTAATGATAAAGTGCAAAATGTAATCTGTAGATTTATGCACCAAGTCCCCACAAGCCACCTATCAGTCTGTCATTGGGTTTTAAGATGTTGCATGCCTTTTTTTGATGTTGACCTTATGGGAATTCAGTCCAGAGCTGTGAAGATTTTTTCCAGGTAACTGGAGAGTGCTGCTTGTAACTTCAGCCAGCCTTGATTTATATCCATTGTAGGCCTCACAGGGAAACTAGTCAAGGTGTTTTCTTCACACACTCTTAATCTGGGCTTGTCCACCTGTGCATTCTGTTCCATACATAGACTAGGAAAACAAGTGCTTTCTATACGCTTTGAAGTCTGTGAGATTAGGGAATGTGTATAACCTCGTGTGAGTGGGATGTGAGGGGGAGGTCTCCAGCTAGTGGTGCTTGTGTGAAAGTGCCTGTAAAGCAAAGGTATTTGTACACCTACTCAGTCTGAAGAATAGTTGGCCTGGAAAGGCTGATCACTTAGACCTTTGTCACTTCTGGCAGCAGTAAACAGTGACTGAGCAGCATAAAATTGTCTGGTTCAGAAAATACCTTCTTGCCTCTGGAAAGCTTGTGCATCTTGCAGCAGCATCGTGCAGTCCCAGAGCTCCAGCATACTGGGAACTGGCTCAGGGAGTTACACATTTCTGCTGTGGGCATGCATGGTGCTGTTTCTTCTGTCAGCTTTTTTTGACCATAGATTTTTCATGATTTACTACAATTTTACAGGGTATTCGGGCACTGGGGAGAACACAGATATCTCACAAGAGCTTTCACCTGAAAAATCAGTTATCACAAAATCTAATTCTTCAAGTAAATCATTTGCTCATCCAAGCACCTTGCTTCACTGCACTGATTCTGGACAGCATAAGGGAAGATCAAAAGCAAATGGTGAGATGGCTTTTCCTCTTTCTCCTCTCTGGCTTTCTAGTTCTGTCTTTCATTACCAGTAAATATGTGAACAGCACTAACATATTTGAAAACTGATTCTTATTGTATAAATTTGGCTATTCTTACTCAGGGCTGTGTGTATTTCTTTCCCCCTGCTTGACAAGACTGGACCCAGTTCTTTTGCCTGAGCTTGATGTTGCTGCTTTTTACTTTGACTTTACTTTCATATACACTTCAAGACTGTTGCCCTTATCTCAGAAATCAAACTCATTTTGCGGGGTTTTTTTCAGTGCCTTATTAACTCCTAAAATAACTATGTTACAACTTAATAATTTTTTCATATTTCCAAAAGTTTCTACAATGTAAGAACTCCTTCAGAGTTAAGAGTGGGTGTTTTGCGAGCTCTCTGTGTTCAAGAGACCATTGGGTGTGGTGATGTGTAGTTGTATTGATACAGAATGAATATGCTTATAATGACTTTCTGAGCTTCATATGTGAAGCTCTTGAGTACTGTTTATTGATGTCTTCTTCATAGTACTTCATTCACACAACCCATGAAAGTCTGGCTGCTGTGTACCAGCTTTCATTATTCTCAATGTCTTGCTCCATGTTACTACTTACTGATACAAGCTGGTACAATAAAAAAGATAAACATTTGATTTTTCTCTTCTTAAAAGTCACAGATTTGAAGGAAATAGAAAATATAAGACAGTGTGATTCTATACAAGAACGTTAAATTCTTTTTTGTACAGATACATGGTTGAGAACAGTTTGAGCTTGTTTTGGGTGTTTTTGTTTCTTTTTGTTTGAGGGTTTTTGGTTTTGTTGCTAGTTTGTTGTTGTTGTTTTGCATAACTTTCATTGTTATTAGACAAAAGTAAATTTTAGCTTCATTAAATTCCCCTTTATAGGTGAAACAGGAAACGTTAAAAACTACTGAAGTGCAGATAGTGGTAATGTCTTGAAACACGTTTTTGCAATCTGAGCAGTTGTGTTTCTGGAGTATATCAACTGTATGACATACAGTTCAGTAGCTTGGCCATCAGTTGCTCAGACTTCTTTTGATCAGTTGATAGATATTGAAAGTAGTGAAAAATACCAGAAATTATTTTATTTCATCCTTTTAAAATAGTTTTGTTACTTTTTGCATCTGCAGAATTTGTGCCTAGATAAACAAGATCTGGTGTAAACAAATGGTGATGTGGCAGTGCAGTGTGCCCATCCCGTCACTTCCGCTGTACTTTAGGAAAGAGTGTCCTAGTTCAGAGGTGGAACAGAACTTTTAAACATGAAAATAAACTATAGTGTTGGGTTCTCACCCTTTGACAACAGATGCTTCCCCAAAAAATACAGTTTATGCCACAGACCTGTAGTTCTGTATTTGCATTCTGTGAGCTAAATGATGGAGGTAGTTATACTCACGGTAGGTGAGACCCCACCATTGTACTTAAGACTACAATTTTTACCTTCCATTCTCCTCTAACTCATTAAATTATTTTCAGATAATTAAAATACTTCATCTTCTTCCTCTGACCCTCACATTCTATCCCCAGGGAAGATGCAGTTGTTGATTTAATATTATTGAGGTATGATTCTCAATTCAGCATGCTGTTCAGTTAAAATTCTTGGCAGTTTTATTCAATCTAGGATGCACTAATGCTTCAGCTAAGTAGTGTGGGTGCATTCTGGAAGAACACCTTGTGCAGTACACTGCCTGTGAGTTTATAAATGCATCCTAAACAGAAGATTAAATGAAAATCATTTCTGAAGCAGGATTAAATTCTGTGTTGGACCCAGTATTTCTGTCATGGAAACATCACTTCGTGAGATTAAATGGTTCATAAAACAGAGCCCTCTTGCCACTTTCTGAGAGCTCTACACTAGAAGTGCCAAGTCACAATTCTGTACCAATTGCAGCAGCTAGCTAGCATGAGTCCTATTTGAATGTACAAGCCTGGTTTTGTTGTTTATAGTTTTTCCTGAAGAGACTTTGTGCCTTGGTTTGAGATGCTGTATGCTGACAGTACAGTTTTAATGACAAAAGCTGTTAAGATGGATATTTTGAGAGAGCCATTAATGAGACTATAAAACTTCATTATGTAGTAACCTTCAATAAACTGGTAAAATTGTGGTATTCCTTACATTGCACTGTGAACTCATGCTTTTTGGAATGTATATTTGCATACTTGGGATGAGATTTTGAGGGACCTTTTTTTATAATTACTCAGGATTTTATGTAAATACTTCTTGTACAGAGGATGACACCCTGAGTGAGTCATCTATGGATAGCTTGCCATGGAGTGACGATGACTGCAGTCAGGATGTTGATGTAACCACCAACCCCGATGAAGAAGTTGAAGAGAGTGATTTTGAGATTGTTCGGTGTGTTTGCGAAGTAAGAGAAGAAAATGACTTCATGATTCAGGTATGAAATGGAAGGTAAATGCACATTTTAGTGAATGCAGTGGAAGGTGTCAGTAGAGAAACTTTTGTACCTGAAATAATAAACTATTGTTGTCTTCCAAAAACATAGCATTTTTTGAGGTAATCTGTAAGGGTGACTGCTCCGATAGTTAACTTCTGCTTCATAGTACAGTTTAGGATTTTTAATTGAAAGAAAGAGGAAACTTCACTCCAAGTCAGAAATGGTTGGTTTGTTATTTGAGAATTTTGCTAAACATAGAAGACTTTCTTGATTCTGAGAACGCATATTTGAAATCAGTGATTTTTTTTTTTTTTTTTTGGGCTCCCTCTAATTTAGAGATTGTTCAGAACATTGTCATGACATAGTTCTGTACTTCCCATTCCTCTGCCCTGGTAAGAAGCTTAACTTACACATACAATTCTCCAGACAGGCTGGAAAAAAAAAAAAAAAGAAAAAAATTGAGAGTTTTGCTTTAAAGCAGAACTGCATTTGTCATTTGTCCATTCTGCAGTAGTCTGCAAATTCAGAGTTCCTAACCTGCCTAAGACCATCCGTCCATTCCACATGTATCTGCTCTTTTTAAATCAGCTTCACTGAAAACTTGTAGAGGCTTCTGTTGTCTCTCCTGCTTAAAACTGTTGATAAAACCTCCTTGGAAGTTACTTGCCTATTTACTTTGAGATGTTTGTAAATTATCAGGAAATGATGTTCCTATGAATTTCAAGAGGTGAAGTCAAAAAATCAATTAAATTTCTTCATAATTTTTTGCTCTAAATCATTTTCTTTGAGTTTCCATGCTGTTTCATGGAACCTTGCTGTGGAAGGTATGATGCTTTTTCTCTTAGTGATGGGTTCACTTCACACAACTTAGTTTTAGTGTTAGATCCTGACAATGCAGCGCATAAAGTAATTTATGGATTAGTAAGGAAGGGTGGAGTGATGGGCAGTGGTCAGGTGTAAGTAAATAGCACCAGACTGTACATGAAGGAAAATGAGTCTGACAGTGGTGACCAAAGGGGGGTAGATACCCTCTGAGGAGATAGCTTACAGAAAATCACAAAAAATAGCCTGGGAGTAGAACTGGCAGAAGTTCAATACTAGGTTAGGATTGCAGGATGTAGGGAGCTGTCAACTTGCTCTGGATGCAGCCTATGGATGCCTTTCCTTTAGAGTTTCGTGGGCTGTTTCTAAGATTACCTTGCTAGCTTGAACTAGTTTGGGTGGGCTTTTTTAGCATATTGCAAACTTTTAAACATTTGAATTAATTTGTGAAAGAACTGGTCTCTGGAAGAGAGATGCAGTTGAGCAGTATTGTGAGTATCTGCATTCTTGGTGGGGATTGAGGTAATAGGAAATATGCTGGCACCTGGGATGCCTGCTTGGGTTTGCTGCGTGTCCGTCTTAATAGCGGAATGAGGAGCCAGGGCAGTTTCTTCATGGATCTGCAGGAGCTTCATTGCTCCCAATATACATGTATCCCCTCCTGTCTTACAAGAGGGAGAATGCTAAGCGTTGTCTTTCAGCTGTGTTCATTGCCATGAATGTGCCCAATATAGAAATAATGCAGGAAAATGTTAATTTTAAACATATCAGCACCTTGTCCATGAAAGACTGGGGAACATTAAAGTGGAATGAAACTCATACACAGTTAAAATGGGAGTTCCTTTAGGTATTTAAACTAATAATTTGCCCTCACATTCAAAAGATTTTATAAAAAGTTTTCTTTGACCTGTACTTGCCTTAAATGAATTGTCTTGAGCAATTTGTGCATTGCTCATTTATTGCACTGGGATGCAGAAATCTGGGTTTGCATTTATAGAAGTATCTACTTCAGTTAGTAGAAATTAGATCTGGAAAAAGAAGTACAGAAAAATAGTGTGTTGTTGGTTAGTGCTGTTTTGTTCCAGTCTCTACAGGGAGATTACTAGACTTTATTTATGGAGCTGGTGTAAAGCAGCAGTGTAGCATTGCCCTGTGTTCCTTCTGGAGGCACAGCAGTCCGATTTCCTGGTGAGACCCAAGAAATCCAGACAGACTGTTATTGCCTCATCTTTTTAGTTTTTATATCGAAACACTGATGAATTTGTGTATGATGCAGAAAATTCTGGGGCTGGATTTGATGGCCTCAGAGGTGATGGATGTAAACAGACTTGAGATATTTTTGTTCTGGAAGGTGAAAAGCTGCTTTAAATGCACATCTTTTGGGTTTATTGATTTTGTGGCTTGAATTTCAATTTAAATATTTTTTGCACAATGCTGTATGTTTTTTCTCTTCTAAATCTTCTGCTTGGAATGCTTTGAAACTCCCTACTACTACCTGGGCAGGGAGTAGTTTCCCAATAGCATGTGCCAGAGCAGTAACCTGTAGCCTAGCAGCCGCCATGTGCACTAGAACCTGCAAGTTAAAGAATGCACCTGTACCCTGAAGGGGTGAATATTTAAATATCAGTTGAGTGAAATTTTAAAAAGTTGGGATGTTTGTGCTGGTTTGAAAGTAAACCAGCAGGATAAATGAACCCCACAGAACTACGTGAGAGAGATTTCAGGTCAGAGTTACAGTGTCATTAGGAAGATTACAGTAAATGCAACAATACACAAAAACTGGCTTAAAGTCAGACTGCAGCCTGGTGTTCTGTTGGGCAGGGTGGTGGTCTCAGTCCTATCAAATAGTGACAGTAGTCCTGCGAAATGATGGTTGAAGTTGAGAGCAATGGTCCTCTGGGAGGTCTAGTCCTCCTGTGGAAGTTCAGGTCCTCCTCTGGATCTGCCCAGTAGTCATGGTGTCCTAAATTCCTAAAGCACCCAGATAAATTATGGTCAGATATGGGCAGGATGCTCAATACCTCCCCCAGGGCAGGGAATTTCACAATGGAATGATGCAATCCTATGAGTTATAGGATGTTTTGGGGATCCTTGATGTCCTAGGTCCTTACAGCTGCCCATTGGGGCATTAAGGCCTGATGGCAGAGATGACCCCCCTTAGGCTGGATGTAGTTATCACAGTTAAGTCAGTTTGTGAAGACAAGAGAACTACCCTGATGTACCTGGTTTGGGGGTGGTTGGCCTCTTTATCTAACCCTTGCAGCCTGCTGGCTGGTGTGCACTGGGCAGCTCTTGCAAACAACCCATCATTAGCAATTCATCAAGAATAGTGTAGATGGGAGTGGAGTGCATAGTTTGGTTACAATCGCACTTGCAACATAGGACAGATGCTTTGCTAGAGTTCGGGGCAAAATTGCCTGGAAAAACACTGAGTGCAGCGCTGTACAATATGGCATGATCCATAGGATGCAGGTGTAACTAGATCCAGGAGCTGCCTTCCTATTTTTAGCACAGTCTGTTTCTCTTAATCTGTTTTCTTTGTTTTAGAGCAACTTTTTCTGGCTCTAATTTGTGAAAGGAGGATTATGTCTGCCTTTTTTGAAAATATCTCCCAACTGCATTAGGGCTATTTACCGATTTTGGAAGGCAAAATATTGTTGGTTCCATCCTTCAGAAACCTGTTTCTCTCTAATCTTTTACACTCTCCAATCCCAGAGCTCCCATCTCCTCCACACCTAGACCACTCATTTAATGCAGTGAAGTATTCAAAGTCTGGTTGTCCTTTTCTGTCCCTCCTAGCTTGAGGAAGGGCAGGAGATAAGGTAATAAGGAAATAATTAAAGTGATGCTGAGCGCTGATGCTGAGAACGTTTAGCACGTTCGCATCTTTGTAGGTCAATGAAGAGCAATGTGAAATTCCTTGCAGTTGCTGTTAGAGTTTGGTTTAGCTCATACTGCAGTCCTCTGCATTCCCAACATTTCTGTTTTTGGTTTATGCTCTGAGAAATAAGGGGTATATAATCTCTTGTCTCACTGCCTGGGAAAATAGTAACTTTCAACTGACATCACAGTTTCCAATCAAAATAGACTTAATATTCTTATGTGGGGTTTTGTTCCATGTTTCAGTGGTCTGTAGTCTACAATCACAATTTTGTCACATTAAAATACTGATGGGGAGAAAATGACAAACAAAACGTGAATAGTTTTTTCCCTGCTCTAGAACAGCATGGCTTTAAGAACAGTGACTGCATTTTAAATGGTGTAACTGTGCTAAAGAGATCCAAATTATATTCAGTCATTGCCAGTATGATTGTCCTGCCTTGGAAAGATGTTGGATGCTCCTAAAGCTGGTGCAACTGATCTGCACTGTAGGTTTGTGTTAGTAGAGCTACCCTTGAAGTGGATAAAATGTTGGAGGGACAAGAATCATTAAAGCATAATATTGCCTACTCCTGAAATAAACAGGGCAGGAGACTTTTTCTCCTTTCAATGCCTTTATTAAGAGTGATCAGCTCAAGGTCGGGAGGCTCGACGGGTCCGCCATGGCAGCTCCCAGGGGGACTCGGAGGAGGAGGAGGAGGAATGTGCAGCTTTGTCCCCTGGGGCAGAGCTGGGGGTCCCGGCCCCACCATGTTACCCAGCTTTGGACTTTTCCAGGCTCGGGGCTTGGTTCCAGCTGAGCTCTTTGCTCAGGGCGAGGGGCAACAAAGGTTTTCAGCATCTTTGCACGTTCTGTTCCTCACGTTCAGACATCACTCTAATCTCTTAATTCTGTATTGGCTCCTTTTTTTGGGGGTCTTTCCGGTAAGTTTGGTGGAGTTGCTTCCCATGGTATGCTGGTCTCAAGCCTATTTTGCATTCTCTCCCATGTCCCCCCCTCTCACAGTCTGGGAAGAAGAATAGCTTAGCCTTAGGTAGGGCCATACCAGTACAAAAGGAGCAATTAACAAGAACGACTGGTGATACAATAACAAACAGGTAGAACTTCACCTTGGCAGCAGCTGGTTTTACTGGTTCTGCAACCCTTTTGTTCCCCAAAAAAATTGGCAGATTTTTTATTTATAACACTCCTGTGTGACTTAAAAATCTCTGGGATTTGATAACTAAATGTGGATTACTGTTTGAGGTTGTCAGGAAAAGTAATCCACAAACATGAGAGGTTTATGTCCAAAAGGGAGACAGAGGAGCCCTTTTACTTTATTCAAATAAAGGGAGAGGCCATGGGGCATTCCCCTGGGGTCCCTCAAATTTCTGGAGGACAATTTTTTGACACTGGCCTTTTTATCCCAATTTCCCTTCTCTCTTTCCCCTGTGGCTGAGGCACTTTAGAGGTACAGACTTGCCGGAATGCCTCATACCAAAGATTGCCCTCTAATGTATAGCTCCTCCTTTTTAATTTTTAGTTCTTAGGGAATTTAGGGGTTTCCCCATTGTGTCTTTCATCTTTCAATATCCAATTTCATTTATCAGTAAACCTACCGTTTGTTTCTAAAGGCAAATACCTTTTCCCATTCATCAATCAGTGGAATCCTTCCTGTTGTTGCTCTTATCTCTCAGTGCTGGTTTTATCTACTAGCAGACCCACAGTTTGTTTGTAAAGACAAACCTGTCATTCCTCTCAAGGGGAAAGCTTTTGAATTCAGAAAAATTGATCTGTTTTGGTGAAGAAAGCTTGATTGCTCTGTTGGCTATCTGGTTATGAGCACATGCATCTCATGAATGATTTTCATTTCCAAAGGGAGTATTTTTGTACCTTTCAGAATCTCTGCTTGTACTTTTTAATTGTTGTTCTCCAGAAACACACATGAAAATTGTGGAGGGCTCACATTTTATTATAGTCTGTTTCTGTAATGTATTTGTTTGTAAGTGGAAGGTGGGGTGTGTATATTAGTAGATCTTTTTGTCTTAAAATATGTAGATCCTGTGCTTCTTAATTGACATAATGGTATTGAGCTCCTCTAGCCTTCATTTCTATTCTTGTGCACTTCTTGTCTTTGAACAGTGTGAAGAGTGTCTGTGCTGGCAGCATGGAGTCTGTATGGGCTTACTGGAAGATAATATACCTGAGAAATATACCTGCTATATTTGCCAAGATCCTCCAGGTACAGAAAATTAAGGTTACAGACCCTTTTTATATATGTAGTAAATCTACTAATTCATCTATATCTAATCTGTATCTGTATCTATCTCTCTGAAAAACTATGCCATTTTTCTCCTCACCTGTGTCTGTGACTGTAGGCAAGTTTCAGTTTCAGGAAATTTAATTTATGTGAATGTCCATGAGTCAATACTATGAAATTACAAAAGGACAGGAATGGAAAAGACTGTTTTCACTGTGATGACCATCTGGCACATATCTGCTATAATAAGGATTGTACTGTCTGACTGTGGCAAAGGAGTGTAGAAAACAGGAAGCTCAAGCAAAGACTCCCCATGGGTACATCTTGGATATGGCTGCAGCTCTCCCCCAACAAATCAGGCTGATGCATTCTTTTAAATAAGTCAGCAGAAGGCTTCTGGCTCTCCTCAGCAGTGGCTCTTGTCATTGACTGCATTACCTGCTGTTCTGGTGTGATGCTGGCCCAATGCAGCCACCCACAGAAGCCACTTGCTCACCCTCTCCTGCTTCAGCTGGGCAGAAGAGAAAAATTTAACAAGGAGTTCAGGAGTTGAGACCGGGAGAAAACACTCCAAGGGCAAAACAGGCTTCACTTAGAGATAAAAGGTGAGTTTATTACCAACAGAATCAGAGGAGGATAATGAGAAGTAAAATGAGCCCTTAAAACACCTTTTCTTTCCCCAGTCCCTCCCTCCTTCCCACCAACAGTGCAGGGAAACAGCTTGTGGGGGTTTGGTCAGTTCATCACTCAAGGTTTTCTTCTCCTGCTCCGGCAGGGAAGTTGCTGCCGTGTGACACCGTGGGGTCCCTCCCACAGGAGAGAGTTCTCTGTGAACTTCTCCAGCGTGGCTTGCCAATCTCAGGAGCAGCAGTGTGCCCAAAACTGCTGCAACGTGAGCCCCTCCCACGGGCACACAGTCCTCCCAAAGCTGCTGCAGCCTGGGTCACTCGTCCACGGGCTGCAGTCCTCCAAGGACAGGCTGCTCCAGCCTGGAAGCAGGGGCCCTCTCTGTCCACCAGGTCTCCCAGTGGATCACAGCCCCTCCAGGCATCCACCCGCTCGAGTGTGAGCATCTCCCCCAGGGGCTGCGGCTGCGTCTCTGCATCCCCTGGGAATCCCCGTGGGCTGCGGGGGCACAGCGGCTTCACCGTGGTCCTCACACAGCCTGCAGAGGAACCTTGGCTCTGGCACCTGCAGCACCTCCTCCCCTCCTTCTCACTGACCTTGGCGTCACCATGCTATGTCCCTCACACGTTCTCACCTCTTCCTCTTCTGGGACTGAAAGAAAAAACTGCACTTTTCTCAGGTCGGCTGTCTGTCTCTGCCCTGAGGTGCGTGGGATGGTTCTGAGGCAGCTCACACTTTCGAAGAATGAGCCTGGACTCTTAGTTTTTTCGGTCTTCAGGTTGTTTATTATTTCTTATCTACAAAACTTTCTTTCTGCCCAGCCGAGATCTGCTCAGTAAGGCAGCCACAGGCACTCTCCCTGCCCCCGAGGCGGTGTTGTCCTTTTATACTACAAACTACGTATAACATATTTACACTTAATTCCCAATACCATCACCTATGTTAGACAGCACACTTCTACTCTAAACCAGTCCCTAAGTGCCAACATCACTGCAGAAAATGGAGAACAAGAAGAAGAAAGAAGGACTAGACGTTGCCTGATTCCTCCATCTTGTCCACATAGCCCCTATACCAAAAAATCCTAAAACCTACGTTTTCACCCTGTGAACACCTTGTTTTTACACCATTCAAACCTGTGTGGCTTTCACATCCCCATGCCAAGCTGGCAGTTCATTAGAAGGATCAAAATCAAGCCTCCAGGTGTTCTGGGCAGAATGCCAGGGTCTCCAAGCCCCCCGACGGGGTCCTTGGCAACTCTGGACATCTGGAGGGATGTGCTGAATTCCCACACACCTTGGTTTTGATTTTCTTCTTAAATCTATTATCACAGAGGCATTACCAACCTCTCAAATTAGGCCAGCTTTAGCCAGCAACATGTCCATCTTCAGAGCCACCAAGGATTGGCTCTGCCAGACATGGGGGAAGCTTCCAGCAGCTTCTCACAGAATCCCCCTCTGTGGCCACCGAGCCCGCCCCCCTCCCCCCACTACCACAACCAGGCTGTGCAAAACCAACACACCTGCATAACCTATATATTGGAATTTACCTGAGGTAACACAGTCACAGTTGATTAAGCAATATGTTCTCTCCTCCTTAGCAGATACTTTAAAATGTCTTAGTGTTGGAAAATCCCAACTCTGCAGAGACAGGGCAACTGAAAGGCAATTTAAAGATTGGATTCCATTATCAGTCTCGTAGACGGACAACCTGTAAAACTCAATGCCATTCCATCAGAAGCCAGCCTGTTTCCTGGTTACAGTATCTTATAAATGTTTTTCAGCCTATTCGCTTTTGCCGCACAATGGTGCTCATACTTCTGACACCAATCACCTATTACTTTACCTCATGTGGTCTTCCTACAATGCATCTTTCACAGTTCTAATTTTCAAGAATATGAGGTCTTTTTACAAGCCATCTTTTGAAACTTGTTTCTAGTTCAATCTCTCTCTCAATAATGTCATCTCTATTCCATGGCCTTCCTGAGTCAGCACATGTTATCTCAGAGTTTGCATACAGATGAACAAGACTGTGAGCTTTCAGTCAGGTTTTGAGAATCCTTTACAAATCTACTTCTCACATCTTAGTCCATCTTACGCAGCAGATAAAATTACATTAAGCAAATATTTTCTGACTTTCTACTGTATTTATTACAAAGACTTGCCAAAAGTGAAAAGGATGAGGTTTGGACTTGAGGCCATGGTTATAAATGGCAAGAAAAGTGATTTCTTTTCACCTGATTAAAAGACTTTTTTGATTTATGTACATATTTGGATTGTGATCCAGGGTTTTTTTGGCTGTTGAAAGCTACTAACTCTTTCGTACTTCAACTCACAGATTTGTGTAGTATGTTTACTGCTGTTGCTTGTACTCTCAGCAATGAAGACATGCTACACCTAAATTTTAAACTTTTACTACAGAGACAGCAGTATATTTAAGGTCTCTTTAGAATACCTTGCTTCTAGAATTTTAAAGATATTTTGCTTTATGGCAGTTGAAGGTAGTTTTAAAGGGACTTAAATGCACTTGCAGACTGAAGTTGTGTCATCACACTTGAATGAGTGTTTCTGTGCAGAAGGTGATTACAGCTTCATTTGTTGAATTCATCATTAACTATTAATTTCAAGATTCTGAAGTTTACATTGGAGGGGACTTAATTTTTACCTTTTAGCTCTGTCCTAATTTTACTGCTGTTGTGAAAAAGGAAAACATGTCCAACTTTCTGACTGCAAAGATGGCTTTTCAGTGACTGTTTTTGGCTTGAAGTGAGCTGATAAGATGTATGAATCTACAAAGAAGTGGCTTTTAAAACTGAGCATGGCAATTCAGCAGACTCTTACTTAGGAGCTTTCCCCAGCCTATACTGCTGGGACTTGTAACAGCACCACTCATTCTATTAGAAGTAAAAAGGAAATTTAGTGTAATTTTGTCTAAAAACTGTACTAACTGCTGTTTTACTCAGATCTTTTTGAATCGGGTAGGATTTTTAAGAGATTTGTTAACATTTACCCTTGCTTAAGCGTGATCAAGATGATTATGTAGCACAATTGCTTCTGGGCATAGTCTGGTGTCTCCTCTTCAGGTTATATACTTCAAAAGGGAGCACTTTTTGTCTCAGGGTGCACATCACCTCAGTTGTTCAGGTGACCATGAAGTTCTCAAAGTCACTGTTTTACTCTTGTGGACTGAACTGTACTTTCTGTCTCAGATGTCAGCTTCTCTAATGTAGAAATTAATGAGGGAGGGCCAATGCAGGTGGCCAGGAGTGTCTCCAATGTCGTTCTGACCATACCAAAAATTCTGCTTGCCTTCCTGCTTGATACAGTGTATCTGCCTGGAGGGTTGAGCTGATGCACCTTTCAAAATTCTTTTTCACCCTGTCAAGATTGTCTGATGCCACCTAATACCCATTCTATGTAGTTCTAGCCTCGGTCTCACTCTGCTGCCTAGTAACTCCCTTTTTCTTTTTTTTTAGCTTCTCCTCTAATCAACATTAACCTGCTTATATTGGAGACCTTTTTGCAATTATGGTTCCCAGTCTGTGTTCCAGTTTTATCTCTGGTTTTGTGGGCTTGCTGCCTGGGCTGTACATAGGCAGTGACTGATGGGGTTCTCTGGGTGCTGAGCTGTCCGCTGAGAATATCTGTAGTAAATGTACATGTTACAGGATGTGGAGGAGCTTTTGTTAGGTATTTAATGTGAAGGGTTTTTGTGTGTGTTTGCGATTTAGTAAGCACCTTTCCTGGTAATACCATTTGTTTAGCAGTTTAAGTTACTTCTGTTGATACATCTTTCACATTCAGCACTGTTTCATTTCAGCTGTTGCTGATATTCAATATCAAGAGATAACATTGATATCTCTTAAGATAGAATTATCATTATTAATTATCATTATTAATAGCTTGACTCAGGCAAGTTTTCTCTTGGAACCTTAGCCTTGATTCCTTCAAAATCTACTTTTGCACAACTGTACTAGTACATGTTGATGTTAAAAACAAGATCACTGAGAAGCTGATTGCCTTTTTCTGCATTTTACTGTCTGCAGAGAGCTGCAGTCAGATTGTAACTTCTGTCATAACCATGCTTAAACTAGACAGTGTGATACTCTGCTAAAAATGCACCTTTCTCAGCCTCATCTGTAACTGTGTGTTGTGGATGTCCTGTGGTGGAAGTTGGTGTCAGAATGTGTTTACAGTTGGGCAGAGGTTTTTGGCTTCCTACTTTACAAGTTCTTAATTTCTTCATTGGTCTGCTTTTACAGGTTCTATTGATAAGATCAAATAAGCTGTTGCAGTACCTAGAGATAATCAGGATTACTACCAGCACTGTCAACTTTTCATTTTAACTCACTCATTACTGTCACTTCAGGTCAGAGGTCCAGCTTAAAGTACTGGTATGAAAAGGAGTGGTTAAGTAATGGTCACATGCATGGCTTAGCGTTTTTGGAAGAAAATTACTCCCACCAGAATGCCAAGAAGATAGTGGCCACTCACCAGCTGCTTGGTGATGTACAGCGAGTGATCGAGGTCCTGCACGGGCTGCAGCTGAAGATGAGCATTTTACAGTAAGCAGCTTTTACCTATCAGCCGGCATGTTCTCATCGGGAATCAGACTGCAAGTGTGAAAATAGCCAGAAATTCAGACTTGCATTTGTGCTGTGTGGATTTAAAACAGTTTGAATTGCTGATGTGATCTTGGGAAAGGATTTGGCTATTTGAAAACTGTTTAAGTGGGATGAGTCTAAATGGACAATGTGTATAGAAAGGGTTAAACTAATAAACCTAATGACAGTTTTTCCCAAATCACCCAAATGGATTTTAAGTATGAACAGGATAGACTTATAACCCATGACTTCATTTTTGCAGCACTTGCTTTCTCCATTCCAGGAAATCTGGTCATAGCCTCTCCAAAAGGAATCAGATATTTTTGTTTGGTACAGTGTCTTGTTTTGATTCAGTGGGAGAGTGGTCACACTCTCAGCAACCTGCAGTACTTCATTTCTGAAAGGTTATTTCAGCTATATCTACAGAAAATAGCAATTATTTACATAAAATATTTTTTTGTATCAATTCAACTCTTTTGTGTATTTTCCTATTTAAAGTCAACCTTGGGTTCTGATGACTGAAAAAAAATTAAATCTAGCAGCTTTAAATTTATTGAATTCCGTAATTGTAATTTATTAGTTGATAATTTGCAAACAAAGTGATTTTGGCATTTTTTAGACCTTTCCCCTAAATCTGTGGTAATGCAGGAGGTTCACTGACATGGAATAATGCTTAAAGCAAGAGAGGAGCCATTTTAACATAAGGGTTTGCTTTTCCATTGTGGGATCCTTTTATTTAGGTCTGTAAGTAATCTCTTTCCTTTTTGGAGACTGAAACAAATACTTTAGGGCTACTCCTTGGGCCTTTTTTAAAGAGCAACATTTGAGTTTCAGGTGAGATTTACATAGCACCGAGGTAAGGAGCACTGGGTGTATATGTGATGGTTGCTGCAGGTTTTGTTCCTTTTCTCTCCCATGCTGAAGTCAGTATGATGGCCTGGATTAATTAAAGGTGAGGTGCAGTCCTGTTTGGATCATCTGGTTAGAAGCTTCAGCTGATGTTTTCTTTATCATGATAAAAATTAGAAGGGATTTGAATAATTGCTGAATTTGAATAATTATTATATTTTTGATGCAGATCAGCAATAGATAGATGATTTCATAGGTGCCTGAAATTATTAGGAATTGCTCGGGGTTTCAGGGAGGTGGCAAAGGACACAAGGTGATCCCGGCAGTGCCGTGGGAGGGTGGACCTTCAGCAGGCAGCAGTTAAAAGGTTATTCAAGTATTAGCATTTGAATTTTCATCCTTTGGTAACTGGTGCATCATTTTTCAGACAAATTTTCTGTCTTTTGTAAAATTATCCCTTGCTCTGGTTTGAGCAAAGTACAGTTTCTTTAGGTGTTGCAGATGAGTGGAGCTTGAGCAGAAAGCTTTGGTAAATGAACAGCTGGCTTTCACTTTTCGGGGCATGCCTTCAGGATGGTTCACCAGGGAGCTCTATCCTTGCTGTGCCAGCACTGAAGTCAAAGATGCTTCTGTGAAATAGTCTGAGCACATCCTTGGCAGCTGTACTCGCTCTGGTTTCCTCTGAGAGACACTGAAGAAACTGAGCTGCTGCGGGATGGATTAGAAAGCAGTTACTGCCAAAGTCAGCTGGTCATGTTTTGTTCAATGGTTTGGTGAACAGCTAGAAAAGCTGGATCAGCTGAATAGAATGAGTCTGTCCACCTCTGCAAGGAAGCAGAGAGGAAGGCTTGAGGGCAGCCCCCCCATCTGTGCAGCCCAATGCAGCAGGGGCTTTAGAGGCAGGATTTGCTCTGCTGTGTTCCTGCAGCCTGTGGCAGATGAGCTGCCAGCCCTTCCAATATGGCAGAGTATGGTGCTGTGCTCTCCCTTTGCTGCTGTTCTGATGCTTTACACAAGGAGGAACATGGGTTACAATGCTCACTCAGAATCTTTTGTTTGTTATATTTGCAATAATCTGATACCTATAGTTGTCCCTTCTGCTGAAATAAATAACGTATTAGTCAATTTGAAGACAATTAAAATAAGAATTTTTCTAAGAACAGATGAAGGGAACTCTGGCCACTCTGAGATGCCACTACAGTTGCAGTGTTGGTGTACCATACCTTTACTAAAAATATCCTTGTTAAAATTAATTTCTGCTGCTAATAAATTGCAAATATTGAAGCAAAATGTTCCATGAAGGGCCAGCATTGGTGAGAAGTTGTATGTGTATATTTGCAGCTTATTCTTCAAGTTTTTTCTTAATCCAAACCTTGTTTTTTTTTTTTTTCCATAATTATTCTTATTTAACTTCTTTATGCAAGAAGATAGTTTGCTTAGTCACTTTGGCATTTAAATTGGATGGTTTACTTTTTTATGTTTGAACAGAAATAAAGAACACCCTGACTTAAAGCTTTGGTGTCATCCATGGAAGCACATCACGGTGGATGAAAAAATCCATACAAAACACATCATTCACTTTGAGGAAAATTGCAAAGAGGAGACAGCAAGTTATAGAACTTGGAATGGGACAGTTGAGAAACCCTCAACAATTCCTTCTGTGGAGGAATCTTACATCACGAGTGAACACTGTTACCAGAAGCCTCGGGCCTACTACCCTGCCATAGAGCAGAGGTTGGTTGTGGAAACCAGAGGTTCAGCCATTGATGATGGAGTAAACAGAATAAGGGAAAATGGGGATGATACCTTCTCAGAGAGGTTTGGATGGAATCTGGACCAAGAAATATGCAAGATGGAAAATGAATCTAAACACAATTACTCTAAGGTATTTTTATTAAAATAGCCTTCTCTAGCAAAGAGCATGTGTTTTCCTGGCAACCTGCAAACCTCAGCCTTTTAAAATATTTTTTGGTCTGTTTGTGTTTATTTTTTTTTTAATTAGACTGTTAAATATAAGTTGCCACTAACAACTAAAATGATAAATGTGATCAACTCCTTCATTTTATATTATAATTTAAAACTCTAGGTTGACTTCTGGGCCTCAAGTTGTTTGAAGAGCATGGACCATGTATTATGGTCCACTGGTAGCTCATTGCTGCTTACTTTTGTGTACTTTTAAATGAAACATAAACACTAGCAGAGAGAGAAGAGGCCAAGTGTGTATGATATTACCAAATACACTGATAGGCCAGCTTCTAACTGTGTCCATCTTTTTTCCATGTTCTTTCTAATAGCTAAATTAATTTTTTGGGTTCTTCAGGCAGCATTTCAAGATTGAAAAAAAAAAGGTATCAGCCTGAAGTGTTGTTTTTTTTTTTTTTTTTTAAGACTGATCACCATGGAATAGTCCTGTTTCTTCTTACTACTGTAGCCCTTCAGGTTTAGCTTTCAATGCTTGGTTCTCATTGTCATCTCTGTCAGCCTAGTAGAGGCCTTTCTGCTCTCCAGTGCAAAAAATTTGATTCTGTTAGTACCAATTCCTATGAAATGTGGGATGAGAAATATTGAAAACCCTCTGGGAAATGAGTGAAGCCCCTGTGCTCTGGAGGCAGGCTAGGGGAGCTGCGGGCGTTCACCTAGAGAAGGATCCAGGGAGACCTGAGAGCCCTTTCCAGTGCCTGAAGGGCTCCTGGAGGACTGGGCTTGGGACAAGGGATGGAGGGACAGGACAAGAGGGAATGGCCTTAAGATGGAGTCTAGATTTTAGATGGGATATTAGGAAGAAATTCTTCCCTGTGGAGGTGGTGAGCCCCTGGCACAGGTTGTCCAGAGAAGCTGTGGCTGCCCCTGGATCCCTGGAAGTGTCCAAGGCCAGGTTGGGTGGGGCTTGGAGCAACTTGAGGTAGTGGAAGGTTTTGGAACCTCTTCCCACCCAAACTACGGTACAATTTTATGATTCCATTAAATACTGAGCTCCCTTTTTTTAGATTAAAAGCTAGGATAGCTCTTATTTCATCCATATGTAAGTTGTAATTTGCAACTTTCAACTTCTTTGTCAGTCTGTTGAGATTGTGTTTTGTTTCCTAGAAAAGGAAATATTTTAGTTCTTCAGTCTTAAAGAGCCTTTTTCTAAAGGATTATATTTCAGCAGAAAGATGAGAAAAGTAGGGGAGTAGAATGAGCACTGCTGATGTTGTAGTCAAGTTTTGTAAGGAGTGGTAATGCTTGTTTGGAGATGGTTCAGCAAAAGTTTTAGTAGGATTTTGATTGGATTCCTTAAGAGAAAAATCCCTTTTCACTCCTGAATTGTTTGCTCTTTAGTTGATTTAGTTGATTATTATAAGGTGTATTGTATTGTCAGGTTCTAGGAACAGCTTCAGCATTCCCTGAGATGCACAGATTAAGTGCAGGATCTTCCAGATGAACAGTGGCAGGGAGATAACTCCACATGTGTATGTTACCTTCAGAAAACCAGATGTTTGTAAAGTACAAATAGTTTTCAGCAAAATACCCATAAATATGTTTATATTTAGATCTTCTTGCCCAAACCAGGTTAGTGTCTGTCTGTGGTCTGTGTCTCTATCACTCACTGGCCTCTGATGAGTTCGGCAATTACAGGGGACTGGGAGGACTCAAACAGTTTGGCTCCCCAGTTCTCTTTCACTGTAACAGATATTTAATGTGTGTATTTCTGCTAGGTGAGAGAGTCTGTCTCTAAGAAAGTCTCTCCAGAGGAAGCTATTGAAATGAAATTGCTGGAAAAAGACAAAGAAGGAGTAGTGAACTCACAGCTGCAGTGGCAGCTCAATCTTTTAGCTCACGTGGAATCTTTGCAAGATGAAGTCATACACAGAATGGATTTCATTGAGAAGGAGCTAGATGGTAAGTAGTGTTATTCTAGTTTAAAAAACAATTTTGTTTAACTGACCTACCTGTTCAAAACATGTTAACCAGAATTTTACTTCTTCAGACCTACAAAGAGAATAATGTTCCATTATCACATTTTCTAAATAGAAAATAGACAGACTGCTGATGTGGGGGGTGGATTTTAAAACTAAGACCAGAATTTCACAGAAGTTCTAGTTAGGACATCTCTAAATAGTTGTATCAGATATTATACTGGGACATCTTTGTGTCTTTTGGGGTTTAGTTTTTTGTCCATTTCCAAAACTCTTCTGTGTGTCTGCATTTCTCTGTTCTTTGGGGACTTGCTGGCAGTGTTAGCCTGTTCTGAGTAGCCTCTTCAGCTCTTATCCTTTCCTGTCTCTTCCAAATTCTTCATCTAAATATATTTTAAGGTTTTCATAGCAATGGAAAACTTATAAATCCTTTGTGTTGCATTGAATGATTTGGGATAGTTCTTTACATTGTTAAGTCTGACCATTGGTTGTGTAGTGGTTATAACAGAAGCTTTACTTGCAGGGGAATCCAACTTCTGCCCAAGTAAGAGCCCTGTCTTTCTAAGTAAGGTACTGAAAAGTTGGACAGCTGAGGGGCTATTTCGGGTAAAGAAGATCAGTCAGGGCTGTGCTGCCTAAAAAGCTCTGGTTCCAAAAAGTTGGACTTTTTGTACCTGCTGCTGAGCAGAGGTCTGTGCAGTGTGTTGCTGCTTTGAGCAGGAACTTTCTTACTCCAAGGTGGGATGTGTCAGTACCGAGTGATGCTGCTGGTTCTGCAGCAGGTGCTGCCCACAGGTGAAGTGTTCCTGTTGGTCTGGCTGGTGGCAAGGCTGCTCTTGATAGAGGTGTTTATTCTGTCTTAAAGGTTTCAGTCTCCATCTGCAGTGCTATCAACATCCCCAGAGCTCATCACAGTCTAACCCTGACCACCTTCCTTGTGAGCGTGTTACATTATGTGTCACTTGACTTCTGCTGGGGGGGTGGGGGGGGGGTTTCTTGTTTCCCGCAGAGAAGCTTTTTAGAGCAGAAGTTTATTTTCTTTATGGAGCACTCTGCTGCTTTGTGCTTTTGATCTTCATCCCCATTTTGTGTTACCCACTTCTGTCTTGGTCAGTTGTGTTCTGTATTGATGACAGATCTCTTTCGTTCTGACAGTCCCATTTTTGATGGTGTAAACTCCCTGTACCACAGTTTCTTTGCCTGAAATTGACACAGATCAGAAGAAGTTTAGCATGAGGTTTCACAATGTCTGGTCCAGAGTTTTCCTTTCCTGCTTTTTCTTAGGAACAGCAGCTTCTCCCTCCATCTCCATGTGAATTATTTGGTAATGTATCAAAAGTTACTGTCAGAGATTGGTGTGAGGTGTGCAGTTCTATGATTTCTCAAATAACTGTTAAAAATATTGCCCACTGCCTTCTCAAGAGTTACAAAATATTTAAAGAATTCTTGTTTTGTGACTTAAGATGAGCTGTTTGCTGAGCACTGCAGTAGTGATGGATTTTGTTTTCTTTGCAGTTCTGGAGAGTTGGCTGGATTACACAGGAGAGCTGCAACCCCCAGAACCACTGGCTCGACTGCCCCAGCTCAAACACTGCATAAAGCAGCTGATAACAGACTTGGGCAAAGTGCAGCAGATCGCGCTGTGCTGCTCCACGTGAGCCTGCAGAGCTCTGGCTGGGACTGCAGAGCTGCAGGATCTGATGGGAGCACATCTGAATCTGTAAATTAAACTAGCATGATGCTTGCATGGGATGCAGATTGACTTCAAGGACTTGTCAAGAAGTGTTGTTCAAAGAAGAGCAAAAAGGTTATTTCAGGTCTATTAGACAATTATAATGCTGTGGAAAAGGTCATACTCTTGTCTCCTGTTGCCTGTTGGTTGATAAGTTAGACTAAAATTTTCACTCCCTACAAGTTGTTCATCAAAATGGTAGACTTCTTCATCATTAAATTGACTAAAAATTGTGCCACTGAAAAATAGAGTTCTAAGAGCCAAAAAAGTTTGGTTGACAGCGGTTGTAAATAACTTTGTGTAGTTTAAGTGACTCATGTCATGTTTTATTTCTTCTGGTTTATGCATACTAGCACTCAGTATTTAATCATTAGGAGATGTTATAACAGTTTCAGACTTAGTAAGTGTGAATGTCCAGCTCTTGACTATAAGTGTTATGTGGAGGTTTTCAAGTAACAGTGGCCTGACCCACACTTCTGTTACAGTAAATAATGTAGCAGGAGGTCACAGGTGGATTGCACTTGTTTTCCATATTTATCCTCACTGTCACATGACCTGGTACTGCCCATGGAGGTGGTGTTTGTGTGTATTCTTGAGCTCTTCAATCTGGCCATCCTGTGCCTCCTGCAGCACTTGGTGGGGGATCCCCTCGTTGCAGTAGTGTGGAATGCAGCCAGGAAAGGACTGGAGCCACGCTCTGAGTTCAGACCCAGCATGGTCTGTCATGGATGTGATATATTTTCTACCCATTTGTTAATAATTGCCATTCCGGTTATATTTGGAAATCTAGATTTTTTTTTTCAATACTATGGATGTGTTCATTGTAAAGACTTGCTATGAATGTGTGGTTTTGGGAATCAGTTTTTGTGTAAATAAAGCCTCGAGATCTATGCATGAGGTGCTGTCCTTGCAGACAGTGAATGGGTTATTATCTTAAATACTCTGTGTTCACAAAGTTCCTTTTTATACCTTAAGTTCTAATTTTCAGTTTGTATTTACTTGGTGATGTAGGTGACAAGGCTGCTGATGTTCAGTCAAGTTATACAGAACCTTTGGAACGTTGTGAGCATTTGAGAGGTTCAGAGTCTTTCAGCTGCAGATCACCACTCCTGAAATAATGGCTGTAACTTCAGTTTTCCTTCACAGACATTGCTGAGTTCAGTTCCCCATGGAACACAGTGAGCTGGTTTTGCAGTGAGAGGGTGTCCTTAAAAAGCTGGATTTGTTGCCCTTATTTTATTGTGTGCAGTGGTACTACCAAAGGGTAACATTCAAACAGAATTGTAATGGAAAGGCCCATACCTGTACAAATTACTAATTTGGAATATATATCTGTAATCTTTTTATTCTCCAAAGAATAATGAAAACTTGAAATATCCAGTATTATTGTAGGAGCTACAGTCTCTACATGGTGAATATTTTATTTCCTTCAGAAAACAAAATAATTAGGCTGCTCTAGGTAGTAACTAAGACTTTTATGCCAAGATTCAGTTCAGGCAATAATTTGTCTCACAGTTTTATAGTACTGTGTCGGTATATAGTGAATACAACGTACATACAGCAGAAAAACAAACTTTCTTTTCTGTAACACAATTGGAATAAAGCGTACATTGTATTTTAAGGATCATTTGGCTCTCTGAAGATGAGACCAGTGCTTATACCTTGGCTCATTCCTGTCAGGTACTTGGGCTCACGTAGCTCAGAGCAGCATCAGAGGAGCCTCGCAGGCAGCTGTTCAGGTGAAATGGGCCACAAAAGGCGTTCCCTGGGTACAGCTGGGAAAGGGACACGCTGTGTGGGAACAGCCTGGCTGTGCTCCCAGTCTGAGGGCATTCAAGCACTGAGCTGGCTTCTTGCTCCAAAGGGGGATTTCTTCTCAAGCAATGGCTTTTGTGTGCTCATTGTGTATTTTCACTTGTCAGTTTATTTTTGCTCAGGGCAGTATTGGAGGTTTGGAAGAAAAAGCATTTTCCATGGGTAGATCAAGTTGCAGACCCTGGAGACTTGCATCCCTTCAGTAGTGCTGGGGAAGCCCTTGCAGATAAAGACTGAAAATATTTATTTAAAATAGAGTAGTACTTCTCGTATTCAGGGAAGATTCTTCATTGTGCTCTGCCTGGATTCATTTCTGTCCCTTTTTTTTGCAAGTTTCCTCATTGTTATTTTTAGTCTGGACCAGCTGTTCAGACTGACAGGTCACTTTTTTGTTTCTTTAAATCACTGGTAAGTGAATGCAGCGTGGAGCCTTGATGAACTGAGCAAACATTGCACTGTGGGTACACACGTGTTTGTTGATGCACTATTAGAACCAAGGGGCTGTACATAGAATTTTGTTTTGGAGCAATATTTGCAAAACTTGAAAACTTCTGTATCTTGGTGTTTGGAATAAATAAAAAAATAGGTTTTTGTTGTTTAAATTCTTAGTAAAGTCTTTGTTTCAATTAATGATAACTCAAATAATTTGGATTTTTTTCCTTCGCATTGCTTTGAAATGCAAGTACTGTAGTTTGTCAGGTATATATGTCTCTTAACTGTTGCTAAAGTCTGGAGATAACTATTTTCCAGAACTATGTTATATAAATATCCTTAATAGTGTATTGGATATTGTTTAATGAGGAGCTCATACATTTTGTTCCCAAATCCTAATATATGTAGTATATTAGTACCAATATATGTAATATATTAGTACCTGGTATGTGTGATCTAACCCTAATTTTTGTTCTGTTTGGATGAGCAGCCTGTCAGGGGAGCAGCTCAGAGGATGCACAGCATTAGCGAGAGTGTGAAGCAAGGAGCTGTGGATGCAGTTAACAATCCATATAGAGAAAATGCACGGGAAGAGGAGGAAGCTGGGGAGGGCTGGAGAAGCAGTGCACTTGGCCCAGGGTGCCTGAAGGCAGGGGCAGGCATTGATGTAGTTTCAGCTTCCATCTCTTCCCTCTCAGTTTCTCCAGTGGGAGCAAAGCAGATCTATTCCCTTGTCAAACCAAATTTTGCTTTCTAACTTCATTCTCAAAAAAAAAAAAAAAATTAAAAGGATTCTTATGAAACTGGATTTTAAGGCTGGAGGGTGCATCACTGCTGGAGCATGGTGTGTGAAGCCTGGAGAGACTTGAGCCACTGACAGCACATCTCAGTGTGTCTCACTGCACTGTGTCATCGTGCAGCTCTTTGATGATCATTTAAATGTCAAAATCAGGTTTAAAGTTGTGGTCTGGATTTGAAATAATTCAATGGGATGTGTGGTGTGGCTTGTCATGTTTTCATGTGCCCTCTGATTTACCTGCGTGATTGGAAGGTTTCTGTAGTTGCAAACGCAGAGGAGGCAGCTGTCAGTCAACAGTGGGACTCCATGTGGGTAGAGTCACCATATTCTCGCTGTTATTTGACCAAAACATCATCTGTTGACCATTGTCCAGCCCATGGGTCCTGTTGGTGCCCATTCTGATGGCCAGTGCACCACCCATGCTGCTGCTGTTCCATGCACCTGTGGGAGTGCTTGTGCGTGGTCCTTGCTCTGATTCCCCAGTGGGGTTCTGGTGCACTGCAGGCCATTGCAGTTGTTCAGCGCTGTTTCACAGCTTTGTGCTGACCCTGCTGGTTGCACAGCAGTTCTTGTGAAGGTTAAAACCTGTGTACAGCCCTGGTCTGGGTAATACCTGCTGCGAGTAACCCCAAACAACATCCTGTTGAAACAGTTCAACAGTAAATATCACTTTTTTTCCCTTTTACAACATAGAAGTAGACAGAAAACACTGAGAACAAACCAGCAAAACTGATTCATCCTGTCCTGCTGTGGAGTTTTCCTGCTGGTGGTGCTGGTGTGCTGTTGGGGTGTTTGAAAGGAGAGGCTGGAAGGGGCCATGGAGCGTTGCAGGGCTCCACACCCAATTCTGGGGTCTGCATGGACTTGGGAGTGGATGCTGTGTGTACCTTCAGGGCTCCCAGACGGGTGACTTGGGGAGTAAGTCATGGAGCTTGATACAGACCTGACAAAGGACACCAGGGAAGCACCAGCTCCTCAACAGGTGGTTTCTGTGCCCTTGGGCTGAGGGTTGGGTGGGTGCTGCTCTGAGTCCAGGCTCTAGGCACAGCCATGTCCTTTGCACAGAGGCTCGGAGCTGAGGACACTTTGCCTACTTTGCAGCTCCTCGAAATCCCTTTGGTCCCAGCAAATGCTGCTGCAGGGAAAGATGCTGAGCTCCAACTACCAAGACTCATCGAAGGCTGACTGGGTGGTGAGATTTTCACCTTCTCATCCCTCCCTCTCTCCTTTTCTTTCTCTCTTTTCCTTTACACATATCCTTGGGTGATATTTTTGTAGTTTTACGTTGTTGGAAATGATGTAACTTTTACAATTTTTGAAGTAACTTTAGTCATGTGTTTGTTTGCCTTTGCCAAAGGGGAAGGGAGGGGTTGGGGGGTGGTGTGGAATTGAGGTTTGTCTTCAAAAGACTCTTCTCACTGAGGGTTTGAATTTCACTCAGTGAGGCCTGACAGGCTTCACATCAACAACAATCAACATCTACAGGTTGGGAGTAGCAAGAAGATACAGAGAAGATAAACAGATATTAACAAATATGCCCTCGTTAGGCTGGAGTCATCTGATCTGGAAAAAGATTGATAAGAGAACCAAAGAATGAGGACTAAATTAGCATCAAAGGTGAAGAGATCCAATAGGAGATCAAGTGCTGAGATTTTTATGATGTAGAACCCAATGAATGAGAATTTATTTGGGTTTTAAATGTATAAATATGTGAAAAGTCTAGCAAAGAACTAGGTGAGCTGGAATGATTTCTACTGCACATCCTGTCTGGAATAAAGTAGTGCCTGATTCTCTAACTCTTGAAAGATGGTACTCGAGAGTTTCTTCTATTCCTGCAGTTAGAATGACAATTTTGCAATGCTTTCATATTGTTATATTACTATAGATAATAATCAAAAAGGTACATACCTGCTTTCCTTTGCAGCCAAATTGTTCAAAAATAAACCTTGTGTACATGTATTTATACACATTGAGCATTTCAGTATTGTTTCTCTCTAATCCACCCCAGGGATCTATTAACAAGAATCTGGGTTACTCCCATCTCCTGGGACAAGTTTTTAACACTTGTCACTCCAGAGGGAGCGGTGACACGGCTCCTGTGGGTCTGTGCTGCCCACGGTGTGGCTGATCTGGCCTAGGTGGCCATGAGTCACAACTGCAAGGTAGCCCGAGCCCTGTGAGGTCCTGGGCACTTGCAACACCACTGGGCAAAACCTGCTGTGTCTTCACAGCTGCCCACGCTGGAGTGGCTGGGATAGCTGGTGGGTCCTCCCCTGCCCTAGCACTTGTGGTCTTGCTGGGGCTTGTTCTGTCACTTCAGAGCCTTCAGTGTCCGTGTCCTGCACTGCCTGGGAGAGCAGCCCCGGGGCAGAGCACTGCTGCTCTTGGGAGCTGTTGGCCCCACCCTGTGCTTCCGCTGTCTGTTAAAATCTGCTTCGCCCGTGGTGTTCAGAGGCTGCAGCATTCAGCCCTAACAGGCAGGGAATGGGCCTGGCAGTGCCCAGGAAAGACATTGCCCAGCATGACTGGCACGTGCCCAGGACAAGGAGATTTTCAGGATAGGAAAGTTAGAGGGCTCAGAGGCTGCTGGCAAGGGAGGAGGATTTGAAAAGCCTTTACAACCACATCTGTCCCATTTTACCTGGCTCCAGGTTACAAATGGCAGAGCAGCAGGCTCTTGACTGTGGTCTTTCGTGTAAATGCATCCAACAACCTGGGTGCAGGTTGGTGATGGAGGGAGGAACCCAAGAGCCACGTTGGTTCACACGACATGGGTCAATAGCAAATATAAACCATGCGAGACTCCTCTGGGTTACCTTGGGTCCCCAAGCGTGACAACAGCGGGACCAAGCCTGGGACAAACCCCAGCCTGTTCTGTGCTGAGGCCACCTGGGCTGGAGGCTGGGGCTGAGCAGGTCTGTAAAGCTCTGGGTGGAGAAGAAAACAAGAAAATTATGGTAGGTTTCAAGTTTGAGCTCATCAGACAGGAAAATGAGGAAAGGATGTCCAAGCAGGACACCTGCAGCTTTTGGGTTAAGGGGCAGGTCTTGCTGCACCAGCCTAAAGATGCAGAGAAAGAAGGAGGAGAGGGACTGTGCCCAGCAGGAAAATTGCTTTTGCACCACCTCTAGCCACAGAGGAAGCTCCAGCTTTGCTAATAGGAGCCTGTTGAAAGCAGACGCTCATAAGTGTGGCTGCTCTGAGGCCTTTCTGCTGCGTTCAGGCCCCTCAGCCCTGCAGCGTAGCGGGATCGGGGCTCTACCTGAGTATTTGCATTCTACTTTTTTGAATAATCTATTCCTGGCACGGACCCATTTCTTTCCCCATTGTTCCTAGAACAGCAGTTGTGCATGTTAAATTACACATTTAAACCTATTGGGCTCATGAATTTGCCTGAAGAGAGTTGTCTGAGGACCAGCACCACCTGTGGCTGTCTGCTCACTCCAGCTGGGGCCAAGGGCTGCGGCAGGAGCAAATCGCCTCAGGCTCTGGCAGTGAAATTGGCCCCATGGGCAAGTCACAATAAGTTCACCTCAGCTATGAACAAAGTGCCTTTTAATTTATAACAGATGGTTATTGCTGCATGTCCAGCAGGATCCTGTTTTACGGAATTTACAATCTATGTGTTAAAAGGTCTAAAAATAGCTGCTTTGGGCACAGTCGGGGGCTGGTTTCCCCCTAGCTTCTGGTCCCACCAAGCAGAGTGGTGAGTTATGGGGTGAAAGCACTCTGATGGTCCACAGCTGCTGCACAGACACCCATGCCCTAAAACAGTTGTGCTTAAACTTGGAAGGTCCCATAGGCTTGGGCTGTTCCTCCATCTGGGCTAGGATTTGTTTTATTGAACATTTCTATCCTCTCTCTGCTGCTGTGGGAATACAGATGCCAGGGGCCCCATTGCAGCCTGTAGGGCTCCTTCTTTGTGCAGCCTCTGCCTCCTTCCCCCTTGGGTGCTGGGTGAGGTCATGGCTCCTGTCCCAAAGTGTCCTGTGAGGGACAGACAGGCCCTCAGGCAGCTGCCTCCTTCCAGCATTGCTGCCTGCCTGGCTCTGCTTTGGTCTTGGCTGTCCCACATCCCGCTCAATGGGCCCCAGCACGAACAAGAGACTCTGGCTGAAAGGAGGAGAAGGCTGAGCTGGGGCATGGGTGTCCAGCACAGAGCTGTGGCCAAGTGGGGACCCTGTCCTCAGCTCTCCTTCACTATGTGAGAAATGATCCTCACTTTAAAAATTTCAAAAGGTTTATTAAACCTTAACAAAAATTACAACAAAGAATTGCATCAGGAAAGATTTCAGTGTTGGGAGTCTCCATAACTAGCTCATCTACAAAATGGATGCTCTGCCTTTTATATCTTTAGCTCCTCCTAAAGTTTTGTCAGTCAAGTCCATCTCTGCCATCCTTTGGTGGAGATTCCTTTCTTACATCTTGACTGGAGGCCAGGTGTTGTCGTGTTGCGCTGCTTGGTAAAGCCCTCCCAAATGCCCTCACTACCGAGGCTGTTACAGGGGGGAGGGGAAAGAGGGGAAAATATGTCCTGTGGGAGGACATAATACAGTAACATCACTATGCATCCACATAGTATCTATCTCTTAACTGTGAGACCTAACTATGACATTACTCATCTATAACAACCACCTTTCCTGTGGGGTCTGGCTCAGGGGTGTCAGTCTCTGAGAGAATCAGGTAAGAGCTGATGGGAGACCCGTCCGGTGGGGATGTGGTCTCCAGGAACAGGAGGGAGCTGCTCGAGAGTACAAAGGGCAGTCAGCAGGCAGCCCACAGCCCCTGGAGGGTCAGGTGGGGGGAGGCCCAGCCCCTGTCCCAGCTACCCTCACCTCTCAGTCTTGTTCCAGGGGAGTGATGGCTTCCTGAGGACAGAGTGCTGTGGGGGCTGGGCCCGCTCTTGGCCCTTCCATGGGGCAGGGCTCGCAGACAGGGCAGCAGGGCCCCTGGGCAGGGAGCCAACAGCATCAACAGAGCACAGCCCTGCCCCCAGGCTGGGCACACCTGGGCAGGGGAGAGACCAGCTGCCACATTTTCCCCCTCCCTCCTTTCAGGGCAGGGGGACATCTCCCCACACACTGCTCAGGGTGCTGGGGGGCTGGTGAGGCATTTCCAGAGTAGTGGTCCACCAAGTTGTGCAGGCTGGGGAAGGTGAGCCAGGATGAGATGTAAAGGTGCCCATTATCCAGCCGGTGGATGTGAGTGAGTCACTGAGGCCCAGGCAGAGAACCTGCCACGCTGCACCGACAGGGAGTAGCAGCCTGGCAGGCACAGGGCAAAGGGCACTTGGCTGGGCTGTCCCAGGACCCTGTCCTGCTCAGCCCGCGCTGCCTGATGCACTCTTAACTCCCACACACCATAGGGATTCAACCATCCTACAGAAGCAGCAGCCATCACCTTTCTCCCCATGGGCCTTGTGGCTGCAAGCACCCCTGTGCCAGCCCCAGGCCATGAGCACCTTCAGAACGCTGTAGGTGACAGGGACCGGCTGGGACATCAGGTGGCGGTGGTGCCACCTGCACAGTGGCACCTGGCAGAATCTCCTCACAGGCTGTGATGGGGCTCTGTTTCTTTTTGTGGGCTGAGTCTTGTCACTCCTCCGAGTAACCCAAAGCTGCAGGAACCCAATCGTGGTTTGCTCTTTTGAGGCACCACGGCGGGAGCTCAGCACAGACCGGGGAGCAGCAACAGCTGGAAGCAGCCCTGTAGCCTGTGCTGCTGCAAACCCGTTGTTTCCATTCTGGATGTTTCCAGTTCCATTTTGGCAGAGGCCAGCTCTCCAATGCCCTTGGACAGCCTTCTGCCAGGGGCCACAGGGCCGCCAACCACATTATTCTGCTGCAGAGGTGTCCAGTCCTCTCCCTGCCCTGGGGATGAGTTTGCCGTACGCAGCAGGAGACACTCAAACACTCAAGCTGCCAAACCCCCAGGAGTGCAGCTAGTGTCAAGAGAAACACCAAGAGCACAAAGTGTAACAATGAAACTCAGTTATAGCTTTATTCCATAACCGGTACAAAGTCCCCCTCAGGCAGAGCCTCCCAGTCCCATTCCCTACCTGAAATGGAGCAGAACATGAGCATGACCCTGGGAGGAGTTGGCTCCCATTGGGTCAGGCTGCTCAGCAGTGAGGAAAGGAGGTTTTGCTTATCAATTGAGACTTGCAGCAGCCTGACCACTCATCCCTTTTCTCCCCTTAACACCAGACCTTGGCAGCAGGCATCCTTTGTGACCCAGCCAGGTGTAAAAAGGTAGCACAGTTGTGAATTCCACAAAGACAGTAACTGCTATCTGCACAGTGGTGTTCACTGCGTCCCTTTGACAGGACTCACAGGAATGTGTGACTTCTGGCTGCCATACTCACTTGGTGTTTCCTGCCCCCATTTAACTGCACCCTGTGCAGATCCTGCCAGGGGCAGTGGGACACACAGATGATGGCAGTGCAGGAGATTCTGGGATCTCCACCTGGCAAGAGGCACTGCTTCCCATTTCACAATCTGCTCAATATTAAATATTCACCCCTGCCAGGGGAGAACAGCAACCATGTGTCACTGCATCCTGTCCTTCTGCCGGGTCTGCAGAGGGTTGCAGAAGTGGTCTAGAGCCAGGGCTGCTGGAGTTTAATCCCTTGTACTGGGTTAATAGTGCACCTTGTTAGTGTAGTTTACTAGTTAATTGCTTTGTTTTTTCAGGAGGCTCAGGTAAGAAATCACTCTACTCCTTCTTAACACACATACACAGGTGAGACCAAAACAGTATTCCTGACCATTTGTTAGTCTCAGGTTGCATGGCATGT